CCTTTTTCATTCTCATTACAGAACTGAACTTGAATGGGTTTAAACCTCTCTGCCCAGCCCAGCATCACGAGGAGGAGGAAAATTTCACTTTGTCTGCCCTTCAGATGTTTGATCAGAAAAACAGAGAAGGTGGAATTTTCCTCCCCATTGCAGTACTCGGCTAGGACTGGCTTAAAGGCCAGTGCCACAACGTTACCTGCTGCAGATTCTACTGTTGCTAGCAAAGCTGGAGTGTTGGCAGGTCTTTAAAAAAGGCTTGGGAAGGCAGTTTTGGCCTACTGTATTTGTTTGTACAATTTGCATACCGCTTAATCATTCACCACCAAGTGGTGTACAGAAGACCTAATGGAGTAAGACTAAAGATGAGTTAAATCAGAATTAAATTAAGAAGCCTGCTGGAATAAAAACAAAAGTATTTGGTTAGCACCAGACGTTCAACCTCTACTGGACATTCCACAAATTTGAATGCCCACAATACTGAATGCAAAGCTCCTTGTGGACATGAGTTGTGCATCCGAGTCATGGGGAACCAAAACAAGTGACTCCAAAGACCTCAGTGGCTGAGCAGGGATATAAGGGATCAGGCAGTTCCTCACATATCCTGGTCCCAAGATGCTAATACAAGAACCTGCAATCTAGCCTTGTAGCATATGGGCAGCCAGTGCAAGATTTCAACCACCAGAGTTCTGTGGTGGTGATACCCTGTTCCTGTTAACAGTCTAGCTACAGCATTTTACAACCACTAAAACCTGCAGACCAGGCCCAAGGATAGCCCCACATATAGCATATTGCAACAATTGAGGTTACCAATGAATGAATCATTATGGTCATTCTATCCTTGTCCAAGAATTACTGTAGTTGGTGTACCAGCCATAGCTGATAAAAATAACTCCTAGCCACTGAGGGTAGTTGAGCCACTAGAGGCAACATCAGATCCAGCAACATCCCCCAAATCCAAACCTGTTCTTTCAGAGGAAGTGCAACCCAATCCAGAACAGGCAACTGGCCAAACTCCCAGACATAAAAACCATCAACCCACAGTTCTTCCACCTTCCCAGGGTTCAAGCTCAGTTTATTGGCCCACATCCACACCACCAGTGCAACCAAACAATGGTCCAGAACACTAGAAGTAGAGCTGCTTGGCTTGCTTAGCATTATGTCTGAACCTGAACTAACCAGACTCATTTCAAACTATCCATGAGCTTTACAAACCATAAGCAGTAGACCAAGAACAAATCCAGGTTAAAGATCGTGGATCTCTGAAGTGCAGCTGTTTAGTCCAGGTTCATACATAATGCTAAGGCAGAGGAGTCCGGAACAGACTCAATCCATAGCAGCTTCCTCCACTTACCCAACTAGCTGGGCAGGTCTCATTTCTGATTTGTTGAAGTACTGAAGGTCACACTGAAAGTTGCTACAGAACTCTGTCTGCTTCTGTCTTCCAAGGATTAGCCTAACCCAAATATTCTCTGGAGTTAATTTCATGCAGATTAAATTCAAAGGAGAAACATATAGTAAGTATGTGAATGGCTGATGGCCAGGTGGTGAAATTGGTGGTTGATTCTGTCGTACAATGAACTTCACTTCCCAGTTGTTAAGAATTATATTTGTTTATAATGCTTATTGAGTACACAAAATATGCATTGGTGGCTCTGTTATTCAGCTGATCTACAGCTAATTTAATAATCTTGCACACAAAGTGCCTGTCCTCCAAAGCATTACCTAAACATTTAAATGCTGATACCTGGGATTCAATACATATATGAGTCCTGGTTTAAATTAAGTTTTGTTGCCTTGTGAAAGTAAGTTTGCCTAAACAACCCTCCAAGTGGTTACCTGATCTGACATCTACAGCCACAAAGCTTCTTCTGAATTTTTAACTTTGTTGCTCCCTGGCTATGCCTTCTGGTTTATTCCATGACCCTGGTGACCTGGTGATGGACCACCTCAGCTCCACACCCTTCTTTCTCATCCCTTTGGCCTGATAATTGAGTGAACAAATCTTCTAAGGAAAGGTAGGCTCCTTCTTACTGCTACTTAAGTATAACTAGAGCACCACAGATACTTTTCAGAGACAGGAAGAAACTGCAGCTCTCATTGATCTTAGCAGAGAAGTGTTTGATCAGCACTTGTAAAAACACACACACACACACACACACACACACACACACACACACGAGCCCCAGGTGCTCATCACCTGCAGTTGCACAATGTTATCAGTAAATGGGTCCTTTTGTTCATATTTACCCACTCATTGAAGGGCTAAGGGGTAAAGAATCGGATTTTAAGTATGGATTCCAAATTATTTTTGAAACATCAGAACATTTTCTATTTTAAAATTGCTTTTAGTATTCCTGCCAATTCATATCTTAACTGGAATTTATCCTATCTCGCTCCCCTTTCTGGGTTTTTAAAGGGTTCTTCTCTTGAAAAGTAATGCACTATGTATAAGTTTATTCATCTGGACAATTAAATGCCGACATTATCTTACTGAAAAGTTATAAATGGAAAGTTTTATGTATGTATTTATTTAAAATATCCATAAACATATGTCTTGAACTTGGGAATTTACTGCATGATTTATTTAAGCATTGAGAAACTGTGGGCAACTGACTGCAGTTTTTTCCTCACCCAGGCCCCAGCAGCAGCAGAAAAAAAGAAAGAAGGGGGGAAAGCAGATAAGTTACATTGTATGGTGGACTCCTGGCTCACCACACACAGAAGATATTCTCACAAGGAAGTTTCTCTTTCTGGACAAGGCTCATATCAATGGGTGATTGTCAAAAGTTGTGTAGCATGTTGACACTGACATTCTCCTACTGGCAAAAGTCCCATGGCTGCTGCAGCCTGTTGTCAGAAGTGATAATGTTGACCCTGGGTGTTACAATGCACATTGCAGCTTGCACTCACCGTGCAGCAAACTGGATGACCTCCAGGGTCCCTTCCAATGCTATGATTCCATTTTATGAAATATGGGAAGCAAAAGGCAGCCAGGTAAGAAAAATATCACAGGTATTTTCTTTTAACACCATCCCAGCTTCAGAGATGCTTTCGTTGCTAAAGCTCTGTAGAGCAGCATGAAAATGGATGGCGTTGCATGGATAATTTTTGTTTTGTTTTACATGCTCACGTTGAAAACACAAGGACTATTTCATGGTAGTCTCTACTGTAAGAAAACCCTGAGGTTTGATCCAAGAGCCGATGAAGTTACATAGAATACCATTTTCAGGTCACACATTTCTTTTGTGGAGTGATCCCATGCATGCCTAAACAAATATGTATTGCAAGGGAATCATAATAAGACCCCTAGACTTTTGTTGGTTTGTCCTACTTATATACTGGGATTTCTTTAAAAAGGTTATGCTTTAACAAATTGAGTGAATGGGAACCTTTTCAAAGGTTACTCTTTGGAGGCAAACTGCCATGTTGAAAGAGGGCCTAGGGCTGCAATCCTATATCCACAAACCTGTGAAAGAGCACTATTGAAATCAACAGGCCTTGCTTCTAAGTATAGATGTATAGGATGGTCATGTGAGACTTTAAGTGGAAGCATACATAGAATTGCAATGTAAAAGGAATGCTTTACAGTGCATTTTTGATCACGTCTACACAAAAGTCAGTCCTAGTTAATTCAGTGAGGCCTACTCCCTGGTAAGTGGGGTTAGGATTGCACCCTTAGACGTTAAATGCAATAAGGTCACCACTTTAAGTGAAGCTTGTTTTCACTTAGATGTGTTTAGGATTGTAGCCTGTGCTAAAAAACCAGTTTGTGAAGAAAAACAAAGCTGAAGCAACAGAGCTGGTAACAATCCACCCCCACACAGGGCCCACCAGTGTTGGTTTTTCACAGGTACCAACCAGCATGCATTCCCGCCACCCCCCTTCCTGGGACATAGCAGGATTCATTATGTTACTGAGTATGGGAATGCAAACAGCTTCAGTGTGTCTGCCTGCAAGGAAGCTGATGACCTTAGCCATCTGGATCTTTCAAGCAGTTAGCAATGCAGTCACACTAATTTAGTTAACGTTTTTAAAAGACTCTCCAGGAGAAGCTTCCTCCTTCCCAGGGGCACTGACAACAGTGACCCACTGACCCTCTCTTGTACAGCTAGGTTCAAGTCATAAAGCTGCAGCTGTTCAGAGTTTTTCTTCCCTCCCCAGTGACAGTGTTATGGGAGGACTAGGGCTACTGGAACAGCGTTACTGTTTATCTAGCACTGACCTCTCTTCTCCAAACATGAAGAAGCCACTTCAGCACAGCACAGCACAAGCCTGTCTCAGCACTTGCTTAGATACCTTCCCTGATTCTCAAAATGCTTCTCTGCTCTCAAGTTCTAGTACCAAGTCCTGCATAAGGATAGAGTTGATAATTCAGATCCTGGGTGTGTATCCCAGAAGTGAGCCATGAGAAATGCTGCCTGTTTTGAAGCTGTACTGCGCCACAAAACTTTACAAAAGCATGCTCTGTTGCGGTACTGCATACTGAACCCTTCTTAAGGGGCTTTTAATAGAACGGGCCTCTCATACTTGCCTAGTATGGTTTAGTCCCATGGGCTGGCCCTCTCTTAAGCCTAAACAACAACAACTGCTTATAAATCTGCCTGTCTCTACTGAGTGCTGACCTGAGATTGGAAAAACCAAAGTACTCTATCCCTGGAACCCATAGGTAAAGAGAGAGTATTATACCATCCAACCATGGGTGTAGCCAGGATTTTTGTTTGGGGGGGGGACCAGGACTTTTGTTAGGGGGGCCAGAACTGATGTGATTAGTCAGTTAAGTATTTCTATTGTTTTACTTGATCTAGGGGGGCAGCTGCCCCCCTGGCTACGTCCATGCATCCAACTTTGTTTGCTGCCTATCTCTTGTGCTAACGAAGCAGAATGAGTAGTATTCCAATCCTTAAAGCTTCTGTAGCATTAATGGGCAAGTACACAGCAGTGAACCAGGAAATCTTGAAGGCCCATCTCACCTTTGCTATGAGCTCATTAAGTAGATTTAGTCAAGCCTCTTTCTCATATTCAGTCCAACTCCGTCTGCAATTAAGAATAATAATACTGACTTAGCTTTCTGGGTTGTTGTAACTCTTGGAAAACTACTGGAGGATACTTCTCTTAGCTCTTCTAGTGTGGATGTCTGTTTTATCCTCCTCACCCATGAGCCTATCGGTCGGTTGCAACAGCTGGAAAGCCACCTGCCATGTTGTATTGGGAACAGTGGTTCCCAACTGGTGGTACGTGTAGCCCACCCAGGGGGTCCATGGCACCACTGGCATAACAAAAAGGTATTCTTTGTTACCAAATACCGAAGTTAGTCTCAAACATGCAGTATATACTTAATCTTGGCAACAGAATTCCCAGACTCCACCTTTTTAAGCAGGTTGTAATTATTTACAACAGGACTCATCTAATGAGGCCCATCAGTGAAAGCAGTGCACAGAGACTTCCGCTTATGCAACGGTGATTTTCCCTCCTCATCTTCCTATGTGCTTCAAAAATTGGATGAGGGTGGAATCCTCCATAACAAAACAGGGGGGTGGAAGGGGTGGTTCCATTGGGCACGATGATATGGAACATTCAACACCACACAATTTTGAATTTGTTCCTGAGTTTCTAAATACCGTCTATCATCAAAAGTGTTTTCAAAATGGTTTGCATATAACGTTTTAATATAATAAAGCACATTATTGAAAGAGTTGTAGAAACTAAAACGGAATCTTAAAAAGTCAGCAATCTAAGATCTTAGCTCCCTTAAAGCATGAAAGAACACACAAAGTTTTTTACCTATCTCCGAAAACAGGAGGAGGATGTAAAATTACCTACCTACCCAGGGAAGGCATTCTCTAAATCCAGGGCCACCACAAAATAGCTCTGATCTTAGTTGATGGCAATCTAATACTGAAATAAAGAAATCGTACCTGACTGATTATAAAGCTTGGGGGGGGTGTATTATAAGGATAAAGGAGAAACTCAGATCTGGTAGCCAATAAAGCAGTTTCAAAACTGGCACAATATTTTATGCTGCCTCTGCCTAACAACAATTGGGCACCTGCATTCAGAAGTACATAGAGCATTGTTGAACACTGACCCCAGAGAGGCTTGCTGGTGCCCTGCTTTATTTTGGTGTCAGGCACCGATCTTTTTTATTTTCCAGGATGTTTTAGATGAAGTTTTAATCCTACTAGTTGTTTTATGCTGCTTCTATAATGTTACAGTGTTTAGCTTATTTTTGTTTGTTTACATTTTTAAAAAAGTCTTTATGTAAACTGCCCTGGGAGTATGATTGAAGTACAGTATAAAAATATTGTAAATATTAAAGAGAACCAATCTGGAAGATGACTAAGGAATGGCATTTACCATTTAATGACATCCCTCACATGCCCTGCTCCAGGTTCCTCCTCTGTCAGGAAGTTTACCTGGGACATACCCACCTAAGGAAGGTTTACCTTCTCTCTCCTGATACTTAGATGCCATGCAAGGGCTAGACTTTTACAAACTGCTTTTGGGATTCTCTCTTCAGTATTTCTTGATTTGCTGGTCCTATTTTCTTTTTCTTGACACTGAATGTAATAGTTATGAAACTGTGTATTATGAATGTTTATGTAAACAACCAAATGGTTCTGGTAATTCCAAAATACACTTATGAGAAGCATCAATACTTTTTGCAACATTAAAACAACAGCAAACAACCAAGTTCCAAAGAAATAAAATTAATTCCAGGACTAGGATAAAAAACACCAATATCCGATGAACTGAGGAAAATAATAAAATAAGAAAAGATGGCTTCAGAACACCCTGCTCTAAATGTAACTGTACTGTTTCTCTCCTCCTGCCCCTTTTAGCTTTAGTCTGTGCTTTGGGTGCTACAGTGATGTCATGTTTTACAGACCTAGTTAATAGCCTCTGAAATGATGGCCTACACCCTGTGTTTATGCTTGATTCATTCTTTCAAATTGCTGCATGAAAGGACAAGGTTATTATTATTTCTGTGGAAGGGGAGGTGGGGGAATTAGTTGCCTAAAGTCAACCAGACATTTGGGACAGTGGAAATAATAGAATCTAGACCTTTTTACTTTTAAATCTATGATGACTGACCTATAGTTAGCAGCATTAGCATACCTTCTAGTCATTCAGTTCATACTTGTTTCAAGCACAAGATGGGAAGAAGCAACCTGCTCATAAGCAATTGTATTCTTGCCAACTTATTTTTAAAATGAACTACATTTTCCTATTGATGGCAGAAGCCAGGACAGGCCTGTGGCCAAGGAGTGGCCTCCCTCCTTGCCATTACAACACTGGCCCTCTCAGCAATATCTTTATTGGCTCCTTTGTGTACAACCCCAACGCTAATTACCACCAAAGCTAAAAAGCCAATTCACATTTAATTTAAAACAGAGGCACAAGTTTCCTCTGTTCTGGTAAATGGCAGCATGGGCTGCAGTTTAGTCCATTGGATCACTTAGTTATATGCACAGATCAACTCCCTTATTTGCATGTGAGCTAGCACTGAGTTAGAAAGTGTTTATTACAGAATTGGAGCAATTGACTTGCCATCTTTGCTCTCCAGATGAGCCCCTAAAACCCATCTTCCCCATCCCTGCCTTTCTGCCACTCTGCCATACTCCCTGACTCCAAACTCTGGCATAACTCCTTCTTATGCCTTTCAAAGACACCGAACCTAGATTATATCATCCCTTAGGGGTAGGGGATGGACAGACAGGTATGCTACTGCCCTCTTCACCCCCCCAATTCAGAATATCCCAGAGTGGCCCTGTACCAAGCAGCCATGTTCTACCACTAGCTCCTATTGAGATACTCTCTTATAGAAGTCCAAGACCTGAGCCAGGTATTGCCCTAAGGTAGGGTTGCCATATGTCCTCTTTTTCCAGGACATGTCCTCTTTTTCAGGGATAACATTTCTGTTCCAGTGGATTTTTTAAATTTGCCAAAATGTCCGGAGGTGCGGGAGCGGGCTACCTTATATGTTGGATACGAAGTACTAGACAACCAAGTGCAAAACATATATATACTGTGTGAATTTTGCATGGTGCAGGAAAGGACCAGGTCCTTGTTTTTGTATATTTTGAAAGGACACTGCAGAATGTACCTGCTCCTGTACCCCCTCCCCTCCCCCCTGCCCCAGGCACCGGCAAATGTGTCCTCTTTTTCGCTCTTCAACAACCCTATAATGATAGTTTTATTGTCAGAAAACTGATACCAAAATCCTAAACAGCAGAGTTGACCTAATGTCTTAGATGATATTTGAGCTTCTTACATTATAAGAGAAGAGCTAAGGTCTCAATTATTAACTATGTATGGTTTTTAATTTTAAATATAACAACGAATTCTAATTTCCAGCAACTTCTTTTAAAATTGCACCAATTTTATTTTCAGATGGAGTGCAAGCATTCTGAGATGAAGCAGGTATGCTGGAAGGAGATCTCCCATTAAAAATGCAGGAGACTGAACTAAGTGAGATCATTATTTGACTGAGGTCAGTCCACTTATCTATAAAATGAGTATGATACTGATCTCACTTGTTGGGGTGTGGACAGAGAACAATGTGAAGACATTTTGAGGAGAAGGCAAAGGGTTGTTATTCTTACATTGCAAAGCAGGCTACTGATTGTTAATAATAAGCAAGCAGATGATACATAGTAGTTATTTCAGTCATATCTGATTTCTAACCCTCTGTTAATGACATTTTATCTTCTTGTCCTTTGAGAGAGATGCCTTCTACCCCAACAGCTTTTTACATCCACTTTCTGGCCTGTAGTAATTTAGGGTGGAACCCTGCATGCTTACCTGGGAGTAAGGCCTATTACTTTGTTCTTCTGAATAGACAAGCCCTTTGGAAGGGAACTCTGGAAGGAGACTTTCCAGCTGTTGTTAAAGCATAGCCAAGAGTCACAGATGATGGATGTAAGAGTCCATTAGCCATTTGTGCACATTAAATTGCATCACAAAAAAATCATGCGCAGCACTACCCAGCAAGGAGAAGAGATCCTTACTAAGGGTGAAAAATAACTTTTCCATAATCAGATTTATCACAGATGGAATGTGAAAAAGGGATGTCCATCAGCATCACTGGGAAATGTGTCTGACTGACAGTTGATTTGGTCTGGTTTAAACACAAGACTGCACATCTTCAGTTCGAGCTGTACTGATATACCTAGCTGAGCAAGGTCTCTCTGAAGTGCCTACAGACAGAATCCAGATGTTTCTGCATGCAGAGCCAAGGAGGACAGCAGGGTCACCAACAGAGCAGGCAAGAGCTGGGGTTGAAACAAACCTGTTCAGTTTCATAATTGGGGGGAGTAAGCTGGGACACGTAAATCTTCTCTGCAACTCTGTCTATGAACCTTTTGAGTTCTGCAATAAGCAGCAGTCATCTCACTATAATATTGCTTAATAAGAGGTAAGTAATAAATTAAAATCATTAAAGTCATAAATTAAAAGTTTGGTGTCCTTAATTCAACGACAATAAATAAAGCAACATATTTATTGTTGTTGAATTAAGGGCACCAAACTCTGGGAAATTTTAATTTATGACTTACCCACCTGGCCACCTGGCACGGGGGGCATATGCAGAAATTATCGAAGGTGATGATGCTGGGCCTACTCTGTTGCTGTTTTTTAAATAAAACAATTCCTGATGACTGGTGGCTATGAATTCTTGGAAGAAAACCAACTAATTTATGTGCAACTACAGGAGATACTATAGGGACACAGGTGGCGCTGTGGGTTAAACCACTGTGCTGCTTGGGCTTGCCAATCGAAAGGTTGGTGGTTCAAATCCCTGTGACGGGGTGAGCTCCCGTTTTTCGGTCCCAGCTCCTGCCAACCTAGCAGTTCGAAAGCACACAGTGCAAGTAGATAAATAGGTACCACTCTGGCAGGAACGTAAATGGCGTTTCTGTGCACTGCTCTGGTTTTGACAGAAGCGGCTTAGTCATGCTGGCCACATGATCTGGAAAAACTGTCTGCGGAAGTGGACAAATGCCAGCTCCCTCTGCCTTTAAAGCAAGATGAGTGCCACAACCCCAGAGTCGTCCGTGACGCAACTGGACTTATTTGTTAGGGGTCCCTTTACCTTTACCTTACAGGAGATACTATACCTACTATGTTATAATGTTTTAACTAATTAAAAAGAGATAGATCTAATGGGGCAAACTGACATTTCTCAATCTGTCATTTTCTGTAAGTGGGAGACTGAATATTTAGAATTTAGAATTCATCGAAACTTCTTAAGTTTCTGAGCTAATTTCTGAGCTAATTCCGGTGCATTGCCCTGTGAATTGACTGTCCCTCTGTTTCCCACGGAACAGTCCTAACATTCCATCATGTGCTGTTTTCAAGCTAGCAGCTCGCGGCTGCATTGCTTCTATATCGTAACAATTTCTGCTAAGACAGAAGCAATGTCAGGGACAGGACTAAGGGGCACCAGTATATGTCCTGGGAGCCGTGAAACAGGATTAAAGAGAAGATCTTAAATAGAGAGTGATAAAATTTATTTTTTCACACTTCTGTTCCTTAACTCCTCCTCCTTACCTTTAAAGCCCTACATGGCTTGGGACCCAAATATCTGAAGTGCCTGCTCACACACCAATCTTGCACATGCTGTAGTTTGTTTTGAAGTTGTGAAGAATTATCTGCTGTTTTCTTGTCTTTTGTCTTATATGTTGTATGTTGTACAACACCCTGTAATCTGATATTATTATGAAAAATTATAAAAAATGTTCAAAACAAACAAGCTCTAGAGATGAGAGAAAGTGATGACAAACATGCCAGTCGAGTTGCTGTCAAATTCTGTTCCAGTTAGAATCTGGCAGTGAAACAACAGTTCTATTCATGATGTAGTGGCAAAACAAACAAACTGGCACTTACTAGAATCCAGTACTGTTCTATCAAAAGACATCCATGTCATGCTAAGTGCTGCATACGTACAAGGAAGCTTCTTTACTGATGTGGCAATGTTGTGTTGGCAAAGAGGCCGGAAGTACAGGACTGAGGTGAGATTGCAGAGCTGTGCACCACACACATTCAGGAAGGCTATGCATGGCCTGGGATGATCTTCGCTCTCACTGCACATGTGCAGAGCCCACCAGAGCATTGCATGTCAATGTTGGTAATGTCATCATTGACCAGTTGCCAGAAGTCTCTGTGCATGTTCACTGATGCTTAGCAGTCCTTTACAGGTCCTGGAACAGTAATTCCAGAATCTTGCTGAGCTTTGGATCAAATACGGGAGCTGGGGTAGAATTAATTAGAATAAAAATCTGGTTCTGACAAAAACTTTGTCCAGTGCAGAATCTGCCTACTTGTAATTAACATTCATAAGGTCAGATAAGTGAAGGAGAAGGCACCAGGTGATGCCTTGATACAGAGACCAGGTATTGCTTCCAAGTACTTCAGTAAGAGGACTCAGAAAGTTGCAAAAAGACTGATTTGCTGGTCCTTTCAGCAATTCTTCTTCTTCTTCTTCTTCTTCTTCTTCTTCTTCTTCTTCTTCTTCTTCTTCTTCCTCCTCTTCCAAATACCTGGTACCATTGGCATAGCCAGGGGGGCAGCTGCCCCCCTAAATCAAGTAATTAAATAAAAATACTTGACTGACCAATTGCATTGCAAATAAACTTGGTTCTGCCCCCATAAAACAAAGCTTGCCCGCCTAAAAGAAATCCTAGCTATGCCCATGAAAGTGTAAAAAGGTAAAGGTGAAGGACCCCTGACAGTTAAGTCCAATTGTGAATGACTCTGGGGTTGCGGCGCTATCTCACTTTACTGGCCGAGGGAGTTGACGTTTGTCCGCAGACAGTTTTTCCGGGTCATGTGGCCAGCATGACTAAGCCGCTTCTGGCGAACCAGAGCAGCGCACGGAAACGCCGTTTACCTTCCTGCTGGAGCGGTACCTATTTATCTACTTGCACTTTTATGTGCTTTCGAACTGCTCGGGCGTGGGGATTCGAACCGCCAACCTTCCGACTAGCAAACCCAAGGCTCAGTGGTTTACACCACAGCGCCACCCTCATCCCAAATGAAAGTGTAGGCACCCTGAAAATGTTTCTGGCACAGAAGATATACTTCCTCGTGAATAGAAGAGGCGCAGGGCTCTAGAGGGATGAAGAAGAAAAAGAGTTTGGATTTGATATCCCGTTTTATCACTACCCGAAGGAGTCTCAAAGCGGCTAACATTCTCCTTTCCCTTCCTCCCTCACAATAAACACTCTGTGAGGTGAGTGAGGCTGAGAGACTTCAGAGAAATGTGACTGGCCCAAGGTCACCCAGCAGCTGCATGTGGAGGAGCGGAGATGCGAACCCAGTTCCCCAGATTACGAGACTACCGCTCTTAACCACTACACCACACTGGCTCTCTCAGACCTGAACTCTTGTGATGAAACTGCAATGGTTGAATTATTCTCAAACACTTCCAAAAGGAGCAATGCGCTGTTGCAACTCTGAGAGATGCTACATGCATTGTATTTTTTTCAGTACATACATGAAACATTCATTATCTACATACACCTAGGTGTGAACCTAATAAATATGTGCTTGCACAACTATGTAACACTCAGACAGAAGCAAGGTCAAGGAGCCTGGACTGGCAGTGGCTTCCTGCCAGCTCAAATATAAACTACACATGACCATGGAAGATTCATGTCTTTAAACATGGATCTACCTTTTTTAAAATGTAAAGCAGGGATAAGGAGATGGAACTGCTTAGAATCCATTTTAACAGCATTTCCATCCAAAAGCAGCTTAATCCATCATTAACTTAAGCATCTGTCTGACAGGTAGAGTGGCTTGGGACAATTATTTTCCAGCCTTGCTGAATGCATAATATGAAAAAAAGGATGTAATAAATACACAGCATTCATGATAGATACCCCAGGGCATAGGACAATATTATTCTCACAAAGAGCTGGTGTTTGTCTCCCTGTCACATTTGGATGAGCAATCAAAAGGGAAGGAACAAGCACAAGATGCCATTGCTTCCTTTTAGTCACATCTTCAAAAGCTTTTGTGCATGTATAATCAGCAAAACAAAGTAAAAGAAGAAGAAGAAATAGGTTGGCTATGACTACAATCAGAAGGCTGATCGCCGAAGAATTGATGCTTTTGAATTATGGTGCTGAAGGAGACTCTTGAGAGTCCCATGGACTGCAAGAAGATCAAACCTATCCATTCTTAAGAAAATCAGCGCTGAGTGCTCACTGGAAGGACAGATCGTGAAGCTGAGGCTCCAATACTTTGGCCACCTCATGAGAAGAGAAGACTCCCTGGAAAAGACCCTGATGTTGGGAAAGATAGAGGGCACAAGGAGAAGGGGACGACAGAGGACGAGATGGTTGGACAGTGTTCTCGAAGCTACCAGCATGAGTTTGACCAAACTGTGGGAGGCAGTGCCTGGCATGCTCTGGTCCATGGGGTCACGAAGAGTCAGACACGACTAAATGACTAAACAACAACACGACCACAATCCAGGGGGCTGTTTTAGGTGAGGAACCATTATACTCAACAGAGGAGGGCTTAGTTGTTGGCCTGTTATAAAGATTTCACTGCCTCACAGAAATCTCATTCCAGCAAAGGAAACAGGCAGAGAAGAAACATTGATTAAAATCTATAAATGCTTGAGGGGTTGCTATCTTTGTCATCTAACTCCTCCTGATCACAAGATGAAGCAGAAGACTAGTTCTTATTATAATTTCCCTTCTACAAAAGGACAGCACAGGGGTGTGGAACCTTTTTGTGTTCAAGGGCCATATTCATCTCTGGGTAACCTTCCAGGGGCCATATGCCATTGGGTGGGGCCAAAAGCATAAGTGAGTATATTTACATAAAATGTAAATTTTAACTTTACACAGCAGGCTAGTTCCTACATATCCACCCACCCCTCTGTGCCCTCCAGCCATGCAAGTGACAGACATTAACAGAGTTTAAAGACATACTCCAGCCAGACAGAACTATTCAAGGATGGTGCAAAGCCAAGTCAGTGAGGGGTGTGGTCTGAGGAAGAGTCCTGCGGGCCATCAAGAGAGACCGGGAAAGCTACATTTGGCTCTCCACTCCTAGGATAGCAGATTTTAGATTCAGAATAAGAATTTGGGAATTAATTTATCATGAACTTTCATTTCTTCTGGAAGCCACTGGGAACAGTAATCTAAGTTTTTCCAGAAAAACTTCTCAAGCATGCTTGAGCACAGTGCAGAAGGCAAGGGAACCTGCTGGGACTTGAAGCACAGTAGAAATGGAGGTTTCAGATGCAAAAGGTGGAGTTTCCACATGGTTTTGAAGACGACTTGTCTGCTGTTGGCACTGCATGTTTACCACGAAAGCATGAAGAAAATATGCATTTCCTATTACAGCTGGAGCAAAATGCCATGCAGTTGTGAAGAAGCAGCTGATCCCCACTAAGTTTGAATTTACTTCTGAGTAAACATGCATAGTGTCAAACCTTCAGGCCAACAATCCTGTATTATCAAAACTTTAATTTGGTTTGGCGGGGGGTTGCCTTCTGTTGTACAGGTAGTTTCGCAGGTGCTCAGTTAAAATAGAAAGGCACATTTAGGCATTTTTTGCATCTGTTGAGAAAAGTGTATAGAACTATCAGAGTGAATAAAGAATGCACCCATCACACTGAAATACCCAAATAGGCATTCTGTTAAAAATAATGTATTTCAATGCATATCAAAATGATGAAGTTCATCTTGAATCACTTTACTACCACTGGGATGCATATTTGGGTAAATGTGGCTGTACAAAGGAGAATTGGCCTGGTTGTCACAGCAATGGAGACATCCTTTCCCCCTCACCCAATGTGCCAGAAGTTTATGGGAACAATGGCTGCAAACAGGTGTAGGGGGAAAGCACAAAAAAAGTGGAAGGTAAGGAATTTTTCAATAACACTTTTACATTTCCAACAAAACATCAGGAAGAACTTTCTGACAGTAAGAGCTGTTCCCCAATGGAATGGACTTGCTTGGAAGGCTGTAGATTTCCCTTCATTGGAGGCTTTTAAGCAGAGGTTGGATGGCCATCTGTCATTAATGCTTTGGTTGAGATGCCAGGATTGCCGGGGATTTGGACTAGATGACCCTTGGTACCCCTTCCAACTGCCCGTGAAAAATTATAACAATTGGTAGCTACATTTTGTGCGCTCATTTGCTACTACTATTACAGGATTACAGTCCTGAAGTTCCAGGCTTCTCATATCTATTTCTGAGCTTGAAAAATCTATTTGCTGAAGGCAAACAGGATTGCACTGGAAGAAACATCTATGGAATTGAGAAATAATTCCCCAGTGAAATTAAGTCCATAGCTCTTGTAGTTTGAGGCAAAGATAAGCATTGGCCAATCATCGCTTAAAGGTTTAACAATGCTTGCTTTGCTCTAAATGTGGACATAATTGCATATACTTTCATCAGATCTTCAGTGTTGCTTTCAAATATGTTATAATGTCAGTACAGTACATCTTTTTTGCTAATGTTCAATTAACCAGGTCGTCTTCAATCGACTAGTTCATAATGAGCAACTATACCCTTATCTTTCAAATCATTGCACCCTAATCAACCTTGCTACAGATTTACGCTGCCATAAATAATAAATAGCATATATCACTATTAAACTCTGTGAGAGGAAATTTGCTACTACCTCTGCCCTTATTGCAGCAATTACTTGTAGGAGTAATTTATATCAACCAAACAATCTAGTGCAGTGCAGGATTGCAGATAATGATCTTCATTCCACTGGAATTAAATCAAGTTCAATTACTGATCAATAGTATTTTACTACATACATCACAAGGAAAGAAAAGTATGCACAGGTTGTTGTACCACCTTATTTTGTTTCACATGATGCTCCACTGGTAATAGCTCACTTCCCCCACTAGCATAGCATGGGGGGCAGGGGGGCCGTGGCCCTGGGCACAAAAGCTTGGGGACGTGAACCAGACACCCCCTACATGCGCCCAGCATGCAAGCGCCTGCCCATTAACGGCAGGGACTGGGTGAGTGTGGAGGGCTGTAACCAAGTCCAAGCACATGTAACTTCCAGCAGATCCACACCATACATTTAAGCACATTCAATGTACATGATTTCTGTCAGGGAATCCTGGTAACTGCAGCTTGTTAAGAGTTCTGGGAACTGTAGCTTTGTGAGGGGCAAACTACAATTCCCACAGTTCTTGGGGGGGAGTCACATGCTTTAAATATGTGTTGTGCTTTAAATCTATCGTGTGAATCTGCCCTTAATTAGGTATGTATTCTTTCCTTGTTTACCTCTGCCTCCATGTACCTCAATTTCCATTGTTGTTTTGCTTATTGAATTTTAGATAGTAAGTTCCTCAGGGCAAGGACCTATACACTTTTATCCTGTAAAAAAACCTATGCACACTGAGCAGCCTTCAGCTGTTGGGTCATAAGTCAGGACCCAGAAGTGGGCTGCAATCTGACCAAAGTTTTATGCATCTATGTTTTTCACACCAATTTCTATTTTTTTCTAGGCTTTGATATTGATTTCTGGCAAGGGAGGAAAGTCATGCATTATGTTTGTGTGTGCAATGTCATCTAAGATGGTGGTTTTTGGACACATGTACATCAGCAGCTGGTGCAAAAGGGCTGACTATGCTGGATGAAGGGTGAAACAGAAAAGGGCTGAGAGATAAAATAAGAGAAGTAAACTTAATAGTGGGTCCCATGTCAAAGCTTGGATTAAAGTTAGTAGGTATACAAAAGATTAAAGTCACTGATATATAAAACACACCCAACCCAGCCATCAGCAATGGACTTGTACTCAACACCCAGAATTGTCCTCAGCATCTGGAAATGTACGTTATAGTATTTTTCTGCAGCAAAGAGAATAAATCAGTAAAATACAGCCTGATCTATATGACATCGTAAATTAATTATCCCTGACCATCAAAGGCAGAAAATGCTCTCATCAGCCCGTGAACCAACCACCTAGAGAAGACGCTCTGGAGTGCTGATTACACTCATTGGAAGGGTTGCAGTAAGGCAACATTTCTGAGTGTGATGAGCAACAAGCTAAGACAGGAGAGCTGAGCAATAACTCTCCATAGGATACTTGTCAATTCTTCTGCTATTCTTGGCTGAAAATGAAGGTTTGGTACTACAGATACTGACTGCACTCTATTACTCTCATCTTTGGAAATAATCTCAAATGTCAAGTTCTACAGATGCAGGCTAACAAATTACTTGTGTACAACTTAATCTCACCCAAAACTGAGGTAACACTGAGTAACACAGGATTGCACCCCGAGGTGCAAATTCAAGCAACTAGTTCCTCAGAGCAAGGAGTGTGGAGCAAACTACAATAATTGATCTTTACATTCCAGAATAACTTATGCACTTTTAATTTGGATTTTCCCTGTTTGCAAAGGCATTGTTTTGGCTTGTCAACAACTTGCCTGAAATTCAGTAACATCACATCCTTGAAGATCTTTCTCCAAATTAACTCTCAGATTCCTACACAGCAGCAGCAGCAGCAGCTCCCAGCCTTTCTTTAAAGTGAGCTCCCCTCAACCAGTGGTTCCTGTTCTTGGCTTAACCAAGCACCCCCGCCCCCGCCCCAGAACTCGCTCCTCTGCTGGCCTGAAGGGGAACAGAGGACAGCTTTGTGCTGACAGGTTTCTCTTTAGCATTAAAGGCAGGATATTTTAGAAGCAGCGTACTTCCTTATGCTGCTGTAGTAGCCCTGGATCAGCCGTGTGATAATTTCAGTTGTTCTTTTCATCACCAAGAGTAGTCTAACATAAGACAAACAAATAAAAATCAGGTGCATTTTAAAGCACCTTTCTAGAAACCCTGCCTGGGCTGTTACAAAGCCTTGCGAAAATCGTTTTAACATAGCCACATAGAAGGTCTGCTCCTCCAACTGGGAATTAATTTTGGACATGGTCATTCATTATCCTACAACTGTATGTTAGGCTGAAATACTATAAAGGCCACTTGATGTGGAAATAAAGGCCACAGTCCTGTATACACAGCCCCTCACAGAGAATACTTCTTACAGTTGGACTTGCTTCAGACTAAATATACATAGGGTTGTGCTGCTGCAACTCCTATTAAAAACCAAAAGAACTTGTTTCCAAGGAGATATGCTTAGATCAGGTTATTACGGCAAGATCCCAAGCATGCTTACTCAGAAGTAAGTGAGATGGCAGCCTTAGGGCTAAATGAGAAAAGACAGGGCAGCCACATTCATTTATTCATGTGCCCTCTTTGTTCAGATATAAAAAAGCCATGGAATACAGGGGGTGTATTTGTAATGTTGTGCCGAGAGCTGGTATGGGGCAGCAAAACCATTCTCCCTCCCCTTCCTTACCTCACTCAATTCCATTGCTCAAATGACTTTTCTTCCAGCCCAGATTTGCTACCAGATGTGAGCAAGGTGGGGGAGAAAAGAGTTTCAAGCAACGAAGTGCAGTCAGGTGACACATGGAATGGCCCCCTTACTTGCACATAGAATCATAAAATTGTAGAGTTGGAAGGGACCCCGAGGGTCATCTTGTTCAACCTCCTGCAATGCAGGATTCTCAACTTGAGAATCACTGTGCATACCTTGTGTGTAAAAGAAAAAGGGGAGAAACCTCCACCCTCTACTTATATGGGAATATGACAAAGACATGCATACATACATGTGGCTGCCCACATCTAGTTTCTCCCTAAGATGCTTGAGTTTCTGGCCACTGGTTTCTACCAATTCAGAGAGAGTTGGTGAGTTTCAAGAGGCGACCAGAAAAAAAGTTTTTTTCCCATATAGTTGAGCATCCAATCCTAAGCAAGCATACTTGGAAGAAAATTCACCTGAACTCCATGTTGTAGTAGGTCATGTGTTACTTCCAAATTTAGTACTGTATATGTGCTTCAGATTAAACTGTAAATCAAATGCCTTTAGGGAATTTCTAATGCTACATTTGAAAGATGCTAGGACCCCACTAAGAGTTAAACTAGTGTCTAAACATCTGTGAAAAGGACTAATGCACACATTTAATTTTTGACGAACAGCGAGAAAAATTCTGGAAGCAGAAACAGGGTTGTGGCACGTGTAATACAACTCCAACATAATACTTATTTTCACAGATTTTTATAACAGGTGCAACTCCCAAGAGTCTTGTAAAACAGCTCTTATAAAAAGCAGGGATGCATTCAGCGAGGCTTTGGGAAGAATGATAACACCTCACTTGAAAATACTCCTAAGTTCACCAACACAATTATTTGCCATACAAAAAGTTTGACTAGAAATAAATAACTAAATAACCCATTCACCCACCCAAACAGCCAATAGGTACCTGAAGAAAGTCCTGCTGGCTGCTGTGGTCCTGTGTGCTGCTGATCTTTCTTCTGTCCGTGCTGCACTCCTCTCAGAGCCCAGGAAAGTATGGCTGATCTGCTTCTCGTTGCCACGGACACCTAGGCTTTCAAAAAAGGAGCCACTGACCAATCAGGCCTCAGGGCTAGAATGGCTCTCAGCCCTAGGTCATGTGACACGTCCGTGTCTGGCTGAGTGAAAAGCATGACAATATCCATAAGGACCAAAGGGAGCTTGTCTTTGTATGACTCCAACGCTTTCCACCACCCCCCCAGCCGCTCCTGCAGAGCCCCTCTTGACGGGAATCCTATTTAAGCCCTGTCCCACAAAGCTGCAGGTGGGAGGGGAGGGGGGAGAAAGGGCCCACAAGAGGAGAATGGATGAGGCTGAGCCAATGCACTGCACCTGCCTTGCACTTCCCGCAAATCTGATTTTAAAACTTTTTATCTTTTATCTGGCCGTCATTTCACATCTGACTCTAACTGCTGGTTTCATGTTGAAAGTTACTGACTCAGCTAACCTGACCAGAAATTGAAGGGCAGTCAGTCGAGGCCCGAGGAGGCAAGCGCCAGGGGCTTTCCACACAGCCAGTCCAAGTGTGCTCTAACTGCATTTCTTCCTTTGCACGATATTTCCTCGAGTCCCACTCACGAGGACAACAGTGCAATTTCACAGCTACATCTAGATAAGAAGATATCTGTGTGGCTGTCCACATACATCTACCCTTTATTTAAAAAACCCCCCAAAAGGTGTGTGCTCCACAATGAAGCCGCAAATTATGTCAATTCCAAAGAATACAAATACAATATTCACAAAATGGAGAGATATTGTTTAGGAGAGGAGAAAAGGTGTGGCTTCGCTAATGCTCAGCCTCCTCCCTTTCAATAATATGATTACATGAGAAGGACTACCCACGGGATTTTCAGGGCCCTTTACAAAATTTCCATCCAGCACCCCTGACCCAAATTTTATAATTTGGAGCTCTTGGGAGAAGAAATTGGAATAACAAGTTTAGCAAGCTGCAAAAGGGATGATGCAGGAAAGAAACCAAAGTTATGTACACTAGATGGTCAGAGCCTGAGCATTTCAAGCCCCCTCACTCTCTGCTGCTAATGCATCACCATGACTACACCACAACATTGTTGTAAGAAGTTCACATACTGGCTCAGAGTTGTCATGTGGGGGGTAGGTTTCCTACAAGTTGCAGAGCTCCATAGAGTTCCATCTCCATACGTCTGTCAATTAGTGCTCCTATTGGGAGGTAGGGCCAGCCCAAGACATTTTGCAGCCTGAGGCAAATTATTATTATTATTAATTTACTGGGTTGCTCCAGCCATTCTGGGTAGCTTCCAACACAATAAAAACACAGCAAAACAGCAAACATTAAAGGTAGCATCCCGCACCCTGTGCACAGAAGCTGACTGAAAGTTGACTCTTCTTTCAAAAATGAAGGTGGTATAGTTAGCTCACTGCAATTGAAGGCAGCAGATTAGCCTAGGAAACATTTAACAGGCCTTGTGGGACACACAATTGTTTTCCAACAGCTTTCCAATGCTCCCCTGACCTCCATGCAGCAGTTGCCTAATGGTCCTGCTTGAAGCACATAGCCTCTAAATAATTCCCGCATACAAAATAAGAACCAATAAAAGAAGCTGAATTTGGCTGTGGGCAAGAAGGGAAGGGGCATTATGCAAACACACCAATGGCACTTGGATAACCACTTTCTATTCAGCAATAATTTCAACTGCAAAAAATGCAGTGAATAGCAGAAGGATGGAGAGGGAGAGAAACAAACTTTCCCCATATATGAAGTACGCAGCATTACCATATTCCCACAACAGAAGCACAGCCTTGAGGGAAGGTATATGGTGTGTATACAATAAATTGTGTGGGAAAGGGCCCTAGTCTCACTCAGCACGACTGAATAATGAGCAGGGGCCACCTACTGTGCATGTAGCTCCTGTATATCCACCTACATCTATTTCTGCCCCGTCAGCTCCACTGCGTATAAATTATATGTTTTCTCTCTGTATCTGTCTTGCCCTTGGGACATAGAGAGCATATTGCATAACCAAACAGGTTACCTGTTGCTATGTCATATCACGCCTTCAAATAGCAAACTTAGGCTGCCAAAACAGAGTGGGGGAGGGGGAGAGAGGTACCAGTATGCTTGAGGGCATGAACATCTGCAGGAATTTTTCCAGATGACAATAACCTTTTGGAAGTGAGGCAACCCAAACTGTACCTACTGCTCCAACTGTGGTCTCCCCATAGGTTATGATATAGTATAACCATAGTATAACTGTGTTTTGATATTGGCAGTTTTGTTTTCTTTTTATCCCTTCCTTAATGATCCCTAACATGGAATTCACCATTTTTCACAGCTGGTGCACGCTGGGTTGACATCTTCATCATGCTATCCACTATGGCCCTGAGGTCTTGTTCCTTGTGAGTCACTACCAGTTCAGATGCCAATAATTTATATGAGAGATTTGGATTCTTTTGCCACAGTGTCCGTCACTTGACATTATTGTGAAAAGATGGAGGAGGGGTTTAGAATAATCTGTTTTATAACCCAGACTTGGGGTTGTATTTCACTGTGATAATCACATCTCCACATTTGGGGGGGGAGAGTTTCTAATTATCTGAATGCATATTAAATGAGAAATGTAATTCAAGCTCTTCTAATTGATGCAATGGAAAGGTGCTGACATGACAACCGAATTTGTGCCTTTGGCACAAGCCGAAGCTTTTACAGCTTTAACTAAAGGCTACATGTGTGGCTTTTTGTTTTTGTTTTTCTAACTCTGCAAAACAAGCTACAGTAGTACCTCGGGTTACAGACGCTTCAGGTTACAGACTCCACTAACCCAGAAATAATACCTCGGGTTAAGAACTTTACCTCAGGATGAGAACAGAAATCGCATGGTGGCGGTGCAGCAGCAGCGGGAGGCCCCATTAGCTAAAGTGGTACCTCAGGTTAAGAACAGTTTCAGGTTAAGAATGGACCTCCAGAACGAATTAAGTTCTTAACCTGAGGTACCACTGTATAAGAGTCCATTGCATGCTGCACTGTTAGTGCAGCTGATTTGCTTTGGGTTTGTGTCTGAAAGCATAAGCCAGCTCATAAAGCTCTTATGTGGACCAGCTACTATATAATTAAACAGAGGCACACACGACTCTCGGGATGAATTACATTACCACTACTTGCTACTGAATTTAGTATCCTGAAAAAAACAACCATGCCTCAAATTTGTATTTAGAGCACAGTAAATCCCAGGGCACTGTAGCTTCAAATCTCCTGCTCACAGTTTTGGATTATTGCGTGTGGTTTCTGTGTATTGTGACTGTGCCGAGATCCAGCATCACATATTACGTATTCATTTACCCTGCCACTGCCACAGAGGAGAGCAAAATGGCCTTAATTATTCATTCCAAATGTGGATTTTCTTCTTGACTACGTAAATTCATTTGCAAAATGAAGTGAACCAAGAAATAATTGTGATTTACTGTGAATGCAAGCTCTACAACAGTTTCTAGCTCATCATCTTGAGCTTGTTTCTCAGGTAACTTGGAGAAGTCAGAAGAGAGGTATCAGGCTTGTACTGCTCTTCAGAAGCCTCCTGTGCCTGATCCAGGATATACTTACATAATTCATGCAGATAAAGGCTATGAAGAAGTGTTGGAAGTGGAAGATAAACACAAGCAGGGTCAGGTTTGAGTCAGAAAACTGCACTGCAGTGGACTCCCTCAGCAGAGCCAGAGCTATGTGGGGTGGGAGTGGACTAGCTGGGTTCCCCCCCCCCCAGGTGAAGCCTCCAGAGGGGGCACCATTGAGACTCCCAGCCTGTGTGTTGGTGTACGAAATGTGTGTGTGCGCGCGCGCACGCCAAACTGAGTCTTTGACCCGGGTTAAATAAAGCCTAGTTTCGCCCCTGTCCCTCCGACCCTGGGTCCTGTGAAATGGTCCTGGAAGTGGCAATAAACAGCACACTGAGTTTGTGGCCATTTTACTTTTCTACAGTGTCCCAGAGCACTATGGGAAATACTTGCTCCAAACTGCCTGGCATTGAGGGTCCCAGACAGGCTTTACTTCCCCAAAGTTGCCACATGCTGACACCAGGCTTGAATTTAGGCGCATACAGAGAAAGCCTTGGTTCTTTGTATAAAAGATCCCCTGTGTAAAGAGCTGAAAGCATACTCGTGAGCTATGTAAATATTTCACCCAGATAAACTCAGCCTGCTTATTTTGAGTTACCACAAAAGTTCATGCAAAATCAAGAGTAATACCAGTGCCACCAATATGCATCTTCAACTCAAGCAAGTTCCCCAAGGTTCAATATTTGTTGCTACTTCCCACATAGAACTGATTACACACTGGCCCTAGCATAAGCAATATAGCAGAGAACAAAGCAAGGATGTACTCTCACAGTTTAATTCACACACAATGTGAATGTTTAATGTGAATGTTTAATAAACCATGTTGCCTCACAGACCAGCAAACATGATGTGCCTTGACTCTCCAAAGCTTGGTTTTCCAGCTGCTTGTCTCATTTATTTGTAGCCTTATGAGCAGGGAGGTGGCCCCACACAAATTGGTTAGGCAAAGTTGTTGGAATCAAGCATAACACCAAACTACAGTTAAAAACAAGCCATGCTTTGTCAGCCAAAAACAAACCATGGCCGCATATCATGGTTTGCCGACAGGAAAAAAACCCATGATTAATCTGCTAGGCTAGGTTCAAACATTTAACCAAAGCATAGTTAAGCTAAACAAGCCATGGTTTGGTGTTATGTGCAAATGAGACCACTGAAATAGCATGAGGCAAACTTTGCAATATTTTAGTTCAGTATTATAGACTTTGTTTGAAAGATATTATTCCAAAAAAGAATACCAAGCAAAATTATGTAAGAACAAGGCAACTAGAGAAGTGGGAATGCGTAAATGTAGTGCATTGTACACCTCAGGTCTTGGATGTGGTCCCAGAAGTATTGATTTACTTTTTAATGTAATGCATGTTTATGTGAAGTAATTCAAAATTGTTCTATCAATGCAAGCTTGTATAATATTATTAAGCTCCAAAATTCAAGAACTCTGTCAGCTTTCTGTAGAAGATATATTATTCTGAGCCAATTTATAAGTAACAAGGTTAGAATAATTGGGGTCCAAGAAAACCATTCTTGGACGTACTTCCCCCAAATTAAAACAACTCAACAGAAAAAGGCCTCAGTTCATTGTTTGCCTTGGGTTGTGGTACTGGCTTTCACCAGTGCAAAGATGTTGCACTGGTTGCACTAAAACAAGTGTATCAGGGCTGCCCCTGGATGTCTTATCGTTAGAGGCAAAACAGAAAATGCTGCACCTGCCATGTACCCACACATCCACTGCCTGCAGCAGTGGCAATGGGCATGAGAACAATGGACATGCAGCAGAGCAGGCGGCCAACAATTGCCGGAGGCAGTGAGCAGCACGTTGTTCAAGAGCTGGATTTGCCACCGCTCACAGCTATCTGGAACCAGCAGCCCTGAGACAATTGCCTCACCTCATGGGCAGGCTGGTCCTGCGGTGTATGCATTGCAAACACTAACCGGTTATGTAAATAGCTCTCACATGTGCCCAAAGAGTTATTTCTGAACGAACCAGCAGTAAATCACACAAAGTAAGTGAAGTGAACTCTTTATTAGAAAACAAACAAACCAGGATCTCCATAGGAGTATCAGGCCTAATGAGCGCAGCAACTCTTCTTCAGTAGGACTTGCCCCCATGAAGCAGTTGCTGAGACTGAAGGTCCCCTCCTCCCCAAAGCGGCCTAAGTACCCACCTTTCCAATCTGAGACTGTGCCTGTGTGCCTGTCTTTGCTCCTCCCACTTTATGACACTCCTGGTTCTGGGAGACCAGGGGGCGGGGAGGAGAGCTTGTCGCAGCAGAAGGGGGAGACACCCATGCCTCTTCACCAACCTGACTCATCTCTCTGGCTCTTGACCTTCCTCGTCGCACTCTCCTACTGCAGCTTCTACCTCTGATTCTGGACTGTTCACTTCACTAAGCCCTGTTAGCTCTTCAGCTTCTGACACGTCTTCTCAATCTTCTCCTTCTTCTCCCTCTGACCACTCATTGTCATCTCACCACCAATCCCCGTACTCTGAGCCTTCTTACTTTGAGGGTTCCCCAGCTGCTTCCTCCCACCATTCCTCTGTGTCCAGCCAGTCCATGACAATTCTTCAGAAGGGTTTGCTGTCAGGCTTCTGTTGTTTGAGACAGGCACAGCAGTTGCAGGTATACTGTGGTTTCTGGTAATGGTGGACATCTGGTTGGCAATGTATGGGCTTCCCAAATTTTCAGGCTCCTGAGTCCTCATTGTGATGATGGGGAGAAGGAGCACACCCAGAGATGGGTCCCGGATCCCCTTCCCCAACAAATTATCATAGCACTATTCCTTCAGGTTCTGCTATCATTATGCTGATCCATTATTAACTTACGAGTATCTAGAATTAGCCTGCATGCTTCCTTGTTTCACCTAACAGATTTGCAATGCTGCTCTCACAGTCCTGCCCACTAGAGAAGAGTGTTCCCAAAAGGCGAATGTATTCAGAATGGAATGATATTATTTCTTTTTCTCACATTTTCAAATACTAGCACCCCCATAAAAGTCAAACCTCTCAATTTGTTGGTTGTGTGATAATGCCCTTTATCTCATTCCTAAAGGACTCCTTCCTACCATCCAGTTCATCAAAGCACACAATGCTGATCAAATAAAACATGTGCTGTTAGGAAAGCCAGTAGTCACAAACATGTTGTAAATGCTAACTTCAGCATCTAAAATCCATACCACCCCCCACTTTCTCCATGTTAACTCCAAACCCCTTGAATTCTAATGGATCCTATCCTATCCTATCCATAGCAGTGGGTCTCTTTCCCTGAAACAGTTGTCAACATTATAGCTAGTGAGCAGAAAGGTACCCAATGCAGATAGCTATATATAGCTGCAGATAAAAATGCTGTTGTGAATCGCATCCATAGCAACACACTACCATGCTGCAAAGTACAAAATCGGTAAGGTCACAAAGATTTAAAAATGGAGGCTACAAGAGCTTAGGTTGGACAGCCACATGAGAAACTGATGGAAAAATAAAACCATTGGATTGGATTGAGACTTATTCATGTTTAAAGTAGAGCCATTAAAATCAAATATTGGTTTACTCCAAGCATGAATGCCAGAATCCCACCCATTGGCTGCATTCAAGTGTCAAAATAAACCATGGTTTATTGTGAGGGGAATGGACCATGCTCAGGCTTACGCAACTCCCATTCATCCCTTCTTCTGGCACAGCTACAAGAAGGTATTCAGAAGCTTTTGGGTGCATTTTTGATTAACCACAGGTTGCCATTTCATCCACAACAAACTGTAGTGTAAAAATAACAGCCTACACAACTACTCATACTGCAGGGGAAAACAATGCAGAGAAAGAAGAAAAACAATCAACTACAGTGGTACCTCAGGTTACAGACGCTTCAGGTTACAGACTCCGCTAACCCAGAAATAGTACCTCGGGTTAAGAACTTTGCTTCAGGATGAGAACAGAAATCACGTGGCAGCAGCAGGAGGCCCCATTAGCTAAAGTGGTACCTCAGGTTAAGAACAGTTTCAGGTTAAGAACGGACCTCCAGAACGAATTAAGTTCTTAACCTGAGGTAACACTGTATTTTGTACATTACAAAAGCTTGCATTGCTCCTGGTCTGGAGTTTATTCCTCCTTGTCACAGACTACTGTGCAAGTACAAATTTACAAGTTTGTAGCGAACAAGCGTAAAGTGGTAGTAATAGTGACTTGATATTATGTTCAGCTAGGGCCAACCTGAGATACATTAAAACATGAAAAGAGAGGAGTTTTGATTTTGTGTTTTAAAACACACTGATCGCTATACCACCGCACAGGCTGTAAATAGCAAAGAAGATTAGAACACACTAGAACACAGAGTAGAATGAGATTAGAAATGACATTACAGGTTTAAAGGCCCTTACCTTGCCACCTGTCAGAGAGACGCACACAATACCAATTCTCCCAAAACAGTTGCAACAGACTAGAGAAACCAACACAAGGCTCTGTTATGAGGCCAGAGACTGCCGTGCTCAGGTGGATGTGTTATTAGAACAAGAATCGGAGTTAGGAGGGTGCTGAGTTGGGTTAAAGGTTCATACTGTATGTTCACAGGAGACTAAATAGATTGTAAAGTAAAAATCCAATTAGCAAGTCTAACTGTAAGAAGTTGGGCTTTGAAACAGCATCAACAAATTGTATTAGCAACCAAGGAAGGGATCAGAGCAAAAATTTGAAAAAAGCCGATTTATGCAATTGATGGATGAACAAAATGCAAACATTTTAGCTGCAAAACATTTAAGATTTTGCCTATACTTTATCTCAACTTAGTTTGTCCCCAATCTTTGCCTATTTTTAGAAAATATTACAACAGGATATAAAATGTTACCCACAACCACATTTTATACACGGGCAATTAAAACAGCCCTTAAACATTGAAAACAGTCCCCATTTCACCTTACCTTGAACAAATAAAGCAAAATATGTCATGATGTTTGGCTTTCCCCTTCTCTTTCTCCTAAGTATCATCAAATGACAGTACAAAAAGTAAGTAACAGAAATGAAGGGAGCAATTATGCCCCCCACTGGATTCTCCCTCAACCCCCTACCAAGACAATATTAGTCTTATAATCAATTCCTTGGGGGGGGGGTGCAAAAGCAACAAAATTCTAATTACAGGAAAGACACTTGATTTTCTTTGCTCTGCAGTCCTAAGATGTCAAAATGTCTAGACAGCTTGAAAAAGAAACTTTGACACAGCACCCTTTCTTGACAGAGTGGGGGGAGGAAGAAAGATAACAAGCTTATTACACATAAGTCATCCCTCATTACTTAAATTGAGCAGAAACATGCAAACTGGTCTGCAGCTGGAGTGAAATGGGAAGCTTGGGACATATTGAAGAATTGTCAACAGCCCATGTTATACTGATCACAACTTATTTTATTGCTTCTAGACAGCTGTATTTCCTAATTTCAATCAATAGTGGCCTGAAGTTAGACTGCTTTTGCACATGTGAACCAAATTCTGCAGCAAGACATTCTGAGCTTAGAATGAATTTTGCAATATTTTACAAAAGTTGTCCAAAGTTACTGAGTTTGATCAGAACCATTAGTACGGGAAGCCTTGAAGGCTTGAATCCTGACCACAAAATATCCCATTCAAAGCCCACTTTGGTTTCCATGCATTTATCAGATTTTCTACACATTCCTTGGCAGGGAGGGGATAAAAGCACTTGGGCACTTTTTGCTTCCAGCATTTATCTCTAGCAATGATTACTATATTTAAAAAAGAAAAAGAAAGTCATCCTGCTTAAGAAGCCAAATCAAATGTCAGATTCTTTGGCAGGTCACAAGGCAGAGATGAAGAGCATACTGAACATTTTTCTGACTGCAATTCCTAAAAGCATAGAATTCTAACACCCAGATTTCCTTCCTCCAATAAGCAGTAGCAATAGTCAACATTTGCGAAACACTCAGACTGCACTGCACAACAAGCTAAAATTATGATGCGGAAATCTGTGGTCAACAAGAGGGATTTAAACTTCTATTGTTGTACACACAAAAGCAGGTAAAGCCCTATTCAAGCTGAATGTAAATTGGATGACAAATCTCTACAAATATGCTTTGTTGTATCTTCTTCCCTAAGTCTAAAAGAAAAGGATATAAAGATAAAGAGGCTAAAAGTTAACTTTAGGTCAACAAACCCATTGAGTTTTGAGGCCAAAAACAAAGTCAAGAAACACCAAAGGAAAAAGACTATAATAGATACATTAAGCTGGAACTAACCTCCAGGGGTCATCCAGGCTAACCTACCCTGTAGGGGTGGGATTCTAACTCAGAAAGCTTTAACCAGCCAGGAGGCAAGACAAATAAACCAAAAATAAAATAAAATGAGACATTAGGGAGCCAGCTGTCATCTATTTAATGGTATATATGTTTTTGTGTATATGTGTGTGCATGTTTTTATATTTGTGTGTGCATACAAGAAAAGCCCTTTTTATTAATTTATTTAATTTTTATTTTAAACAATAAAGTCATTTTTCTAAATATCTTTATTTCTTTCTGTTTAGCTAACACAAGTAAAAGGTTAAATACTGAGCCCCCAAGATAATCATATCTTGGTAGGTTGGGCCCACTTCTTGGTTCCACCCCTGTGTTAAACAGACTCATAACATTTCAGCCAGATAGTTCTGCCATGTAGGAGTTTCCAACTTGTGTAGAAAATTATCCTCATCTAACACTATGGCTGTGTGCAAACGTAACTCTAAACCATGGTTTAGCACTATATGCAGAAGTGGAAACAAAATGCAAGTTACAGCACAGGAACAATGAGGGAAAGGCAGTATCAGAGTAGTATGACCCTAAATGTCCCTTGCTAGGGATCACCAACAGGAGGGTGATATTGCACGTGTGTCCAGGAGCAGATGGCTCCTACTGCACTCCTAGTATAACTGGGAGCACCACGATCCCCGACATAGCATCATGTCCACACCAGGGACTGAGGTTCATTCCAAATAAATTATGATGCTAAGCCAAAGCTTGTTCTTGGCTTACCATTTGTGGTTTGGAACAAAACTACCCTCGACCCCCAGTTCTGATATAATACTAAGCCAGGAAGCATGGTTTGTGAAGCAGCAACCATCTCTGTATTCATAGTAAACTATGGCTTACTGTGACATGTGAACTGGGCCTGGAAAGACTGAAAGAGATGAAGGAGTAACAAATACAAAAAAAGGGAGATTTGCTATATATATACTTTCTGCTCCGTTTGAGAATTTGGCATGTTTTATGCCTCTGCCTTTACAGACAAACTCTTAATAATTTATTGCCTTTGCTGCTTTGTCAATATGACACACTCCATTTGCAAACTCAACAAAATGATCTGTCTTGGGAACTCAGCCAACAAGTGTTTTATGAAGGCTTCAAGCAGAGAAGCCAACTCTGTTAAAACAGCATCCTGTTGATAAATCCTATCCCTATAGGTAGAGAGTGTAATGTGAGCAGGAACTAAAGTGATCAGATCCAGCTATAATAGTGTTAGAAACCCTTTGTTGTTCTTTCAAAGGTTGTGGGTTCACTTGCCATATTTTGTGGTCTAGTAGGCTTACACAATTATTTCTTTTCCATGTTACCTTCTTTGTCACATGAATTATCAATCCATTCTGTTTGAGTCTGGGTGCCCATACAGTCTTAACATACCCTGCCTGACTTCCATCTTCACTTTGCCCTTGCCTAAACTTCTTGTGGATTTCTCCTATGTAGAATAAGTGAATGGTTACATAGTTGGTTGGTATTTAAGAACTATGTGAAAGCATTGGTGTTCCTTTCTTGGGGTGCCATGCTTCATGTCGTCAATCCACATAAGCTTGCTCATCGCATGAAGTGTTGCATATGAGAATGAACCATCAAGATTGAACCACATATGCAAACTATTTCTCAGTGGAATCAGTTCACATATTTTGCTGCAATGAGAAACCACAGGTGTACATATATACACAAACCAAAATCTCACTTTTGTACTCCCTTCTCCCTCTTTTCCCATTCATTCTTTTTCTGTTGCAGTTTTCTCAATTATAATGGCATGTGTTTGTGTGGGGTATGTTGTGTTGTGCGTGGAGGAGTTAAGTGTGGAAACACAGTATGAGCAATATGTCAGTACAAAACTGATGATTTCAAGAACCCATAATCTAAACTAACATTGCTTCGTATGAAAAATAAGTTACATACAGGAGAAATGTTCTTCTCCTTCTAAATCACTTCTGTGACTTACTGATAACTCTCTCCTCAATGGGTCTTTTTCTTTCTGGTCTCCCTCCCTGCATCATACTTCATTGTCTCCCACTTTACTACGTTACTATGGTGACCTCAACAAAGACTTTGCTAGGCCTCTGGGGCAGAGACACAACCAACAGTACTAGGATCACAAAGCTCACCCCCCTAAGTGCAACAGCAGAGGAAAGACAGCCATGTGAGTTATGGGGGTTATGGGGCAGGGAGGGGATAAGCAACTATTTGATTGGGAAAACATAAGCAAGCAAACCTAGTTATTGGATCCCATTATTTTGGTGGTGTCAGTAGTGAGGAAGAATAACTTAAGAGACCATTTTGAAGTGGTGGTGCTTCCTATGTGTTACTGTGCTTGCCTTTACAACAATCCTGTAACACAGCCAGCAGTGGTTGTTGCTCATTGGGGCTGGTGGAGCAGAAGGGCTGGACACCAGTAGGAGTAGCAGGAGCTCGAGCCAATGACAGGCAGAGAGAAATAATTCTGTTTTTGTTCCTATTCTCATCCATGCTGAGTTCTACGAGGGAAACAATGGGCCTAAGGAGGAGGAAGCTGACAAGCAGTGCCACCCCCTGGGCTGGTTGTCAGTAAGAAGGCAGGCAGGCAAGGTCTTAATAATCATAGAAAAATAATCATAGAATCGTTGAGTTGAAAGGGACCACAAAGGTCCTCTAGTCCAACCCCGCTGCAACGCAGGCTTGCTGAGGGCAGGCTGGGGCTGGTGGCACAGTACCCCATTTTCCTAAACAGAAGCCTCCACTGGGTCACTTTTCACCTCCATTTTATCCACTTAGAATAAAGGTGAGAGAAAGTGGCTTATCTAGGGCTATGCAAGAAAGAATTTCAACCCATCTCCCAGACCAAGTGCATCAAATATCACCTGAATGTCTGCATAGGCCATCTTAAATGCAACCACACAAAGAGAACTTTGTTTTCAAGCACAATATTTGTAATTGAGTCAATTTACTTCACACATTTAGCTGCTAGGCATAGTGTGGGGGAAAATGTACATGCATGTGTAGACCAGCCTGTGAATGGATTTAGAGCCTACCTGGACCTGGGAAGACAATGCTGGATCTGGGAGACTTTGTACCTGCTCTATTAAGGGGAGTTCAACCCCTTCAGAACAGGCTACACAGTTAATTCCAGGACATGAGAACCACTTACTCCCAGTGTCTCTGTCTTGTCAGGATTCAGCTTTTGTTTATTATCCCTCATCCAGAACACTGGCATATTAAATCCCTGTCCAGCCCACATGGCTCAGAGGAGAGAAACAGGACAGAGTGTTGTCTGCATTCTGAGGGCACCTCACACCAAACCCTTCTCATCATTCTCATCTTCTCACAACATTCTTTGCTTCTTTGTGATACCTGAATTGTTCTGTGTTTTGATTAAATATTTAAATGCATGAATAATAAACCAAATACCACATGCTTGCTCAAAGTGTTTTGAACAAAATCTATTTCTTTTTAGTAGTTAGCTTTTTCCCCATTAACAGCATATTAAATATTTTTCTGGGATGCATTGTTACAGTGTTTATTCAAGGTGTTGTAAACTGTCACTGGTCTACTGTTGCATTTCCACATATTCACAAAATTTGCCAGGTTGCTGCTGTTGGCATTCTCGTGCAGTTGACAATAAGTTCATGACTGAACATTCACACAACATAACTGGGACTGTCAGTGCTCCCACATGACTGGCAATAACAACAATTTCTGATATTTGCTGCAATATATGCATATGGTAGTGAGTTTTATAGATGCACTCATTGTGTGTGTAATGAAAAGCGTATCAGTTCCCAAATATATTGGATAACAAACGTTTATTGTTGTATCTCTCCTCCCATTTCTTCTCAGATACACGATCTCAGATTTTTTTTACCCACACAGGGAAATTTTAGAAAAGAAATATATGTGAAACAATATCAGAAAAGGGGAGGGAGGAATGTGGATTTTGCAATAAGTGATGCATACGAAGGAGGATGGACTGCTGCCCACACATGTTCAGAGATATTTCTTGCAGAATTCACATAGATTTTGCACTCTGATACCTTGTTTGTAAGTGTATGGTCAAAACTGTAATGTTTTATGCCATCTCTCTAAGTAGGAAGCTCTCTAGAGCAATCCTTTTTTTCTGTCAAGGACCTCATTCTCTCAGGGGTAAATTGCTGGGGCCTACATGCCACCAATGGTTGGTGGTCCACAGCCAATTATTGACTGTGCCAGAGCCAAAGTAGGTAGGGCATCCCCTTTTCTTTCTCACCCCTCTCTGCCATCCCACAATTCCATCCTTGCCAACTGCATGTAATTGACCATAGGCTGCCCACAACAGCTCTAGATGAAGACTATAACTGGGAGAGTGACAGGACAACACACAAAGAAGAATCACACAGGGAGGGGCCTCACATGCTGCACTTTAAGGTATATACCTAGCATTTTAATCAACTATCATGAAAAGGTATGATATTAAAGTGACTAAAAGTAGGATGGCAAAAGCATGCACGCATCATATAGGTACACTGATCAAGAAGCTACCGTATTTTTCACTCTATAACACGCACCTGACCATAACACGCACGTAGTTTTTAGAGGAAGAAAACAAGGAAAAAAATATTCTAAACGAAACAGTGGATGTATGTTTTTTGTGGCTCATGCTGTGGCCACAGACATGTGATCTGACAGTGAGTTTGGAGTAGCCCAATGCAAAAATCCTGAGGATCCATGTGGATCCATGCTTTGTAACCACGTTTTTGCACCACTTTAAAGCATCCTTTAAAGCAAGCAGGCTCTGCTTTTCTCCCTCCTCCCTGCTCATTCCCGGCTTAGCGAGCTGAAAAACTTTGCTGCTATGTAGCAAGCTGAGTGGGGAGGAGAGAGGGACAGAGAGCCTGCTTGCTTTAAAGGAACCAACCGGACAGGAGCCGCTTACACTTGTGTAAGCGGCTCCTCTCCTCTCCCGCTTTGCTTCTTTAAAGAAGCGGGCTCTCTGTCTCTCTCTCCTCCCCACTCAGCGGCTCTTCTCCCGCTTTGCTGTTTCAAAGCGAGCCACGGAGGAGGGAAGGAAGGAGAACCATGGATCCTCTGCTCACAACTGCAGCAGATCCCCCCCGCCATCCGTAGGCATTCCCTCCATAACACGCACAGACATTTCCCCTTACTTTCTAGAAGGAAAAAAGTGAGTGTTATGGTGCAAAAAATACGGTAACTTTGGCCGAGGCTCTCTGTCAAGTCAAGGGCACATTAAGCAGTAAATTCAACTTTGTTCATATGCTATGTGTAAAATGGCTGGTGGTTGCAATTCATAGGAAGAGTAAAAGAGTAAAGAATGTTTTGATTTGCAGAGAATCTATGCTGCACAGTTATTTCTGTTTTTTCACAGGGAAAAGAAATCCAGCATAAAACAAGTCATTGTGGAAGAAGATGAAAATGAAATAGATAGGGATGCCGCTAACAGCCAGCTCGTGGGGGTAAAGGAGAAGGATTCTCCTGTCCTCAAACTCAGCGTGATGTTCAGCCCCAATCTGGACAGTGAAAGAGGTGGCAGCTCCAGTCCTTCCCCTTCTCCTGCTGAATCCCGAAGAAACAGAGTGTGTAAGCATTGTTCACAAACGGATTCCTTCATAACCTTTAGAGCAGCCTTCTCCAAATTGGTGTCCTCTGGATGTTTTGGGCTACAAGTCCCCTCAGCTCCAGCATGCAGGGCCAACGCTCAGAGACGATAAGAGTAGAGTCCAACACCATCTAGCTAGGGAAGGCTGCTTCACCGTTTCTTATATGTAGCTGGCACAGCACAATTTTGCTCCCATGTCATTTTTTTAGAGCCTTTTATAGACCCAAGTGAACATAAATATCCTAACACCTGCTGGTTAGACATGAGCTTTATTCTACTGTACCGACACACGTGCAAAGGTTTATACAGCGTTAACTTAAAATTGTGCAGTTTGCCATCTGAATGGCTGACACCTCAATCATGTTTGCACTTACTTTTGGGGACTGTTCCTCCACTGAAATAACGAAATCCACCCCTTCCTGGGTATATAACTGAAGTTGATGAATTGCCTCTTTCCCTTTGTCTTGTAAGGATGGGACTGTGAGGCAGCCATATGCCCTTTGTCTCATAATGGGGTAGAATAAAAAAAATAAAAAATGGGGCAGAATAAACAAAAGTAAACTGGGAATGATGCTTGTTGGGCTCACAAGGAGGGATGCTTTGTGAGCCCAACAAGCATCATTCCCAGTTTACTTTTGTTGGGCTCACAAGGAGGGATGCGGAGACTTCCGGGGTGGCGCCACCGGCAATGGCGGACTCCCTCTGAACTGGAGGGACTAGCTCCACGGAAAACGGGTCTTCTCCGCTACGGCGAAGCGGGGACCCACTTAAAAATCACAGGCGGATGAAGCCTGTGACCATGGGACTCGGCGGGCACCTTTAGCGCCCCCCCAACCCGCTAAGGAACCCACTAACGGGCTCCGAAGTGAAGAGGGGGAAGTGGCGCGGTGCTGTGAATCAACTGCTATTTCCGTGGAGCGAAGCCGCATAGCTGTTGCCAGAGAGCGCTGCCTTTTCCTGGGACAATTTGGACTTTAAAATAAGCACCCGTGAGTACTTAGACTTTGAACAATTGGACATCAAATAAGGACTTGCGAGTAGGAAAGAATCGGACTTTAAAAATTTACTTGAATTTGGTACGGAACGGGAAGGTCTAAACAGGAAGTCATCCTTCCGTTCTTTTGTAAACAGAATAAAGCAAAGGCAATTTAAACTAGAGCTCAGGAAATCGCTTTTAAAAGATTGGATTTCACCATTTAAAATTGTGGAACCCCCCTTCGACAGCAGGAGAAGGGGGGGATCTTTTTGGACTGTTTAAAGTGACTTTAAAGTGAAGTAACTTTCCTCCGTCCTGATCCTGGAGCGGGCTGTCAGGACTGACGTGTGAAGTTCATTAACCAAAGACAAGTGTTTTTGACAGATGGCTAAAAGAAGAGAAACCTAGTGATTCCACTGTTCCCTTTCGCATTTTAAAGGATTATATATGGACAAAGTATCTTAAAAAGGAAACTTTGTTGCAAGAATAAATAGAAGTCTTCCCCTAGGGGGAGTCTGTGAAATTGTAACTGTGAAACTGTAACTAACTCCAGGGAGTCGACAGCTGTTACAGATTACAACCGTGGGAACAAGTATCTGACCTTGTAGGACAATGTATTCAGAAGCCTTGTTGTATGCTCTCTATAAAACAAACGATCTACTGGAACAATTACACGAGAAGGTGAATTGGATGGCGACTTCGACTAGAAATTTTGAACAGGCAGTGGGAAACTTTGAACAGACAGTGGGAAAATATGTGGAGCCCACTCAGGATTTAAATCAGGAGTGTGTCTTGACAGAACAGGAGTTTTTGACATTAAATCAGGAGTGTGTTTTGACAGAACAGGCCCAACAGGAATATGATTTTTGGATTTGACAAATGAACTTGGAAAAAGCCATATCTGGAAAGGAAAAGTTTGGCTTGGTTTGGAAATGGGGGGCTGGATTGACCCCCCTATGCTGGGATGTTTGGACTTTTCAAATATGGCAACGGGCCGTGAGATGTTTGGGACTGTGGGGGCTCTCAATTTTGGAGGGCCTTTGAAACATGCTTTTAAATACTACATGGAATTCATTGTTGAACATGGAAAAGGGGCTGATCTGTTGAGAAGGGTTAAAAACATTGTCAAGCTGGAGTTACCACGAGCAGGAGACAAGGGAAAATACAGTTACAAATATGAAGAAGAGCCGCGGAAGGGTCATGGAAGAGACTTGAGGGCCTCGGACATAAGGTTGCCAGGTTAATGGGCTAGATTGACGGGAATAAGGACTGACAAAACCCGGAACCAGGAGGAAGGGACGCTGGATGAAGATTGGATCTGTTTATACCTCTTTTTTCTACCATTAGAACTGTTTTATAAAATTGATGAATGATAGAAAAACGTTGGAATGAAATTACTTGGCTTTAGCAAAGATGTTTAAAGAATTATGAAAAGAATATTATGATTATGAGAAGTTGGTAAGGATAAGATTTAAGTTTTAAGTTTTAAGGTTTATTTTATTATAGAAAGATAAGGTCAAGGATTTGCTGGGATAATTAATAACTAGGATACAAAGAAAGGGAGGAGGAGGAGGTCTAAGAAAGAAGGTAATGACAGTTAAGGATTTGAAAATAATGAATTTGTTTTTAAATGTTTTTAAAGTTTTGTGATTTTTGCATTCTTCTTTTTTTCTGTCATTTTTTCTCATTTGGAATTTTTTCGTATATGGTGGGAAGGGGTTGGTTTTTTTCTTCTTTTTTCTATTTTTTCAATTATTTTTATCCTTTGTACTCTCTTCTGCTTCTATTTTATTTTTTCTCTTTTTTGTAACATTTTGAAAATCTCAATAAATATCTTAAAAAAAAAAACACACACAAGGAGGGATGCTAACCCGAAAAGAAGATGTAAAGGAAGCCGCAGCTCGTGCACCTGTGCAGCTCAGGAGCATATATCTCTATTTAGTAGGTCCCGTTTTATCTAAAGAGCTTTCTTTCCAAGCAAGCACTGATGGAATTGCAGCCTCAGTAATCAAGCAGGAGAAGGAATATCAGCTGCTGTAGTTTGTCATTTCATGATGCTAGAGGAAGGCTTGGGAAATGAGAAAAACTTCCAGATTCCTTCTGCTATGCAACTACTAAACTTAGCCTTACCTTTCAGAAGTTACTTGTAAAGAAGTTAGGAGTAATTGGCTTTAGCAGGGGTTTGCCTGCAAAAGCTTAGCTTCCAGCCTTGCTTGTTACCTTTGGGTTGAAATGCAAAATATGCTTTCTATTTCTGAAGGTTTTTAGCAAGAGTTGAAAATTATTGGTTCTACCATCCCTTTATTTGCCTTTATCTAACAGATAACATGGCATATTTTTGCTGTTTACACCCCTCCCACCTAGCAACCAAAGGCTATTGAACACAAACAAAACCACTCAACTTGCTGTTTGTGAGATCAAGTGGAATAAATGAGAGACAGATGGAGGCAGGTAGAAAAACCTCTTAATCTTAGAAGAGCCAAGATATCATAGGAATCCCTGAATGCTGGAGCCAAAATAAGCTGACCCCTGAGTTGTGAAGAGGAGGAGTAAGAAGGGGGAAAAGAGACTGGAGGCTATCGAACAGAGGCCAGAATAGCAGGCCATCTGTAATTATTCCAACCTAGGAGGAGTCAAGATGGGCTCTGGGGAAACTGGCTTGATGCAAGAACAACAAGACATTTGGGTGAATTAGACTGCAGGTGAACATCTTGAAGAATAAGGGGTGAATGCATTCATGTCAAAGCTGAATTATGGAGACTAGTTTACAGCCAACTTTCTTCCTAAGGGATAAGGAAAGAGAGGGCATTTTCAGTCAGTGTCCCATCTGTAGAATACCCTCACCAGGAAAGCCTGTCTGATGCCAACTTTGATGTAATTCCTTCCAGTCCCCTGCAAAATCATTTTTATTTGCCTGCGGCATGCAGTCTAAACTGGGTTTGATTTTGGCTTTATCTGTCTGCTGAATTCATATGGTTCCATTTCATTGCTGCTTCTGATATTTTAACTTGCTTTAATTATATACTTTTAACATGATAGCATAAGCGCCGGTTGGGCCCTCCAATTAAAATGTTCCTCCTCAGTACCAAAAATAACCATAAACATATAAATTGGATTCCAGGGATAAAACTGAACTAGAATCCCTTCCCCTTTGACGTCTACTTTTTTGTGCAGAGGGGAGTGTATGTGTTTGAAGGAAAAGGAGGAGCATTCAACCATGCTAAAGATTCCCCACTTGTAGCCATCCAGCCCACACACAGGTTTAATATTTGGGTGAGAACCAGACCCATCTGATGTCCTGTCCTAGATACTATAGCCCCAAAGTGGAGCAGCAGCCATATGCAAACTGTTTCCTCTAGTAGTTGGTGAACGGAATGTGTGGGCCGGGAGTGGCTAACCTGTGGTCTTCCAGATGTGGTTGGATTCCAACTCCCATCAGCTCAAGGCAGCATAGCCAAAGATCAGGGATGATGGTAGTTGTAGTTCAGGAGCATCTGGAGGATCATAGGCTCCTACACTTGATGCAGACTGAACTTTAGAGACAGTGGTTGTCAGGGACTGGGCAGAGGAGGAATGGTGGAGACTGCCTCCCCAGCCTGACCCTTCCAGAGAAGAAGACAGTTCAGAATTACAACAGGGGTTTGAGGGAGATCACAGCTCAGAGGCAGATGAGGGGAAAAGCTGAGAAATAATGGGAGAGGAGGAGGAAGAAGCACCAGAGGGAGACAGCTGATGGACACAGTGTCTTTAGAAAGCATTCCAGATGCCCCTTCTCCCAGAACCCGGCAGGCATTGAAAGTAGGAGAGCAGAGAACTCAGAAGCAGAGGGCACATCTCAGCACCTGTAGTGATGACACATAATGGGAGAGAGGGAGGGGGTGGAAAATCACTCGCAGCAACACCATTTTCCAAGAGGCTGCATTTCTAAGCCTCTCTCTGTGAATACTGGATAAAAGGCAATGTTGGTAAGAAAATGTCCTTGTCTTATCCATTCGTGGCAACCCACCGTGGGGGTTGGATCCTCTGACACCTGACAGTGGTATAGAAAAGAAATGAGTGCAAATAAAGGCTCCTCCTGGCATCCTTTTTATTGGGTATTCATGATTTATGCCCATGGTAGCATTAGGATTTGACAGATACCCGACCCCGTTTTAATGCTGTTTGTGCCTGCAAACATTTTGGGGTAGACATACTGTTCTGTAGCCACTTCCAACTCTACAGTTCTATGATTTTGTTGCACTCTAGCACAAGAGTGCCTCTCCAGGTAGCAATAATGTGTTAGCACTGGGGAAGCATAACAGAATAATGAGGAAGGGTGTGTGGATGGGCCAGTATAAATCCACTACTACTGTTCTATTGCTGCATCAGAGACTTGTTTCAGAATACCAGGGAAAAACTGCACCAGTCTGGCTCTAAGAGAGATGGGCAGGTAAGTAAGAATTCTGACCAATAGTTATAGGTGTATTTTACTCCTCAAATGGCATGTTTGAACTGGAAACCTCCAGATAACCAGCAAAGATTTATTACGGTACAGATCCAGCAGGAGGGATAACAAAACGCTGCTTGTGGCTCACAACAAAAACTCTTATCTCACATGTCTTTAAATCACCTATGTATAACCAACCTGGAAAAATGACAGTTTCTTCACTGGAGACAGCCAACAATTTTGCAAAAGGTTTTTGCATATAGACAGTACTTTTGCCCCACTCTCTGTTCAAGCAGGTTTCTGAAAGAATTCAAACCTGCTTAGAAAAGACAAGAAGTGGCCTTCCTTGCGTGATACATCATACAAACCATAGCATTCTGTTTCCTTTGCAGGGCAACCCATTCTCCGCAGCTGAGCCCTGACCTGATGGAAAATCCACGAACGCTGCTCATGCTGCTGCGTCAGAGGGATCTGGAAATCATGGCACTGAAAAATGCTAACCGGAGAGATCAATCAGACCGGCTTGGCTGTATTTTGCAGCAACTTGTGAAGTCAAGGCAAAAACTGCCACTTAGGAGGTGAGCAACATAAAGCTTTACAAAACTGGAGTATGTGCCTACTGAAAAGCACTTGCAAAATTACAGGTGAAAAAGAAGGGCCGTGGCTGTCAGGTAACACCTAGGGCAAGAGCTGCTTTGCTGGAAGGGGCAGGATTTATTCTGTGATGGGCAAAGGGTATTGTGCAGATGCGCCCATAGGAAGCAAGGTTCAACACCTTTCGCAAAGGTAGGATTAAAAACATGATTTGCAGATTAAAGTCATTTATTGAAGGTTAACATATTGGGTGGATTCAACCAAATTGTTGCATGTGCAGAACATGGTCCACTCATGCAATGGAACTTTCTCCCTTCTCCCCATCACACCCTCTAAAGTTGTTCTGGAGGGTTGGGCAAACCACCACAACGGGTTGGGGGCTATGGAGAGGAGATGGTGTGGAAGTTCAGTTGCGCAAGCAGACGTCATTCCCCATACACATACCCACCTTCCTGCTAGTGCTACGCTCTTCCAAACTTTTAAGGATATATCTCTCTAACAGATTATCATAATGTGTAGGATTGTTAAGCTATTTCTGTACTGGGATTTTTTAAATAGCTTGACACTGGCTCCATTCTGGTGTGTTGACAGACCTGTGTGATTCCCCACTACACCAGAGATAAGTTGCACATTGGTGTGCAACTGAGCTACAAAAGTCACACAGTAATCTGGATGCAAACCATTTGCAACATGAGGTGCATGGGAGGTGCATATATAAATCCTCTAAGCGGTTTGCAAAAGGATAAAACAAGACGTTAAAATTATCAGTGTAAATGGTTAAAAACAAGCATATGAAAGCATGCAAAAGATATAGTAAAATCAACACTAGCTAAAAGGAGAGAAAATGCATGTAACTTCTACATGTTGGATGGCCATTTGTCATGGATGCTTTAGCTGAGATTCCTACATTGCATGGGGATGACTAGATGACCCTTGGGGTCCCTTCTAACTCTACAATTCTATGATTCTATGTCTAGATAGACTGGAACAAAACTATTTTAAGCAGGTGGAATAAAGAGTACAGTGAAGGTGCCTGATGTCCTTAGGCAGGGAGTTCCAAAGTGTAAGTGATCCCACATTAGAATAGAATATCAATTTCTTAAGAGTGTGGAATGGATATTACAAGGCACCTGTAACAGTGCCAGTTCTGAATTCTACTATCTCAGTCTACTGCTTTCTTCTATGTGTGATGTCTCAGACTCAGAGAATGGCTCTGAGTCAGAATTATGACTCATCAGACTTAGTTCCCCAGGTGAAATCCCTATTTGTAATGTATCTTGCTACGCAGAGAACTGTCTGTGTACGAAATTTGCAAGTCTCCTCTCCAGCAGAAAGAGTTACTCCTGTACTGAGTTTTCTTCTTGTTTTCAGGAGAGAGTGAGTGGAAGGGAGTGTTATACTTTGCAATCCATCCCATGATTCACTGGACAAACAATGCCATTCTCCCTCCGCAAAGGAAGCAAGGGAAACAAAGAACCCATTCAAACCTAGTGATCCAGAACATGAATAATCTGCATGTGGCAAAGGGCAGCCACAATGCCTGTTATAAGAATAGCCTTTTTTAATGGTAGGATTCCAGGACATCTATTGTGCTATGAAACTCTGACTAAGGTCCCTTTTGATCTGGCCCATAAGAAGTAAGTCCAGCGTGGTGGTAGTATAGAATCACTAGTATCTGAAATGCTTAGCTATTAAAGCACCCTTACCTCCAGCTTTAAAAATGACTTGATCTGTAAACATGAACAGGAGATCATACTTCTCTCTGTGTCACGATAAGCTTTGGTTACTGATTTCTGCAGATCTGGTGCAGTTGATAGCACAGGTAATTTTAATTTTGTTTGGGTGCCAATCATAAGTCAAATGAAATAAAGTTATTTTAAAAACAAATAATGCAACCATTAGTAAATGTGCAAACAGATATGCCACTCAGTGAAATCAGTTAAAAACTTTATGCTTTGCTGGGCAGAAGCAAGCAAGTTTTGTTTACCATCGGGATAGCTCAGTTGGTTAGAGCGTGGTGCTGAGAATGCCAAGGTTGCAGGTTCGATCCCCATAAGGGACAGCTGCTCTGCATTGCACAGCATTGGACTAGATGATCCTCAGGCTCCCTTCCAAATCTATGATTCTAACACGAATGGAGTAGTCAATTGAAGAAAACCCGCCACACCAGAATGTTGTGGGCATTTAATGTCTCCGACGAGTGACAAGGAGATTGTCATCTAAATGACAGAAGGATGGAACTCAGGCAAGGGATCTCTTCTGGGAGGTAGTTCCCAGGATATAGCACGACCATTAAAGTCCTGCTCCATGCTCTGACAGAGGACAGCTTCACTTTGTAAGCAGGAAGAACCAGGTATGCATATCTACTCCTATTCATCTTAATGATTCAAGGAAGTTGTATAGGAGAAGACGGTCCCTAAAGTATTTTGATAGCTAGACTGCTCTTTCTAGCCATGAAAAGTTTAGAATTCATGATAAATATATTTTTTAAAAATCTGGTTTAGGCTATAAACGAACAAACAACCAGCATGGGTTGTAGTTCAGTAGCAGAGCACCTGCTCTGCACACAGAAGATTCTGGGTTCAATCCCTGGCAACTTCAGGTAGGGTTAAGATTATCCCAAGTCTGAAACCCTGGAAAGCTTCTGCCAGTCAGTGCAGAGAGTACTCAGGTAGCTGCACCAATGGTCTGACTCAATATAAGGCAACTTCCTTTGTTCCACAGTTTTTTTAAAAAAACAAACCAAAAGAACACCACCCCTAAAAAGTAAAAGCTCACAAAATGGGTTGGGTGTGAGGGAGTTGTGCTGCTCATCACCAGTCACGACAAAGGTACTATTCAACAGCCATCCATGACCATTCCACAACCACATTCTATATGGCTGTTGGTAGGGGATGCGGGTGGCGCTGTGGGTTAAACCACAGAGCCTAGGACTTGCTGATCGGAAGGTTGGTGGTTCGAATCCCCGCGACGGGGTGAGCTCCATTGCTCGGTCCCTGCTCCTGCCAACCTAGCAGTTCAAAAGCACGTCAAAGTACAAGTAGATAAATATGTACCACTCCAGTGGGAAGGTAAACAGCGTTTCTGTGCGCTGCTCTTTTTCGCCAGAAGCGGCTTAGTCATGCTGGCCACATGATCCGGAAGCTGTACTGGCTCCCTCGGGCAGTAAAGCGAGATGAGCGCCGCAACCCCAGAGTCGTCCGTGACTGGACCTAATGGTCAGGGATCCCTTTACCTTTACCTTAAGAGCACTGAATGCACCAGCTAAGGCAAGAATCGCATTTCCCAGCAACATAACTTACATTTGAGTGCTGGCTGGGGAATTGTGATAATCCACAAAACAGAAGTACTGCTGTGAAGGAAGCCCATCAGATTTCCCCACAGCAAATGTGTAACAGCCCTACATCTACTACTGCTCAAGATAGTTTTCTGGCTTCGCTTATCAATACCGTTAATCCTGCTGGTTTCCTTCTTTGCTTTTCTGAATTTAAGTTGACGCTTGAGTTTAAGCTGTGCAGTTAAGAACTGACAGCCAAGGAAGAGTTCATCTTGCCTTGAAGCAATGTTCCTATATAAATTGGAGGCTGCTATCCCACAAGGCATGACATCAGTCCTGGAGAGGGGATGTCAAGAGGAGGCAAGCTACAACTGGTGCAGGGAGCAACCAGAGCAAGGTTCTCAGAAGAGAAAATGTGCTCAGACTTCAATTTTTACCAACTTGGCATGCTCATCAGTATCAGATCAGAGAAAGGACAGGCAGGTTATATCAAACCTCACCTTGTTTATGGATCACAAGCAGCCACTCACAGCTTTGTCAATTTCAAGCAATTTCATGCAAGTGCACAATGACCTGGAACACAACCCCTGCACAAATGGGGAGTTGCCTGTATTTCAGTAGTACAAATCAAAGGTTTCCCTTTATCCTATTATATAATTCTGATTGCCATGGATTATGCTGTTGCCTTTCTCATCACTCTTCCACACGCACACACCCATTTAAATGTATTTCTAATGCTCCACTTTGTGAATGCAAACTGCTGTTTTTATTTAGTTTTTAATTATATCCTGCCATATTTAGTAGGATCTTGAGGATCCACGGAAAACAGTTTCACAGGGATTTCAGTTTCAGGGCAGAATATCGTTTGGGTTTCTAAGAAGAGTCTCTTCATTAAGAAGTATAGATCACAGAGCATAGGAAGCTATCAGTTTCTGAGATAAGCTAATGTGTATGTTAGTGGATTTCTTTTTCTCCAAACACAGCTGAAAAATTGAAGCAAAGTTTTAATTCCGCTTGTTTGCAGGAGCCCAAAGGAAGAAGGTCTTCAAGCAGAAGTTGACCAGCTGAATGATGAGATGAAGACTATCAAGAAGAACCATGAGAAGGTGAATGAGTAACAGACACAGTAACACTGGGTGGCCTTTTTGACAGGCCAGATATCACAAACACCTCCAAGTGGCAATTTAAAGAACAAAGTAAACAAACAGCGATATTGAAAAATGGACCAGAAGATAGGCAAATCTTGCTGGGTCAAGGATCATCCTGTTGATTCCCAGGAATCCTCCTGGATTCTTTTTTTAAAAAAATTACAGCTTTCAGGTGGATGCTGACTGCACCTAGTAATTTGCTAATTTTTAATTTGTTAGTAAGGCCTATGTCTTTTCATGTCTATTTGAGTCAGTTCTTAAGGACTTTGCCCTGAAAACGTCAGTTCAGGATTAGGTATCTGTCTTATATTTTCTCTAGAGACGATGGATGTAAATTTTAGATTCTATGCAATCTCCTTACTTACCTTCAGTACACCTTTCACTCTCTTGTCAATTTAGGGTTCAATCTCCTCCCTGGCATATTTTCATAATTTCTCAAGGTTGATTTTAATATTTCTAGCAATGTGCTTCCCAAATTCCTTTTTCACTTGCTTTATTGTTAACATACATTTGTTTTGCCAGAGTGTGTGCTCATTTGGGCATAACACTTACGATGGTTTTTTGTATTTCACATATTCATAAAAATAAAAATAAAGAGAAACAGATGTTGACGATTGTACACTTGATCCAAAACTGCCTTTCTTCGACCTTCTAGCTCTCATTAACAGCCATGTGAGACCTATTCCAGAGTCACTTATGAAAAGGCCTTATATCTCCAATGTAAACAAGTATCAAGTGATGCATGTTGGAGCAAAAAAATATATAAATTTCAAGTAGATTCTCATGGGGTCTGAACTGGAGGTGACAGACCTTTTCTGTGAACCGCCCTGAGACCTCCAGGTATAGGGCAGTATATAAATTCAAGAAATAAAAATAATTAAATAATTTTAAAAACTGGATGTATTAAGACTCTGCTTTGTACACACGGTGTGGAAATTGGGCTGCATTGCTATGTTCACTTGCCTAGGTGTAAATCCTATAGAACTTGGTGAAACTTACTTCAGAGTAAATATGCATAGCACCAGGCTGTTAATTGCAGGCTCCTGGCCTAATATTTCAGCATATATGCTTTGCAGTGTGAGTTCATGAGTTTAACATCTGATGAAATCCCAAGAATCTTTAAGCAGAAATACTACCATTTTATCTGTGATCATGCAGTAGCTGGGAATATTAGTGAAATCAGTGGAACAAGAAAAGAAGCATTATCCTGGAATAAACTTTAAATGAGGCCTGTCTTTTGCTGATTTTTCTTTTGCTGGCAGATAATTTGGGCCTTTGCTTTTTGATAAGCCTCTAATTTCCATTATTTCTCTTGTCCATCATTCCCTTTATTTTTTTTTATTTTTCAAAAGGAAATAAAAGTGATGGAAGATAAACTTGCAAAGACAAAAATGCAGGTTATGTATTTGCAAAAGGCAGCAAAACCCCCCTCAAGAAAGACGGATGACGAATCAGACACCGAGTCTAGCACTTCATTGGATGAAGGGGCCAAATTAGCATGCGAGTGCTTCGAGGTAGGAGCTACAATGCATACTCTCTGATGCACTGTACTGCAAATTGGTAGAATGCAGTGTTTTTATTTTACATTTAATAATAATTAAGTCACAGAAGTATAATCATTTGGTGATATCCAGCTAAGTCATACTTGAAGTAGGCTCATTGATTTCATGGCTTCTACTGATTGTGACTAACATTGGATATAACCCACTGCATATATTCTTGCTGCTGCTTCTGGTTTTACAAGTTGCTGATGTAAGACAACAGTTTTTGAAAGAGACGAAGGTGGTATGCAGAGCTGTACCTACATGGTGCGCATAGACATTTCTTGTGTCCCACACAATTATTTATGTTCAAACAGATGTTTGAAGCAAGAAATACGTATGTAGCTCATCATCAGTTCCTCCATTCCACTTCAAATTATTTACTGTTTCCAGCCACGGGCTGAATTTTTATCCAATCCTGAACCTCATCTACCACATGTACCGTATATTTTTCTTCAGCAAGAATGCTGCCTGTTGCCTCACTACTTTGCTGGTGTGTTCTCAGCATAGTAATTCTGAAAAATGCCAGTACATGGGGGGGGCGGGGAACGTGACGCTAGGACAGGGGTAGGCAACCTAAGTCCTGGGGGCCAGGTGTGGCCCAATCGCCTTCTCAATCTGGCCCGCGGATGGTCTGGGAATCAGCATTTTTTTACATGAATAGAATGTGTCCTTTTATTTAAAATATATCTCTGGGTTATTTGTGGGGCCTGCCTGGTATTTTTACATGAGTAGAATGTGTGCTTTTATTTAAAATGCATCTCTGGGTTATTTGTGGGGCATAGGAATTCATTCATTCCCCCCCCCCCCGAATATAGTCTGACCCACTACATGGTCTGAGGGATGGTGGACCGGCCCATGGCTGAAAAAGGTTGCTGACACCTGCGCTATGAGGCATTTATAGCATGCAATTGGCATTTATAATGCCTAACCCTGGGGAAGAAGGGCTTTTGGAGTAATATTTTGAAGGCTTTTTGGTGTGTGTGTGTTTTTTAAACAGGCTCACACCGCACCATAAATCCCTTGTTTAATGCAAGTGTGTGCCTCCTGTCAATCACCAGAAGGGAGGGAGGCAATGAGAAGCAGAGGATTGGTGCAGTGTTGGTATGCTAGGGGGTTGGCTAGATGCTGGGAAAACATTTGAGGCCAGAAACAGAATACTAGACATTCTTCATGCATCAGGATTCAAATGAGATTAAACTGCATGAGCTGCAAATGATATCCCAAGGAACTGGAACAGAGCTGGAAGCCACTTGCGCTCTCTCTTTCTTTCTTTCTCTCTCTCTATCTCTCTTTTACAGTATTTCCTAATGTTCCTTTCACAACAGACCTGCCTTCCTCTATCAGCAAATGACTGTACAGTTTATATGTAAACAACTGAAGAAACTGTAGAAGAGCTAAACCACTTTTAAAAAGAAAGAAAGCACAGGACAGCAGCATCAAGACCCAAAACTAGTCAAAACCACCATGTGACATCAGTGGGAGCAGTGTATTGTCAGTTTGCACTTACTGCAAATGCCCCTCTTAAACAGCAAGCCCACGTTGCTTCAATGGCCACCCTGGCAGGAACTCCCATGCACCCATTGGTTAGGGTGTTGGACTAGGACTTGCGAAAGCAGGCTTCAAATCCCCACTCAGCCCTGGAGCTCTTGGGCCAGTCCCCATCTCTTAGCCGAACCAAGCTCACTGGGTTGTTGTGAGGATGAAATGGGGAGGAGAACCACGTACACCACCTTGAGATCCTTGTATATAAAGGTTGTATATAAATGTAATAAAATAATAAATTGTTATAGCTGGGATGCCACTGAAGCTTTTCATATCAAGTGCACCACAAACCCACAAAAGAGAGTGCATGCAGTGGTGGAGCTTCATGCTCCAGCACCGGGGGGGGGGGGGCAAAGAGCAGGCGGGGGCGGTGCTGGCACACGTCCTGGGGGCTGGGCACACTGCCTGCGGGGGTGGGGCGCCCAGCACGGGCAGGGGGACAGCTGTGATGGAACCCCACCAGGATCACATTGCCGGGGGCGGTGCGCTCCCCCCACACTCCTCTTCCTCCGCCAGTGAGTGCATGCAGTCCCATGAGAAGGGCTGAAACCAAGAAAAATATAGCTCCGTCTCAGCACTCTCCTCTGTGGGTTTATTGTGAGCATCAATTAGAGATCAGGGGGCAGAAGTCATTGCCCTTCTCCCTGTCAATGACTCGCTCTTGTTGCCCATGGCTGCCTGGGCAATGCTGAGCTGTAGAAAGCTCATGTGAGAAACAGGAAAAGCTCCTGGGCCAAAGTGAAGCTTTGTCCCTCAGAGATGTCAGTAACTCAAAGCTCAGAGGAAAGTCCAAGCAGCTCCGCAATGGTAGCTTAACAGGAAAGGTTAGGAGAGGTGTGAGATTGGGTCAAAGCAATTACTTCATTATCTTGACATCATTTCAGAGAGACAGAGAGGTGTGCACAGAGCAGCCAAGTGGCTAATGGGAGGAGAGGGAGAGGAGAAGGAGCACATCAGGCGAGAGCAAACCCATATTTTACAAATCATGTGCCCAGGGACACCACAGGCTCTTGTGCAGAGAGCCTCCAAGCTTCTTCAGTGTGTGCTGTTCCGACAGTAAAGAAAAAGACCAGCACCCCAGCACCATACTTCTTAATGAGGATGATGATTCCTGGATGGAGACCTTGTAAGCCAACTTAGTAAGAGAAATGAGTTTTAAAAGATTCAGAAAAAGTCCAGAACTTACATAACTGCTTACATAAGCTGCAGCATCAAAGCAAGGCAAGAGAAGGAGGACACCTTGAGGCTGCAGCTGAGCTGAAGGGGCATTGAATAAGAGCATAAGAAGAGCCCTGCTCAAGGTTCATCAAATTCAGCATCGAATTTCATAGGCTGGCCCGTGAGAAGCTTCTAAGCAGTCAAGAGAGCTGGACTGTGCATGCTCACCCTGTGCAAACCCCTCAGCCTTGCATAATCCCTTCCCTGATTTGGGGTAGCTCAGTCGGTAGAGCATGAGTCTCTGAAGCTCAGGGTTGTGGGTTTGATCCCCATGTTGGGCAAACGATTCCTGCATTGCAGGGGGTTGGACTAGTTGACCCTCTACAGTTCTATGATTCTGTTGCTATTCATGCATTTGGGACCAAGTGTGCAGAGAGGCAGTCTGCTGAATGTGTGTTGGCAATCTCCATGACCCACAAACCCTCACCCTGCTGAAGGCACGTCCCTAATTGCATCGATAGCATTGGAGAGGAGCCTGCGTGGGGCATGAGCATGCATATCCCCACATGACTATAATTTTTAGGTTTCTGGAGGAGGACACATTTGATAGGCTGTCTGGAATCTTGAAAAGAAGTACCTCTATCACAGCAGTCTTCTCCACCTAGTACCCTTCAAATGTTTCAGACTACAACTCCCACTATCCCCGGCTGTTGGCCCTGCTTGTTAGGGCTGATGGGAATTCCAAAGCACACAAGCTTTGTGGATGCCTTTCATAAGGTCAGTGCCATGAAGACAAGAGAACCCAGAAGAGTGTGAGGGCTAGATACTTGACTCCTCAAAACCCACATACAGAAACACCGCCATCTAGCACAATACTATATAGTCCATCTCAGTTGAATGAAGCAGCCTCAGAAGCATGCCATCTTAGTATAATAAGTTAATAAGGTTTCATAAGTATAACCGCCTTCAGAGGCAAATCCTTGTTTAATGGGTTTTCCTGAAAAATAAAGGCTGAGGGATTATGACTTGTCAAAGGGCACTTGGGTTCAACCGCTGAACTGAGCTGTGATAGGAACTCAGATCCAAGTTCAACACTTTTAACATAGTGACTGTAAGCCACATTCATTTTTACAGTTGTAGTGTCTATACAGTGGTGCCTCGCAAGACGAAATTAATTCGTTCCGCAAGTCTCTTCGTCTTGCGAGTTTTTCGTCTTGCGATGCACGGTTTCCCATAGGAATGCATTGAAAATCAATTAATGCGTTCCTAGGGAAACCGCCTTCAGACCAGGTCCGGGGACAGTCTGTCCCCGGACCTCTTCTGAAGGCTGGGGGTGGCAAGGGCTTTTCTTCCCACCCCCAGCATTTTAAAACCCCGGGACAGCGGAGGACTTCTCCGCTGTCCGGGCGATCTTAAAATGCTGGCGGGCGGCATTTTAAAATCACCCCGGGACAGCGGAGGACTTCTCCGCTGTCCGGGGCAATTTAAAGCCCCTGGGAAGGCAGGCAGGGGGACAAAGACTTTGCCCCCGCCAGCCTTCAGAAGAGGTCCTGGACCTCTTCTGAAGGCGGGCGGGCGGGAGTCTTTGCTCCCCGCCTTCAAAAGCCCTCCGGGACAGGCAGCCAGGGGTGAGCAAAGACTTTCGCCCGCCGCCCGCCTTCAGAACGTCTTCCCGCCCCCCCGCCCGGCTCGGAGCACCGTTCCGAAGCCGGGCGGCGGGGAGGTCTTCCTCCCCCCGCCCGGCGTCGGAGCACCGTTCCGAAGCCGGGCGGCGGCGGGAGGTGTTCCCTCATCCCCCCCCCCGGCGTCGGGGCACCGATCCGAATCCGGGCGGCGGCGGCTGGGGTTCCCTCCCCCCGCCCGGCTCGGGCACCGTTCCGGAGCCGGGCGGCGGGGAGGTCTTCCCTCCCACCGCCCGGCTCGGAGCACCGTTCCGAAGCCGGGCGGCGGGGGGAGGTCTTCCCTCCCCCCCCCCGGCATCGGAGCACCGTTCCGAAGCCGGGCGGCGGCGGCAGGTGTTCCCTCCCCCGCCCGGCCCGGGCACCGTTCCGAGCCGGGCGGCGGCGGCTGGTGTTCCCTCCCCCCCCGCCCGGCTTCGGAGCACCGTTCCGAAGCCGGGCGGCGGCGGCAGGTGTTCCCGCCCCCCCCCCCCCGCTTGGGAGGCGCCGTCCGCAGCCCCGCGGCGGCGGGGGGGGGGGTCCCCCCCCCCCCGCCCGGCTTCGGCGGAGGTCCGAGGACCGTGGGGAAGACGCGCTGCGCTTCCCCGCTGTCCCTGAGATTTCCTATGGGCTGTCGTCTTGCGAAGCAAGCCCATAGGGAAATTCGTTTTGCGAAGCGCCTCCAAAACGGAAAACCCTTTCGTCTAGCGGGTTTTCCGTCTTGCGAGGCGTTCGTTTTGCGGGGTACCACTGTATATCAAATCAGGGAGCTGCCTTGGTTAATATGTTGTAAAAGGGCTAAGTAGACCAATAGACTGGCTTTATGGTCTCTCTCTCTCTCTCTCTCTCTCTCTGTGTGTGTGTGTGTATGTTGTGCTTGAACAGTGTTTGAACTACTCAGGTTTTGTTATGGCAGTGTGGCATCCTTCATTTTAAAAACAAAAACAGCTGCCCCACCCTGCCTGGGTTAAAACTTCTGTTATTTCCTATGTGCATGCACATTAAAGTAACTTGTCCTAGAACTAACACTCTCTCACCCACACTTATATCCCACTTTTCTCAATTTGTGTCTGTATCAGTACTAATACCCCTCTCTCTTTCTCAGATGATGGCAACCCATCTTTAAAAGTACAGTACTGTTACTGTAGACCCAAGATTAATTGCAATAACTGGCCAGTAGGGGGCACTCACTGCTTGCAAAAAGTTTGATGCCTGTTTTCCTTTTTCTTCTCTAAAGCGAACACATCAAAGCCCCAGATTATGCAGAGTGCTGACATATGCTATTTCACTTGTATTTTGTTTCAATATATAGCCTGCTTCATCGCAAATGATCAGAATAAAATATTTTTTAAAAAGGCAAAATATAAAGTAACTCCAGTCACAAAACATCACCACTAATAAGATCCTGAGCATTTGCCAAAAATATTTGATTCTGCTCTATGATGGCTGTTGAGTCCCAGGCCTTACAGATTGGTTGCATTTATAACTGAATCAGTCTTTTCCCTCTGGCCAAGCTCTGCTAAGGCATTGCCCTTGCCTTTTCTGTCGCTTATTGTCTCCTACTACCTCCTTTGTCCCATCCTTGCTTCCCATGTGCCCCCTGCCCCCCATCACTGCAGAGACGTATGGCTTATCCCATTGTTCTTTTCACTCTTTTCAGTCTTAAAAGGACTAGTCTACCAGGTGGATTGAGGATTAGTCCTAACACCTTTATACAAATATAAGGTGGAACTGGGAATACAGTATACAGCTTTGATCACCCCATCTAAAAAAAAGAAAGAAAAAGAAAAATATATACCGTATTTTTTGCTCTATAGGAAGCACCCGACCATAGGACGCACCTTGTTTTAGAGGGGGAGAACAAGGGGAAAAAATTCTCCCCTTCTCTGCTCAGCGCCCCTTCAGCGAAGCGGCAGGAGAAACGGAGCCCCTTCCATTTCTCCTCCCGCTTCGCTGAAGGGGCGCTGCGCAGCTCTCCCTCTCTGCTGAAGCCAGGAGAGTCTTGCTCTCCCGGCTTCAGCAAAAGGAACCCGAAGCCTCCGGAGCGCAGCGGGAGCTCCTGCTGCGCTCCGGAGGCTTCACGTTGCTTTCGCTGAAGCCTGGAGAGCGAGAGGGGTCGACCCCTCTCGCTCTCCAGGCTTCAGCGAAAGCAACGTGAAACCTCCGGAGTGTGGAGGGAGCGCTCCCTCTGCGCTTTGGAGGCTTCGCATTGCTATCGCTGAAGCCAAGGAGCCTGCATTCGCTCCATAGGATGCACACACATTTCCCCTTAATTTTTGGAGGGGAAAAAGTGTGTCCTATAGAGCGAAAAATATGGTACATTGCAGAGCTGGAAATGCTACAGAATAGGGCAGCCAGAATGATCCGGGAACTAGACCACCTCCCCCAAAAGGAAAGTCTAAAATGCTTGGAGCTTTTAAGATTAGAATACAAGGTGACTAAGATGGGACTTAGGAAAGAATGCACACTGTGGAGAAAGTAGATGTTTTTTCTCTCCCTCCCACATCATGGTAGAGGTTTGGTCATACAGTGAAAGATGAAAGGAAGTACTTCATTGCACAATGCATAATTGATTTCTGGAGGTTGCTGCCCTAATGTGTTGTGATGGTCACTGGCTTAGATGCCTTTTAAAAGGGACTAGACAAATTCATGAAAGGCTGATCTATCAATAGCTGGAAAATGCAACAAATAAATTCTAACTTGAGGGATTGGCAGGCACTAATAGTATCTGACTTTCCCCCCCTCTTGTGTAGCTCTGGTCAGAGACAGGAACAAAGGTAACATCAGAAACAAGTGATCTACGGCTTCGGAGAATTCCAAAGCACACAAGCTTTGTGGATGCCTTTCATAAGGTCAGTGCCATGAAGACAAGAGAACCCAGAAGAGTGTGAGGGCTAGATACTTGACTCTTCAAAACCCACATACAAAAACACTGCCATCTAACACAATACTATATAGCCCATCTCAGTTGAATGGAGCAGCCTTAGAAGCAACCAGTATGATCTTATTAAGTGTACCATCTTAGTATAATAAGTTTGCCTGCTTACAGTTTGCCTGTAATCACACTTTGCAACTTGTTATTGTTCAAGTTCCCTTACTCCAGTGAAATTCAGAGGAAGATAGACTTTTGATTAAGTGTTAATGGCTCTGAAATGAGAACAGACTGAACTATGAACCCCAAAATTTGGGATCTGCTCCAAACTAGTGCCAAACCTTTGCAGTTGTTTTGCAGCACTTGGTAGCAAAAAACCCATGTTTTGCAGCATCCCTCCAACTGAGCAATTGCTACTCAAAGCTAGGGTCATAGCTATCACCCCAAAATGCAATTGCAGGAAGCACATCAAGAAATACTTCAAGCCTGGGTTCCAATGCCAGAGTTTTGCTATTGTTTTGCAAACTTTTTGAAGTGAAACCCTCACATTTTGTCACACCCCCAACAGTGGGTCACTGCCTTACTCAGTGTGGGTTGGGGCCATAATGGACTTACTCCCGACAAGCACTGTTTCTGGGGGAGAAATTTTGGGGTTCGTAGTAGTTATTGGTGCTGGGACAATATTTCCCTATTTTAAAATAGGACCTGACACAATGGAACCCACGGTCTGTGTATGTGTGTGCGCACAAGTAAGTGTGTACACACATACTTCCACACAAGTGTCCCTCCCCCCAAGGAGCAGGCAATGCCTTCAAGAGGTAATCTGGCAGTCCTACATAAGGAATATACTTCTGGGCGGTCCCTTGTTTGGGCATGGGTTTGCTTAGTGTGCTTCATGGAGGGAACATAGCTGTATTTTCCTGTGTATAAAACGCCCCCATGTATAAGACGATCCCTATTTTTTGAGCCCAAAATTAAGAAATAAATAATTGCAACATTCTGTGTATAAGATGACCCCCAATTTTAAACTTAAAAAATTTGGAGGGAAATATAGTCTTAAACATGGGAAAATACAGTATTGTTACCTTTCCATAATCGGGTGTTTATCGGTGTCATCACTCTTCCTGCTTTTTAGTTTGGAAGTATTTCGCTGAGTGAAGAGGAAAAAGATGAAATAATCCTGAAATTAGAGAAGGCACACAATGGTGCGCTGGAGGGAAGCTCACAGGAAAGGTAATTGCAAACCACAGGCTTTGTGACAGAAAGGACCAAAAGGGGCTTGCTAGAAAAACAGCAGCCTGTCTGAGGTAAGTCGCTATCTGAATACACCTGAGAATGTAGTAGAAGCATCCAAGGCAGCCTGTGGTCCTCTGTTTATTGCTTTACATCCTCTCAGCAGTGCTATAGGGCAGGGTCAAAGGAACCTTTTTCAAGCAGAAGGCTGCATACTTTTGAACCTGGGATAGCTCAGTCTGTAGAGCATGAGACTCTTAATCTCTGGGTCATGGGTTGGAGCCCCACATTGGGGGTTGGACTAGATGACCCTTGAGGTACCTTCCAGCCCTACAACTCTATGATTCTATGAAAAGTGAGCGGATCAACGATTCTAGCAATGAGAAGGCTAGATTCTATACACACTCGCATACCCCTCTCTGTCCTCCATCCAAGAAAGAGACAGTTCACAACATGCTGCAGCCAAAGAAAAATAAGCAAGGAGTATGAGAAGCAGGGTCAGTAGGGAGTAAGGCTGGGGAGGGGATGAGGTCTGGGGAGAGTCCTGGGGGCCATTTAGAGAGGCTTGAGGGGCACATTCACCCACTGGGTCTGAAGTTCCCCGCCTCTGTTATGGGGAAATCAGTACTTCCCTATGTATTTCCTCTTGTGGGGGGCGGGGACAAGCAAGGAGTTGTATGGCATGGCAGCCACCATGGATTCCCACCCCCCAACCTAGTGTCCCTGCTATGCCCCCTTTTTGAAGCTGTCAGTTTCTGTCCTCTTTAAAGTGAATGTGGGAAGTAGAGAGAAAAGATGCCTCTGCTCCAGCAGACAGGGCGTGTGAAATATCCGTGAAGTACCACCATTGCCACCCTGCAGAAATAGCAAATCCAGATTAAATTGGGGGGGCGGGGGGCGGGATATAGGGTGACATTTTTATGAGGACAATGTCAAGTGACTACTACAAAAAAACTTGCACGCACAAACTACCAAGTCCACAGTAAACTTCCAAGCGGAAGTGCCGTGTAAAGCAGAAAAGGCTAGCAAAATCCCTTTCCTCATGCAGCAGTCCTGCTATCTTTTTGATGAAGATGTACTCCCCACTCCAGTGCTAGAACACAAATTTTCCATTAGTTCTTTTGCAAGAACAAGCAAATAGGTTATGCACTTTGCGCCACAGCACCCCATTTTATGTGGATATCTGAATACAGCACTAAGAAGAATATGTGGGTTTGTTCGTTGAAAATTCTGGATTAGCCCAAAGGAATGCATGTCAAACTCCCCACCCCCACTTTACAGTTCACCTTCTGAACCATCCTCGTTGGCTGTCCTCACCTCTCAGAAATCAGACATCTTTTCAGTGCCTGACCCCAAAATGGTAGAATCGTCTTCCTTCAATACGGCACCATCTTCTGAGAAAATGCCCGTGGGGAAAAGTAAGTTCAAATTCTTCCTCTTTAAAAATAGTCCGGCATTGGCTAGTTGATCAAAAAGTCGTACATGCAATGCATACTCACACACACACATGTGCAATGCACATAGGCCCAATGTAACCTAGGTTAATCTCTTGGACTGTTCCACGTATGCTAAAGCATTGACTTTACTGACAGAGCCTCTTCAGACTTGTGGGTTGGGTTCTTCTCTAATGTATTCTGTAACAGTGTCATTGCCACAATTATGACAGAATGCGAGCCTCTTACACCCCTTCCTCACACAACTGCTGCCCACCTGGGGTTGGCCAGTTGTGCCTTGATTAGCCATTAGTCTCCTCCACCACTTCCCTATGAGCTCACAGCCCTTTCCCCAGACAAGAAGAAATCTGGGGATGCTCAATTAAATATTGGCTTTCCAGAACCTAGAATAAGCCACCCTGCATCACTTACAGTTCACTCAGAGAGTAAAGCAAACCCTACATCTGCCAGAGAACAGATTAACTTTTTGGTCTTTAACAACCCCGATCCTAGACTCCTGAAGCAGGAACCCAAACATTCTAGGCACATGGAGAATTACAAGAATCATTGATACTGGCAAACACATGCACCTCTGACCCCACTAACTAAATCACAAAGCTTTATAAAGAACAGGAGGGGAGATGACAAATAGACAAAGCAGTTTAAAAGAAAAGAGCACTGTGGCTCAGAGCTATGTAGGTTGACCTAAGCAACAACAGGCTTCTCAGTCTACTCACAAGTAACAGAACATAGATGATCAGTTGCAGGTCCTCCCCACCTCCCCCATGAGCAGTAAGGGACAACATGAACTCCTGATGAAGGGGTGGGGGGGCAAAGGCTTGCCTTCAACAGCTCACTCTTAAGAACTCTATACCCCACCATTTGTTGCCATTCAGTGACCAATCAGCCATGTCATGTTTTGCAGGTAAAAAGAAAATCTACACCTTTGGGGGAATAATAGAATGCAAGGGTCAGAGGAAACTAGTTATAGTATATAGTTTAACAAACTAGTGTTAGTGTATAACTAACTAGTGTTAGTTAATGCCAGTATTTCCCACCACCTCATTGAGCTTCCCCCTTTTGAGGCTATGACTACAATCCTATACACACTTACTTGGGAGTAGGTCTCACTGAACTCCATTGGGCATACTTCTGAGTGGACATTCATAGGACTGCATTGTTTATTTCCCATGTCCGTGGATGACTTTCCTGCAGTAAAATAAAACTTATGGATGAATTATCATCACGCTATAGGAGCACAATCCTGCAAACAAGTAATTATGGAAGAATAACAGAATTTCCTTTCTATGTGGTGAAATTTCTCTGTAAGACAAAATACGTATTTACTCTTTAGCTATGCTATTCACCAGTGTTCTTACAGGAACACAAACCAAAAGCCCTAAAGCTTCCACCCTATGCTCATAACCCACCAAGCATGGGGTTAGGCCTGGTCAGGCTGGCAGAGGCAACCTTCCCTTTTGCCATGACAAAAGAAAACTATTGCAAAGCTGGCTGGTTACTCCTTCTCTGTCCCCATGGTCTTCTAAAGCATAATAAGCACTGTTTTACCTCCAAAGTTCCCTTGCCTGTCCCTGCTGACACATAAAACCTTTTCTCAAGCCCTCCATGGAATTGATACCATGGACACCATATTGAGCTGCTTGAAAGCTTGCCTTCTTTTTCCTTCCCTTTCTGCTGGCCCAGCGCCACCTAGTGGTCCTTGTGTTTATACAGCTACCTCACACCGTCTTGTCCCTCCTTCTTTCAAGACAGTTTCCTCTTCAGGCTATGGGTCCCTAGCCTGACTTCTCCAGCCCCTTCCTTAAACTATTTTTCTCTGGGCCTTGTGTCCTTCCCTACACTTCCTGAGGGAATCTCTTCCTACACGAGCATTTTCACCTGCCCTGCCAGCGGCCTTCCCTGTCCCTGCTGTCTTACAGCAGTCTGATCCTAGACTGAACATTTGGCCTTTCACTTGTGTCAAAGAAAGTGTACAACAAATAATCTTGTAGCATCTTCAAGACTAACACGTCCATAATGGCATAAGCTTTGGGGACTAAAGTCCACAATTGTATCTGGCTGTTAGGTTTTAAAAAATCAATTATTCCCCTATCCTCCCTGATAACATGGCAAGCAAAACAAACTAGCCCCTAGTCCTGGCACATTCTTTCTGAGCAACTAAACTATTTTAACTTTTCATAGCACAGTGACTCAGCCAGTGGCGGAGCAGGTGTATTGATTGATTAAGTGAGGTAATTCTACTTTTCAGTTAGATAAATTATCCAATACATACGACATGGAGGTAACAGTTGTTGTTTTTTTAAAGCAACTCTACAATGTTCATAAGTTATTAAAAATTAGCATTCATGATCCCGCCTGGTACGGACACAGGAGACTTTGGAATTCCCTCCCTAGTTCATGAAGCTAGACTGCTTCCCGCCTTGTTGTCCTTCCACCAGCAGGACTTTTTTGTTTCAACAGGCTTTTGGGTATGGACTGCTTTTTATGAAAGGGCTAGTGCGGTGTTGTTTTTATTGTAATTATTTGTATGGGTGTTTTTTTATACATGTTATATATGTATATAGTTTTACTTCCATCAATGTTTAATTGCTTTTTAATGATTGTTCTTTTCCATGTTTTTAGCGGTTCTCATTTTTATATGTAAGCAGCCTTGTGTTCCATCAGGGGGAAAAGGCGTGTCTAAATAAATAAACAAATATTCATAAATACAGATAACTTATTTGTATAATGTACTTATTTATTATTGGATTTACATCCCACCTTTCAGCCAAAGCACCCAAGGCAGTTGATAAGTTGAAAACATAAAGTGATATGTAAGAGAGAACAGAGAGACTTCTCTCAGACCCACTAAGGGTCATTTCCGGAGCTAATGGCCAGTGCTCTGTGGCCTGGGCTTCTCATCTGCCTTCCCCCAGGGCACACAGGCCTTTTCTAATGCAGCTAATATCACCACAATGTAATGTCTGACTTTCAGCTACAGTGGTTTTCCCTGGAAGTTTTCATTAGTTTTTCATTAGTTTTCATTCATATGCCATATGATTATATTATGTTTCAACTTTTGAAAGCTCCTTCCCTGGATCGTTGGAGCCTTGCACAGTCTCGTGCACTGTCAGAGGAAGAAATGCACACTCACATTTTGGCCTGCCCCTTCATAGAAGAATGCAGGAGGTGAGTACCTTCAGAGCTCAACTCTGGTGTGAGAAGCCTCTGCCTTGCAGTTTCACCGGACTTAAGGAGAGACTCCTGCATGCTTTCTGTTACTTTCCATTTTGAAGCAAACATTATTCCTTCCTCCTGGATGGTCTGTACGCTACTCCACTGTGTGTGAGATTCTCAGTAAAAGCTCAGTCAGTAAAAGACAGGGTGCACCCACCCAGTAGCAACCCAGTTGCCTACCTGGCTTTCCAATTTTGAGTTCAGTGCTGGTAAAGAAGATGGGGAGGGGTGAGGTGGCAGGGATGTTGGCGCAGTGTGGGCACAGTGGAGGGAGTGTTTGATGGGCTCCACCAGTGCCGGTACACCGCTGAACTCCCTGTCACCTTTTCCCTCTTAAGTTACTGGCAGCGGCCTCTGCCATGGGAAGCCAGATGACCAATGCCAACCTAGGCTGCTGTGCCCTGCTGACCACTCCTGGCTAAACCTGTGTCCACCTTTTCACTGAAAGCTGCACCCAGCGGCCACCCACCCCATCCTCTCATAGTGCAATAGTAGTTCTGCCTTCAAATGAGGAGATAAGCTTTTTCAGAGCAGGGAGCAAAGACCTTTCTTTGCAAGTTTCACTTGGCACGCTTTGGGACAACAGTGCAGAACAAGCAACCCACTTTCAGCTTTTTAGTGTTTGCTGCCCCACTTCGGAGCGCTTTTTGAGGCCCTGTATCATTCATCAGTTTGCCCATCCTTTTGTGTAGTGCTCCTTTTCTGAGACAATGTTCTGGCCCTACCTGCTGTCCACCACTGATCAACATGAAGGAGGCCCTCAGCAATGCAGGGTAGGGTCCACCCCTGAGGCACCCTCCGCCATTCTGTCAGACAGGTGTCTGGTGGATCCGGAGCTGCCAAAGAATCGTAAGTTATAAAGACCCAGAGAAGCAAAGTTGGGAAGAAGTTGGGCTTTTCACATTATGTGGATAACTGTGTGCTTAAAAGCATCAGCCATCTAGACTTACAAGTCCACTACAGTGGTACCTCGGGATGCGAACGGGATCCATTCTGGAGCCCCGTTCGCATCCTGAACAGAACGTAAGACGCGACTGCATGCCTGTGCATGTGCGGGTCGCATTTTGCCGCTTCCGTGCATGCATGTGATGTCATTTTGACCGTCTGTGCATACGCGAGCGTCGAAACCCGGACGTAAGCGCTCCGTTACTTCCGGGTCACCGTGGAGCACAACCCGAAAATACTTATCCTGAAGCATATTTATCCTGAGGTATGACTGTACTAGCACCTCCAGCATCACCTTAAACTCACAAAGCAGCAACCCACTCTGTAACCACTTTGTGTAGTGTGCAAACATCTGCTCAACTCATGACTACATGCCCCCACGTGTGTGTGCACACATGCACACACATACACACACGAGCCAACATTCTGCCAACGATCCCGTCATGTTTACCACACAAACCTCATTGCTTAAGGAATAGCTGTTAGAATCACTTCACCTCAGATGAAGTGACTTTACCAGACCACTTCCCTCTCACATCCGCTCTAAATCCATGTGCTTTAATTACCTTCTTATGTGCCTCCCCTCCCCCCCCCCACAACTTTTTGGCTTTTAACCTCCCCAGTTGGCTTCTTATTTTTTATTGCTTTTACCATCCTCCTGGAATATGTAATGGAGGTGGAGCGAATATGATCTCTGACAGGATGTGCTATTTTGCCTGTTCATCTGTGACACAGCTTCTTGTCAGGCTTTTCTGCTCCTCCTCCACAGACCTGGTATTCACTAGGAAATTGCAAATGGCCAATCTGCATATGGCAAATATTTAATAATATTGGAAGTATAGTAAAAATATTTCTGTTGAAGATAAACATGTATATCTGTAGTTAACCCAAGAAACTATAGCTGTTTATACTCTATACCTTAAAAGCACATTCAAAGCACAGTCTTTTCCTCAAAGAATTCTGGGCACTGTAGTTTACCCCTCACAGAGTTACAATTCAAATCCACATGTTAACAAACAGCAGTGCCCATAATTCTTTGAGGAGAAAAATGTTCTTCGAATGTGCTTTGAAGGCATAGAGTGTACGTAATCTAGACTTTGTATAGATGTGGTCTCTCCCACCCCCACCCCCAAATATAGTTTACCCCAGGATTGTCAGGGTGGTGCTCATGGGTGCAGTTGCACATGCAGAGGCATTCACTGGTTCTCAGAGGCTTGCTTCCCCTGCTGAAATTAGGCTTTTTGTTGCAGCCAAAAAAGCATTTTGTTGCAGCCAATAGAAAGATTACAGAGTGTGCTTGGCCATTGTGTGCATGTAGTGCTCATGACAGTTTGTCCAATTTGCAAGTGCACCCATGAGCAAGAAAAGGTTGGTGATCTGAGCTTTGCCCTAAATGATCCTTTTCTAATTCTACTATGTTTCCAGACAAATTCACAACTGTCTCAGCTGCTACTACTCTTGTAGCTTCAGACCGCCATTTTCCTTATACTGGAAACTAAGTGCAGTGGAACTTGGTTTTTGAACGTAATCCATTCTGGAAGACGTTCAACTTCCGAAATGTTCAAAAACTGAAGCATGCATTTCTGGAAGCATTTACTTATGGAAAATTCAATATGGAAGCCGTGTGGCACGTTTGACTTCTGAAAAGCGAAGCAGTTACTTTCAGGTTTTTGGCATTCGAAAACTGAAACAACCGACTTCCAAGACGTTCAGAAACCAAACTTCCACTGTACAAAAGTTACAGATGACTAAGTTGGTCTCTGAGAAGACTTGTTCTCTTCACAATTGCCTGTGCTTCTCTCAGTTGACTTCTAACCCACCACCTGTCTGGATTTTCACTTTTTGAAATATGGCAGCCCTAGATACCTCCCCTCTCCCATATCTCTTACCTTACTTCTTTTGTCTGCCTTACACTTTAAGAACCCCAGAAGTATTCCATCACAGGCCCATAAGTAGCATAGCTCATACCAATTGTTTCTAAATCAGTCACACCTAACCCATCTTTTTTCTCCTCTTCCCACTTTCTTCCCCTAGATGCCATATTGGTTCAGGACCATTAAGGATTGTGAGTGTACATAATACGGGCAAATTTGTCCGAATCTTCAATACATTATTGAACAAGGAAATAGATTTAAGTGGCTACATCATCCAGCAGTGGGTTAAAGACTTCCCAGTGTCTATCTATCGTTTCCCGAATGGCACCATTCTGCCTGCACAGCATCACATCACAGTAAGCAGCAGGGACCTCTCCTGCTTCCCAATCCTGAGTGTGATATAGATATACAAACCATATTTTTCCATGTATAAGACGCCCCCATGTATAAACCACCTCCTATTTTGGGGGACTAAATTTAAAGAAAATGAGGGGAGATGGCCCAAAGTTGTTGAGCTTTTTTTAGGGGGAATTGCACTCATGCCATCAAAATCACCCCAGCAAATCCATTGCTGGGGGTTGGCAAAGTGGGCATCCACTCACCCCACGCCACTGAGGGTGGGAAGCTTCCTAGAGCACGGCCACCAACCAACTGGCTGGTGTGCACAGCTTCCCCTCCACGCAGCTGCGGGAAACGCTCCCTAGAGTACACACCTCCCACAGCGGCATGGGGGGGGAAGTTGCGCGATTGCAGCTCGCAACTCCCCCCCCCCCCAATATCCGTGTAAAGGACAATCCCAGTTTTTTGACATGATTTTTGAGTCAAAAAACCTCGTCTAATACATGGAAATTACGGTATATAAGATATTATCTTGCTGAACAATAATTTCATGCCACAGGTAGTCCAAAACATTTTGCTTCAGACAGATGACATCAATATGAACTGAAAGTTAGCCCACTGGATTTAAGAACTCTAAAAAGTTGTTTTTGCTATAAAATTTTTCTATATCCTAAAAAAAGTTGAGTTTGAGCAAAGAAAGAAAGAAGGAATCAGTTGTCTCTATCTGAAATATTTCTAAATTGTACTGTGCGCTTATGGGTACTAAAATATTTTTAAAAAGCAAAATGGTTGTATGGGAAGTGTTGCTGCTTTCCCAGAAATGTGTAATTCTGACCAACAAAACAGAATGTATTTCTACCAGCATTACAGGGAAATAATAGACTATATATGGGTGGAATTTAACATCGTGCTAACACAATTGCTCCATCAGCACAAGCATTTATGTTTGCCAGACCAGGTTTTTTTTAAAGCAGATTTCCTGACTGCACAGGAATTTAATGAGCAAAGCCAAAAGGGATTAACAAATTAGTAGTAGTTTTCTGGACTAGTTCACTTACTGGATCTCCTTTTCATTCCAAATTGTCTTTCCAAGTAGCTTTTCTCCCCATGAGGTCTGCAAAAACAGGGCACCAGGCTACAGTTACAGATGAAAATGGGAGGTACTGTAGGTCATACATTAATGTTGTGTCTCATCCATTTGCACTATATTTTATAGGTGTGGGCTGCAGGGGCCAACCTTGCTCATGAGCAAGCTTCAAACATGCCACTAAGCAGGCAACATTTTTTCAGAACGGGTCCAGAATGCACGACCTGCCTCTGTGACTACCATGGCCAGGTGAATTGCTTTGTTTAATAGTCTGAAAGGGAAGGGATGTACAGTGTGTTATAATTTTCTGAGTTTTAAAAATTAAAAAGGGGGAAAGGCCCAAAAGGTTGACCTTCCTAAGGTAATGATAGCCAACGTGGGACCCCCCCCCCAGATGTTGTTGGGTTACAACACTAGACATGATGGTTGGGGTTGATGGGAATCGTAGTCCAACAACACCTGCAGGGCACCACATTGGCTATCCATGACGTAGGGTGGCATTGTATCAGAGTAAACTTAAGCATAGATTTGTAATATGAAACAGTATTTGAGTGTGGTGGAGCTCATGAATATACATGAAATGGCTGTTATGCACACTGTAAACAGTGAGATGTTTATGTGAACCCAAAGTGTGCCTTGGGGTTGGTTTCTGTTGAATGAGGTCACCAAAGACCTATGGCATTTCTGTGACTTAAGGTGTTGTTTACATGGCGAGTGAAGCTGCAATTGGTTCCCCACATCCAGGGAACAGTGTATCTCTGTGTGTTTATTTTGTGTGTCAGTTATAGTACCCCTGCCCCAAAGAGAACATCACAGCTTGTTTGGAGCAGAGCATTAGTAGTTATAAGCCAGCAGCTAAATATTAATGGCCACTTCTAAAATTTTGAATAAATGAATATAAACCTAAGTATGTGATCCTAGATTGTAATTTCTGGATCAACAGCTGATACACATTTATGGCTGCTGGGAATGAAAGACATGCTAAAGGACTTGCATGCCCTGAGGGGAAAGCAGAAGAGGGAATGTCTACCATCCACTTCTGAATAGATCCTGAGAGAATCCGTCCTTTTCTCATGCATTGATATAACAAATTGTCAACTACCATGGGAGCATTGAAAAGCAGTACTGTATTATATAAATGTTGAAGTCTGGTGAATAAGTTTATTTTCCTTTCACTTTCATCTTCTAAGATTATCTCACAATATAGAGGTCCTCAGCACTTCATGGCAGCTGCAGATGCCTATAGCGATAATGTGGACCTTTCAGTGGACAAATTTCCCCTCAGTGAAGATGATGAAACTTTTGAGTCCTTGCCTTCGAGGCCAGACGTAGCTTCGTCCCAACGAATTCGTAGAACTTCAGGCATCTTGGTAAACAAAAGGTAGAGATTCAATCTAGGAGTGTGCTGGTGAAAAACAGGTAGAAGGAATGGAGTACAGTCAGTATCATGCAATGGTTTGCACATAACACTAAGCCATGGTTTATTAAACCATAGCTTAGTGTTATGCATGACCCCTTTTGAGCCACTTAACTATAGTTTGCTTACTGCATACAAACCACAAGCTGAATTCATTATTTGTTATTGGCTCACAAATCCTGGTTTATTTTACATGTTTGGTGTTATATGTGAACCTAGCACCTTTCCTTAACCATGGCTTGTTTGACACTCCCTGTCTTCTATAAATTCACAAAACTAGAAAGGCATGAGGCAAGATTAGCTCAAAAACCAAACAAATGTTGGAGAAACAAGTCGTGTTTTGTTTGATTGTCTGTAAGGCAACTTGTGGTTAACTCATGTTTTGTTAAACAAAGCATGGTTTAAAACAAACTATGCTTTAGTGTTAAGTGCAAATCATAACATTACTATCACACTGCTAATATCAAACTCATGCCCTCTGAAGACTGTGGCTCTGAATCTTGAGATGCCAGCACCGATTTTTAGAACAGTGCAGTCTTGAAAGGTTTGATCTGCCATTTTAATTCAAAATGGCATCCAGTTGTATCCAAAGAGACGAAAACCTGCTCCATGATCTCAGGAAGCATTATGCAAAATTATGACAGAGGTGTCCAAGAGGTGTCCAAATGTGCAGTGTACAAACAACTTTCCAAAATATAAAGTCGATCAGGTTGATCACTTTCAGTGCCCAGATGCACCAGTGTGAAGTGTTTGCAGCTGCCCTGCAGCTGTTTGAAATAGATAGTGTTGGTTGCAAGGAGCTGATGCTTATTCCGACTCTTTTAACAGGGTGAGCTTCCTCTTGGGTCAATCTTCTTTTTTTCCTGTTCAGGTTCCATGGACACTTTTCTTTTGATTCTGCACAAAGTAGCAAAATGCTGCTTAGTCGTGCCACAGGTATCAGGACGAAAATCAGTGATGCAAGCAGCGAAACTTCCAGCTTATATTCAGTTTCCTCAAAAAGTTTGCTTCCACTCATGGGTATGCAAGTCAACTCTGTTTTAACTATATCTGTTGTTAAATATACGGTAATCTGTGTACTGCTATGTGCATTAAGGAAGAATTTTGTGCAATATTTGCCAAAATAAATAAAAAATAATTTTAGAAGCATAGCTTAATTCAATGTTTTCATAACTGGAACTAACTACACGTCACACGCAAACCGATGGTATGGATCCCTGATGCCTTCTTAAAAAAAGAAGGAAAAATAGCTCTAGGAGGGAGTGTTTTGAGCAGAGCATCAGCAAAGATAGGTTGCTTGCTTAGCTCTTTCCTGTCCATCATTTCTCAGCTCTGTATCACCGTCTAAGCAGTTCCCCACTCCCATTCCCTGCTGCTTTGGAAGACAAATGTGAAGCACAAAAAGGGTAGATACTGAAAGAGAGAAGCATTCCATCTTTTTGTCCTCCCTACTCTGTTCACAATACTTCTTCCCCCCTCCAAAGTTTTATTCATTTCAGAATGGTGTTGGGCCTCCATTCGGTGTGTGTACACATACCATATAGTTAGCCCCTTAGGACAATTCTACACTAGGGACCTAAATACAGTGGTGCCTCGGGTTAAGAACTTAATTCGTTCCGGAGGTCCATTCTTAACCTGAAACTGTTCTTAACCTGAGGTACCACTTTAGCTAATGGGGCCTCCTGCTGCCGCTGCACGATTTCTTTTCTCATCCTGAAGCAAAGTTCTTAACCCGAGGTACTATTTCTGGGTTAGTCGAGTCTGTAACCTGAAGCGTCTGTAACCCGAGGTACCACTGTATGGGTAATAAAAATGTTCCCCTTCCCACCTAATATCCTGGAAGCTGAATGGATGGAGGACAGAAATCTCTCAACATCTCACAAAACACAGCCTCAGGTTCATTTAGTGTAGATGCACACCAAGAAACAATACCAATGTGCAGTGAGCAATCTAATTACAGTACCTAAATCTGTGGTCATGGGCACAGTGGCACCCTTGAGGATTTCCCCTGGTGCCCACAAAATCATTGAGCACCCTATTCACTGCCTCCTTGACATGACATGACATGGCAAAGGTGGGTATCCCCCCCCCAAAGTACATAGAGCTGAAGGAGGAAGTTTCAAAGAGTGACACTCTTTCCTACTTTCTCGTTCAGTGCAATGTGTTTTTCATGTCTCAGACTGGCAGCAGAGCAATGAAGAGGAAGGAAAGGGGCATGAACTGGAAGACAGCAGAGGAAAAGGAAGTGGCAGGAGGCAGAATGAGAAAGTGAAGTGCCATAGGGGATGAGGGCCAGTGAAGGCTGCAGTCTGGGAAGGAGATGGGGAGTGTCCCAAGGGCCACATAGAGACACCCAGAGAGCCACATTTGGCCTCTGGGTCTGAGGTTTCCTGCCCCTGCTCTGAATGATTTAGGTCAAGGTTACCTGAAGCACCCTTATTTTACTGTTAGATATTGTTTTCTAATTGGAAATTGTAAACAACTTTGTGGAAGAAGTTACTCAAAAAGTAGGATATACATTTTTAAATGAACAAGTATGGCTATGTCTCCCTCCCCCATCATTTGATGGTACCAAACACATGAACACATTCTCCCCACCAACATTCCCAGTTGCTCTGTTATTTCTGCAGTGTGTGGAATCATGTGCTAAGAAGTTAAATGAGGTGTGTGGTAAGACAGGGATAAATTGTGAGCCCTACTTGCTATTGTGTGAGTTCCAAAACACATTGTGCTCAGCCATTGCTCTGTGGGTCTAGATAAAGGTGTTCAATTGTTTATGATTCTTCTAAAGTAGGGAAGGGGTGTTTTAGACACCATCTTCAGTTTAGATTAAATTGCAAAGTGCATGTGGGGGCGAATTTTAGTGCTAATAAGGCACTCTGCTTTTATTGTTCTTTGGCAGAAAAGAATAGCAGTTCTTCAACCAGCGAGGGAGATTTTGCTTTTCAGACATGGCAGCCTCAAATTATGGAACCAGAAGCTAGAGTAAGTATGTTCATTAGTAACAAATACATGGAGAGGTTAGTGGCCTCCCCAGAGTCGTACTGTAAATGCTGTGTAGGCACCTCTGAGCCCAAGGTTGCTGGATAATCAGACATTGGAATAAAGAAACAGGAAACAGAGGTTTCCTTCTCCAAAGCATAGTACAAGTACAACTAGCAGAGAGTGTCCGAGGCTGTGTGGGAATTCTAAGAAACCCAAACATATTGTGATTTTTAAATGGATAGTATGATTTGTGAGTATGGCTGCTGTGCATGCCCCCCCACCGATGCAGGGCTCAATGCATCCAATGGTATCCAAACATAGACAAAAAATACCTCTTCCACCTTAGGAAATCCCATCTGCAACTATCACTATGCCCTCTTGATTCAAAATTGTGTCTAGCCTCCAAACATAGAACAGGATGACCATCTCCATCTTGGAACCAAATTGGGGGACAATAACTTCAAGTCATCCAAATTGGCATAGTTTGGACTCATGATGCTTAATTGGGCAAAGTGACACCAAATTGGGCAACAATATCTTCAGGGGTGTCCACATTGGCACCGTTTGGACCCATAACCAAAACTGAGTGAAGTCACATCAAAGTCACATTTTGGTCCACCATCTTGATTCAAAATAGAACCCAGCATCAAAACATAGATGAAGTTCGCTGCTTCCCCCCTCAGGAACTCTCATGCTGAGTTGGCCAATATCTTCAGAGGCATCCACATTGGCACAAGTTGGCCTGTCATGCCAAATTTGCTAAATAGTGAAATGATATATTCCGAGGTGTCCAAATTGGTGCAGGTTGGACACATCACACCAAAAACTGGACAACGACATGCCCAAGTCACATTTCAGTCTGCCATCTTGATTCAAAATGGCAGTCGGTTGCTGTCCCCCCTTCAGCAGCCCTCATGTAGAGTTTGAAATAAGCATAGTTTGGACCTGTCCCACCAAAAACTGGGCCGTCACGCTAAAGACATGTTTCAGTCTGCCAACGTCCAATCAATGGCAGCCGATGTCAAACATTAATGAAGACTACTACCCCCACTTTAGGAACCCTCATGGCAAATTTGTAAACAATATCTTGAGAGGCATTGCAACGTATAGGAAACTTTCCAAAATATACAGAAGATAAATTAGTACTAAAACATTTTTTTGAAATAAAGAATAAAAAATAAAAGAGCACTATAGCATGTCACACCACAATGCTATAATGCTTTAAAAATATTTTTTTTTAAGCATTCTGGCCATTGGCATTTTTGCAGCAGGGTTAATGGCAATGACCAGAAAGCTTTTTATTTCTTAATTTTAGACAGCATTATGGTGTTAAGCACGCTAACATTATTAAAAAAAATATAGCTGGAAAAACTTTAGCCCTAGTTAGGAGATCAGTTAAATAACATAAACAGGGAGATAAAAAGTGCCTACCGCAAAGGTTATGGTGAATGTATGCAGAGTTTTGACAAGTTCACATGCACGATAGATCTCTGCCCATCTAATACCCGCCTCTTTAAACAGACAGAAGTCGCACCAAGGGCAAGTACACCTAGTGAGACTGTGCTCTTAATTTTTTTTTTGGGCGGGGGGGGAACAGACTTTCCACAGCCTCAGAAATGATGGAAGAACCAAAAAGGGATGGTGTTGGGTAGATTCCTCATAAAAAGGGAGTGAATGAAACATAGCTTAGTATAGACTGTGGAATCACCCAGGGGTTCCTTTAAATAACAGAGTTGGAGGAGCAGGGGTTAGTTTAGCTATCTGTATAAAAGCTCCTTTAGACCAGGATGATTTGAAGAAACAATAGGCTGTAGGAGTAAATCCAAAGCTTGTAGGTGGCAGACAGAGGGAGAATCTAGCTCAAGGAGAATAAGTACTTCTGTTCTGCTAACCTGCAAGGGTTGGATGTTTTAGAAGGAACATCTGGACCTTTTCCAATCCCCATCCTTTGTTTAGCTCTAATCCAGGATAAACTGATAATATAGGCAAGTCCCAAGAGAAAGCATGGAGAAATAGAAGGAAGAGTACATGGTGGCAGGGTGAATACCTAAGTCTCAACATTGACTCACCGGGCACTTCAGCTGGAAAGCCCTCTTTTTGTGCTAAATTGGAAATCTATTTTCTTTACCTCTTGCTTGCTTAGATACATATCAGTGTGTTTACTTAAATAACAATTTCACAGTGTGCAGCAAATCCCATTAACTCCGAAAAGGATTGTAAAGAACCAGTGGTTATTGCATAGCGTGAGGATAGCAGCGCTGTAAGATGACAGCATTTTAACTAGACCCAGGGACTGTGCTAAGGTTAATATGAGTAGAATGGGCAACGGCAGAAGAACAAAGATGCTGGCCCTTATAAACAGCCCCTGCCCCCTAAGTGCCAGACTATGATTATGGAAAAACACACAGAAAGAGCCACAGTGAATGCTGCTCATACAAATGCAGTCCTGGAACTGTTTTACATTAAAGGGCAGGAAATATTATAAAATAAGTACATGCATGTATGCATTCTGGGTTGTAGCCAACTAAGTTTTACTCAGAGTAGACACACTGAAATTAATGGACACAAGAAAGTCTTGCTTCTTACTTTCAATTGGTCAACTCTGAGTAGGACTAGCATTGGATACATTGGGTTCACATCACGTGAGGGATCAGTTGTTATTATTTTGTGATTACACAAGTAAAAAGTATCCTAGCTGAACCTGCTATAATTTCAAGTCTTCCTACACACCTGCCAGTTCCAAGTTATTAATTCATTAGGTCAGTGTTGATGACTGAAATTATGACTTGCTGTAGCATCCATCTGCAGCAGAGGAAGAGGTGCCTCCCAAAGTCTTGCACATTTTCAGGCCTTGAGTAATTTCCTTTATTTAAAGATGAGGCTTCCTGCTATTACATTCTGTCATTTATGTAGCCCCACAAGTCACATTAAAACCAATGTAAAAAAAAATCTTGCATGTAATGTGCCTATTCCAGGAACCTTGAAAATTAGATGAACAGAGAGGCTGTTTGGCAGACCTTATATTAGGAAAAAAATGTTACTGCTAATCCGTAGTGGAGGAATTTAATTGCTCTGCTTCCCTGTCTCCCCCTGCACAACCAGTTAGTATTTTAGTAGAATTAAGGTGGCAATTTTTTCAAAGGCAAATAAATGGCATTTAGATTCCTAACTTCTAGTGAGTTAAGTAGATGTTTTTGCCTCTAGCTTGTGTCTCAGGTCTGTTGTGTGACTTTGACAAATATGTTCCTCTTTTCTCTGCCAAATTTGAAAAAGGAGAAATCTTTATCTTCCTTTGGGCAGAGGTCTTGGATATATTTAAGAGTGGGAAAGGCTTTGATACTTTCAACACTTCCACAAAAGGGCAGATGTTAATAGATATCACTGCTGCTAACACATCATACATATGGAGAATTCATCCTATAATAACAGGTTCTGGACTGTGCTTGCTGATTTGAGTAGTATGCTATACTAAGGTAAAGGTAAAGGACCCCTGGGCAGTTAAGTCCAGTCAAAGGTGACTATGGGGTACTGCGCTCACCTCACTTCAGGCCGAAGGAGCTGGCGTTTGTCCACAGACAGCTTTCCAGGTCATGTAGCCAGCATGACTAAACTGCTACTGGTGCAACGGAACACTGTGACAGAAGCACGGAAACGGCATTGCGGCGGACATGGGTGGTGCTGTGGTCTAAACTACTGAGCTTCTTGGACTTGCCAATCAGACTTGCCCAGGTTTGAATCCCTGAGACGGGGTGAGCTCGCATTGTTCTGTCCCAGCTTCTGCCAACCTAGCAGTTCGAAGTACACCAGTGCAAGTAGATAAATGGTACCGCTGCGGCGGGAAGGGTATGCTGTACTAAAACCACATCCAGGTAGCATAAGTGCTCTCTCTCTCTGTGTGTGTGACAGATAGAGAGACAGACAGACAGGGATAATGAGGTGCAACACAAGGTTGCTTGATCTGATTCCCCCCTCCCTGTCTTGTTTGTAAAGCTCACCTTTTTCTGCTTAGATGACACAGCAAAAGTCACAAAACAGCCAGCAATGAAACAGTCACAACACCAAACAGAACTACGCCCAAGATTCCTCTTTAGAGTTTCTATGACTGTTACGTGTAATTTAGTTTTAGTAGCAGAGTATTGGGCTTGGATAAAGTGTATAATTATATTTAACAAAGTACTGAAGGCAAATGCCAGCCACACACACCTGCTTTTAAATACTGCTATCTTTTGGTAATAGCAATGTCCTTTTTTTCCCAGGAATTCAAGACTACGCTGGATACTACACTTCCCATGGTGTCCCTGATAGGACAGAGGAGTGCTCGCTCAAGATATGGCTTCAAGCATATGACTTACATGCCCACTATCACTGATCTGCACCTAAGGAGGTACTGTCCTGCTAGATGACATGCTGATGAATGTCAGCAGCCAAGGTGGTTTGCATGGCTTTAAATACACAGGACAACTCTGCAGTTTGCCTGGCATGTATCTTTGTGACTTTCCCTTCCAATTCCGAGGCAGTTCTTTGTGCCAGCTTAACTATCTTGGAAGGCGTAAGACAAGAAGCAACACATTAATGGTGACGGGAAAGAGGCTTTAGGAGGCAGAGAAAAGAATTAAAGCTACATATTGCTAGGAATTTGGCAGACTCCCCATTATCATAAATTTAGCAAAGGGGTAGAATTTACCCCTAATTTTTTGAAGTATGAAGGAAAGATGCCAGGCGAGTGAAAAAACTTATGCTGAACCAGTTCAGGAGATTGTTGATAGCATCAATGCCATTAAGAACAGGAGAAACTGTTTTTATGTTGTGAACCACTCTCAGGTCTATGGATAGAGGGCAGTATACAAATTTAATAAATAAAATAACTAAGTACCAGTCCATTAAGAACAATTGATCATCCAGATGGTGTCCTTTCCCCCAGCTGTGTGTTAAGTTAGCAGAAGACAATAGCAGAGTTGAGAGGGGGAGGTTCCTAGGGTAACAGTGGGGCGTGATGTCACCACAGGAAGAGAGGGTGTCCTTTTGCAACAGACATTTTGGGGTTTCTGGGAAGAAGGGGCAGGAAGTGGGAAGAACAGCAGGCTGTTAGAAAGAGACATGGGCGCTTAGGATGCCTCTGAATCCAAGGCTGCATTGCTGGGAAGGACAAGTCCTTCTTGTGATGTAAATGCCATGAACTCTCTTCATCAAAACCAAGGTGTAGAATAAACCATATTTCATAAAGATGCTAGTCTCCGCTGTGCCTTGATTTCCCAACAGAAACACAACCTTGGTCAAGTGCCAAATCGCCTGAAATCTCTTACTATCGCTTGGCAGAGATTGGGGTGGCCCAAACAATATTGTTAGTTGGCTTTGGACCAACATAAAACTCACACATTAACTGGGGACTGGAAAAATAATTTTGCATTTGGGGCAATCTAGGCATGTCTTTAGACATAGATTACCGCATAAAAAGAGACAGATTGGAAAAAAGCATATGGGAGAGATGGTTGGGGTTGATGAGGGTTGGACTCTAACATCTGGAGTGCATCATATTGGCTATCCCTGCTCTCTCACCATTTATATACAGAGGAGAATTTTAATGATGATTGCAAAGTGAGAGACTGGTGTAAAGAAGGAAGCTGGCTTAAATGGTGCATGTTTTGCCAAGGCCAGTTTTACACATTTTCTGGGAACCACCATTCTATGAATTTTGATTTTTCTCCTACAATCCCCTGCTCCATTTACTGCATAAATGCATGCCTTCTAAGGGTGGGAATGTCCCAAATCTTCTTATATTCTTTAAATGTTTTGGCTTCAAAGGACAAGCTGAAGATATGGTGTGAACGTTCTTGGTTTCAGCTCCATTATGCATTTCAAACATTCGACTAGAAAGAAATGACCTACAGATTGGGATGCTGCATAATTCATGTATTATAAATAGTCTTCCAGAAAATAATTTAAACAATTACAGTACTTAGTTTCAAAATATTCACAATAATTGTTGAAATATACCTGTCTTGAGTGCCAGTTCATACATAGCTTTTGTTCCACTTGCAAGCAGTCCCAACTGTCCTTGGGATTCGTGTGGATAAATATACAGTGTGAACTTGACTATCACATATGCAGACAGCAGCAACTCCCATGATTGTGGCAGCCTGCTTTCTTCTGCTGACATGCTCACAACCACTGCTGCTCGCAACATCTGTGAATGCCTGCTCACGTGTTGACTTTATCCATAAGATGTCATACCTGGGGCCTGGTGGAATTGTTTACATTGTTATGCAAACCAGATCAGATTATACCAGTTCATAGCATTTCATATTGTATTCTAAAGCAGAATAAATGTTATTAAAAGTAGAGTAAGCTCCCTGCAGTGGTTGAATATGTGTGTGTGTGTGTGTGTGTGTGTGCATCTGTGTGTCTGCACACGCAGACAAGCACATGCACGCACACACATATTCCTGTATTCCTTTAAAACTGATCTAGTAAAAAAAAGTTACAGAACATTTGATTGCAAATACATTTGTGGTAAAAACGCATGAAAAAGATGAGGTAAAGGAGAGATTGTTGGGAATCAACCTTGTCCACTGCAAATATATTTACAATGGACATCTGGCTTGGAGAAAACACAACCCACCCAATTCAGGTATATCTGTATGACAGCATTCTGGATGAGCATCAGGAGTTCCTTCCAAGTACAAAAAACCAGTGATGTGCTCAATCCCCCTCTCCCAAACTCCTTCTGAACTACTGAGTTTTTCCCTGCTAAAAAGAATAGAGAAGAATGATTTCAAGCAAGATGGAGTGTTTCTACATCAACGTGGAATCCAAGTTCGTGCCTGAATCAAGCTCTGAAAGAGAGAGTCCTGCTCAAAGCACACTCAATTCCATCTACACAGCTTTCCCAGTCTGTTGTATGATTTCACAAGAGGGACTGCATCCCTTTGACAGCAGTTGGACACATGGAAGTAGCTGCAGCTGGATACCTGAGGGAACGCTGAAGGATGGTCTGTACCTTCCTCCCACTGGATGAGTCAAAGGGGCCACCCTGGCCATGAGGCCAGGCACGCAGCTGCTGTAAACATCAGGCATACAGTCACTTGAAAGGGCTATGGCGGCACAAGCTTTCATTCCTCCTTTTGCAGAAGCTGCCAAAATGGTTGATGGGGGAGTTGCAGAGTCTCCATTCGCAGCAGCAGTTTTGTTTGAGGTCAATCAAATTGTTTATTTAAACTGCTTTGCTTACCTAGGGCACTGCTGTGTTCAGAGATCGTGATGAGTCAGAGAAGCCAGCCTGTGTTGCTCATAGGAAGATGGGAAACACAGAAAGCAGCTGAAAGCGTCTGTGACTTGGCAACAACATACACACAGCTGCTGAGGGCATTTCCTACAATTTGGGAGTCTTGCTTTGAGCCGTCATTGAGATATTTGGCTTGCTCGGCAAGCTCTGCAGGGCAGCCTTGGCAGTCAGAGGGCGGACCACGTTCAGAACTGCAAGTCCCTCTGGCATTTTTGTGCATGAGCGAACAGCAGGTTGATGAGAGTTGATCATCTTGAGGAGCTTTCTATCTACAGAGGCTCTGAAAACAAGAAACACCAGAGTACAGTGAGTTGGCACAAATACGTTTCAGAGACTAAGCTAGAATTGCATAGTCACTTAAACCTTCTGCGCTGGATGCAACAAAGAGGGATAAAACCTTTTCTGTACCCCCTATGTCCCACCTCATTAGCATGGAGAACAACACACCACTCAGTTACAGAGATACAGTATATAGCATGTAGCTTGGGGGTACCTGTGGACCCATTACTATCATTGGAAGCACAAGTGGCCTTGGTGGCACAGAGTGCCTTTCATCAGCTTTGACTGGTGGCCCAGCTGCAGCCCTCTCTGGACTGAGATAGCCTTGCTTCTGTTGTCTATGATATGATAACCTTTAGGCTAGATTACTGCAATGTGTTTTATCATACATGCAGCTACCTTTGAAGATAATTTGCAAACTGCAGCTAGTGTAGAATTCAGAAGCCAGGTTGTCAACTGGAAGGCATATAACACTGATCCTGCCCAAAATCATTGGCCGCCCATTAGTTTTTAGCCTCAGTTTGAAGAGCTGGGTTTCATCTACAAAGACTGATGTAACTCAGACCTCAGTACCTTAGAGACTGCCTCTCCTCATATGAGCCTATCCAGAGTCTGTGAATGTGTGGAATGTGGCAACGTGAGAACAGGTCTTTTCAGTGATGGTTGTGCAATTTTCTCCCTAGGGAGATATGCCTGATGCCATCATTATCAACTTTTAGGTGCCAGCCAAAGGCATTATTGTTTACCCTAGCATTTGGTTCTTAACTGGGCTCATATGGCACCTAGCTGTTTTTGGTGTTTGTCTTTTAGCTGGGTGGTGTAGGATTCATCCTTTATCTAATACTGCAGGATGAGCACTTTGGGTAAATAATGTTGTTTTATTCTTTTGATGTTGTTTTAAATACTTGCCTTTGTATGTTTATTTCCAACTGTAAGTTGCTTTGAGACATTTTATGTATAAATTATGGATAAATGTTATAATAATAATAATAATAATAATAGAGAATATGTTGCAAGTGTCAGGTGCAACTTAGCTTGCACTACAGTGGTACCTCGGGTTAAGTACTTAATTCGTTCCAGAGGTCTGTTCTTAACCTGAAACTGTTCTTAACCTGAAGCACCACTTTAGCTAATGGGGCCTCCTGCTGCCGCCGCACCACCGGAGCCCGATTTCTGTTCTCATCCTGAAGCAAAGTTCTTAACCTGAAGCACTATTTCTGGGTTAGCGGAGTCTGTAACCTGAAGTGTATGTAACCTGAAGCGTATGTAACCTGAGGTACCACTGTATAGGCTGATGCATCTGCAAGAGGAAGAGTATATAGAGGAACCTCCAAACCTCCCAGATGGTCCTCCTTGTGCTGACCTGTTGAGACAATTTTTTCTGAAAAGCAGGGTAGATAGATAGATAGATCCATTGTTAATCTATGAAAGGGAGATGTGCAGTAGACAGGTGCTGAACAGCTGAAGCTAATCTTAGATGCAAGTTGTCAATGAAGCTTCTTGGAACTCATTTTTGAGAAGGATACCACCACCCAAAACAGAAAACCAAGCAGTAAGTATAAGATCAAAAGCCTGCAATCACACTCTTGAGAGAGAGAGTTAGGTATGCTTAAAACCAAAGCCAATGGGTTAAACTTTAAAGCACAGTTCACTCCATCCTGGATGTTATGAAGCAGTCTTTATCCCATGTGGATTTGTTCCATTTGGTTTAGCAATCCTAGTGAAAAAGCTACCTAGGTATCCCAACCTGATGTTTGTTGGTCCAATTGTTGCTGGTCCTGAAACAGGTCTCTTGGTCTGCTTGCTGTCGGGGCCAAAAGTCCTATGCCTCTGACTTAAGATAGATGTATCAGATAAGGAGAAATCAGGTTTTCTGCTGAGACTCTGAACAGTAGTCTTCTCAAACACATTCTGCACTGTATCACTGTTCTGAGTTGATGAAGGCTGTGGCTTTGGTAGAACTGCCTTTTCTGAACTGTGCACTTTCAGGCGTCTAGCTCCAACAAACTCAGTTCTCACTCGCTGTATGAATGCAGGCGAGGGACTTTTTGGAGGAGAGGGTACAATAGAGCGCTTTATAATGGTGGGCAATGAATTTTCCTGGATGTGCAATGAATCTGAAATGCAAAGGGAAAGCACAGCAATTTAAAAGCAGAGCATGTAACTTCACTCCCATCCACCTGAGAGCGTAAATCAGCAAACACAGGTGGCTGTAACCTTCCAACAGTTTGAGTTTGACTTCACCCCCAAAGGTGCACTCCTCCATTGTCTCCTGAAAAAGACAGATGCCAACAACAACAACTGTAGTTAAGAGGCTTTCATGAACTGAGGTGGGTTTAGACCAGGAACTCTTGTTCTTATTAGAATGGCCTGAATTTCCATCTATTTAGCTATGAGAGGTTTCAAAATATTAAAGGACTGATAGTATAATTCAGTGCACGTTTACACAGAAATAAGTCCCACTAAATTGAATGGCACTCACTCCCTATGCAGTGTACATAGAACGTCAGTATGAGTTGAACTCTCCCATCATTCAAGTTACAAAGATTGAATGGGAAAAGCTCACTGTTCCACACTATACGTTCTACTTGGTACAGCTTCTAAAGAATCTTGGTGTTTGTTACAAAACCCAATAGTTACTGTGGAAAGTTGGAAAGTAGGCAGGCATTCAATCATGGGAAATCAAAGGAAATCTTGATCTCCTATGGCTTCCAGTAGTTTAAATGATCAGAATTGCTTCTTCCCATGCACCTCCCTGTCATGCTCTATAACTTCTGGTCTCTGGAACCTTGCCATCACAACCTGCTTTGTCTCTCTCTTTCTTCCTTGCCTTCATATTCTGAAATCGGAAGGCAGGGACAAAAATATTGTAATCTGAATGCAAATAAAATGTTGATTCAAGTTAGCATTATTTCTCTTCTGAGCACATACTTCGGGTCTTGTGATTCTTTTAAGCATAGGTATCTCAAATAGGAAGTTTGCTAAAATAATTACTCAAGCCAATCTTATTTTGTTAGCCAGAAAAATCCCCATGTGTGTATCTCAGAAGAAAATGATAGGAAAGATAACTCCATGCACATATTTTTGACAGAGAAAATGGAAATTTGCCAAAGATACATACATATCACAGGAACTTTAGAACTACAAAACCTAAGGCAGGCATATAATTGCTGTTACTTGTCAGTAACAACGGGTGCATTTATCATTTGGATAATGTACCTGATGATGACTGAGAAAGACGGGATTGGCAAGAAGAATCTGATGATGTGATTTCCATGATCTCCTCCTGAGTGGCTTCTTTCAAATCTTCATCACAGCTGTCACTCAAGCTGTAGTGTTCCTCCTCCTCACTTAATGTTAGTGTTGTTTTTAGCTCCTGGGGAGAATTTGCCCTTTGGAGAGCTTGTAGGTGCCTGCCAGAAATTTGATGCTAGTAAGTTTGATTTTCTTCCTGCCCTATCCGAACCACAAGTTCCAACACATTAAAAAACATAATGCACTATACACCAGAATCTATAGATTTAAGATATATAATGACCCTATCTAAGTAAGAGTAAAATACTCCATGTTACAATACTCCTTCGGAGAAAAGCTTTAACCCTGGCACTGTATTCTCGCAACACTTTTAGATGTTCAGATTTGAGCTTTGGCAAGTCTCTTTTTGGAAGAAATGCCACAAAGAGAAAGCTTCCACCAAAACTCTTCTGAAAGCTTTGGAACTCGCTTCTGGGAGCTGTTCATTTGGCTCCCTCTCATGGCATTACAGAAATGGATGGAGACTATTCTGTGCTTTTGAAAATTAGCCCCATTTTATGTGTTTTTATTTTTAGCTTTGGTATGAATTTTCATAGGATGGTTTCAAGAGGCTTTATTTCATTGTTTGGTTAACTGCTTTTGAAGCAGCAGTTGTAAAGCAATTTAAATTTTTTGTGAATAAATTAACACAATTTTTAAAAAATGGGTGTGGGTGTAGGTGTGTGTCCCATCACACAGATAGAAACAGGAACTCCCCATTGCACTTTAATGCTAAATTTGAAACATAGGACAAAAACCCTGAAAGAAAGATTGATGAGATGGAGGAAAAGCCTTGCCTACACCATTCCTTCCAGACATACAGCAATCATGCTGGCACGACAATTTTCCAAGGTGAGCAGCAAGGTTGACTGATGGCAACGATGTGAGCCAAAGATGTACAGCAGGGAATGGTTACTTGGTGCCCTCTAGATGTTTGCTGCACTATAATGCTCATCGTGCCAACTATTGGCCATTCTGGCTGGGGCTGATGGCAGTTGTACCCCAACATTTGGAGGGCGATAGGTTCCCTATTCCCGATGTACAACATAGTCTGCAGGGAATCTCTGTTAGTACAACCTTTGTTTTCCAATCTGTAAAAAGAGACTACCTCATCCGTGGGAAGAACATATTGACTTAACAGGTGACAAATCAGTTCTGGGAACAGATTACATCAGAATTTAAGCGTGAAGGGCAATTCCTCAGAACTGCCACAAGGTGGCTTAAGTGCTTATCTTATCTCAGTGAGAAGAAACAGGCAGAGAACTAAACTTTCATATGCTAATTTAGAGAATAGGATAATCTAGTGAGCAAGGATCCTTAAAAATGGGGTAAATGTGCTGGGTCACAAAAGTTTCCATAGTTCACATGCCTTAAGATTTGTGTGTGTTTAGAATGGTCTAAGAGATGAAGCATGGAGCACCTTGGAGCAAGACAGGTTTTCTGAAAAGAAGCTAAGGGTTGATATTACCAACTTCTTTATTCCATTTGGCATTTTGCAATGTTTATTTAATAATTTTAATCCAAAATACATATTTAAATATTTATATTCTGCCCTTCTAGTGCTTATACATCACTGAGTGTAGATAGTAACAATTAATACTGCTATAAAATCCAATACTATTAAAAAAAACACACCCACACAATTAAAAACAGACAGGTGCAAAAGATAGAACAGAAAAAGCTGGTAAAAAAAAAGTCGATAAAAATCAAATACAGTAAAGTTTTGGCCAAGGCAAAATACCATGCGAAGGGGCCAACTGAGCCTCATGGGACAAAGTATTCCACTGTTTAGGTACAACCCCTTAGAATTCCCTCTCTCTTATCCCCAACAACAGTACCTCCGCTACAACAGAGACATAGAGAAGGGGCTCTCCATCAGATCTTAGGCAGCACTCAGGCTTGCATAGGAGGAGGTGATCCTTAAGGTATCCTGCGCCTAGGTCATGGCTTGGACAGAAGCAAGTCAGCTTATAGTTGAGTGTTCATTCCGTACAGTGCTCACTGGTTGCTCTATCTGGAGAGTAGCTCACTTGACAAACTGCCTTAATAAGACTAAATTTGAACTCTTACTGGAGGTGATGCTCTTTCAGGAGTTTCAGCTCAGCGTAGATGTCATCCGTATTTACATAATCAGTTTCTTCAATGTCAAAGGGATATACTGCTGGCTGACTTGGTGGCTGAAACAGGTTCATTACTGTAGGCTATAACATAGGTGAAATAATGTCAGAATACATCTGCTGTTCACTATATATTTGACTGAAAACTTCTCATTTCTCCAGGACCACAGATTGTTTGTTTGTTTTTTACAAGTTAATTTTCCTCTCGCAACCATTTTCTGAGGTAAAGAATTCCTCTTATTGCGGCCAGTGCATGCTACACCACCAGGCTACTGCTGTGATAGTTTATAGTGATAGTGATAGTTTAGATAGATGTCTGTCACTTCTCTATGTTCTCATGTGCTGGCATCCCACCCCACAATGGAAGGCCCTACACCGCCTTGCAGCTTGAGCTGTACAGACATGCAATTAACTTTTTTCAGAGTTTGTTTCTTCTCAGAATGGTCTTCCTCACAGTAGAAATCTATGGAATTCTATAGAACTCTTAAGCTTTTATCTCCCTAGAATTAATGACATGCTGGCTTGCCAAGAAAAACGAAAAGAAAAAGAAAAAAGAAATTACATATGAAAGAAAACCTACACCTAGTTTCTGTCTCCGTGCATGAAGAGCTTTGATGGGGTTCCCACAAATAACTCTGCTGACACCTGGAAAAAGAAAAGTAAGAGGGTTTGTTCCAGTTTACCATTTCACAGCCACAGAAATCTTCCTATACTGTCATCCCATTTGCTTATATACCAGTATGTTAAGGGGAATGCAAGTTGTATGGGTAATGTGCATAACAACCAGCCATTAAGCACATTCACCAAGTGTCATGGAGAATGTGTCCATAATCTTTCCATGAATAGGGACATGTGCACAATTCCTGGTCTTCTTCTTCTTTGGCAATCACTCGTAGCCGAGTAAGATTGTCTTCCATGAACACGGTATTAACAGTGAGTCCGTAAGTGACTGTGGAGGCCAATTCTGGATCCACACGTCCCTCCACAGTGGGGACATAGGTTTCCGGGCGGGAGTTGATCATGGTGAGGGTTTGCCAAGCATGCCTTCCTCTTAGCACGTTTCTCCCTTTCGTCCTCAGTTCAAGCATCTTCAAAGTCCATGACACCTTTGGTAAAGGCTGTTCTCCAACTGGAGCGCTCGCAGGCCAGTGTTTCCCAATTGTTGGTGTTTATATTACATTTTTAAAGATTTGCCTTGAGAGAGTCTTTAAACTTCTTTTGTTGACCACCACATTACGCTTTCCATTTTTAAGTTTGGAATAGAGTAGTTGCTCAAACAACATGGCCAGTCCAATGAAGCTGATGTTGAAGAATCATTTCTTCAACACTGGTAAATATATACATATTCTCCCAATAGGCTTTGGGAAATGTGACTGAATTTTTTTTATATTCTTGACCACATTCTTTGGTCAATACGCATAATCTCTAAGAAACATGCATTTTTTTCCTATGTCTTGTCCAGAAGTGGGCAATCTGCATTCCCTGGATTGCTTCTGACCCACTGCATAATCTTACATGGTCTGCAATGTACTCTCCTACTGATCAGCAGAGCAGCAGGAAGGGGGAGAGCTACAGATAAAGATCAACTTTTTTCTTCAGTTGAACCCCCTTTTCACCATTCTCACTGGTTTCCCAGGCAGCTGAGCAGCATAAGCGCAGTGGGGGGGGGGGGGTTCAGGGAGAGAAAATTCTCCCACGATTCAGGTGAAAATTGGTCCCCCAAGGGAAAAGCTTAATAGCAGCATAGGATCAAGCATCATGGGAATTGCAAGGGAGCGAATATTTAGCCAGCTGAAGAAGGGTTACAAGCAGGCAAAAGAGGACTGCAAGAGAAAGAACAATGGCTGGCTGTTATGCATGCTATCTGCCCATTCCCTTTAACATATTCAACAATACAGATGGCTCATTCACTGCTTTTCATATTTAGGGAGAAGAAGTACAGTGGTGCCCCGCAAGACGAACGCCTCGCAAGACGGAAAACCCGCTAGACGAAAGGGTTTTCCGTTTTGGAGGCGCTTCGCAAAACGAATTTCCCTATGGGCTTGCTTCGCAAGACGAAAGCCCATAGGAAATCTCCGGGGACCTCTTTTAAATGCTAGCGGTGGGGAGCAAAGCCTCCCCTCCGGCCTTCAGAAGAGGTCCAGGAAGGCTGGCGGGGCCGAAAGGCTTTGCTCCCCACCGCCAGCATTTTAAAAGCAGTCCGGGATAGCAGGGAAGCGCGTCCCGCTATCCCGGACGGCTTTTGAAGGCAGGAGAGGTCCGCGACGCCTGGGCGCGCTGATCTCAGCGCGCGCAGGCTTCGGCATGCCGGCAACTCTCCGCAAGCAGCGGCAGCGCTGCCGCTGCTCGCGGAGAGGTCCGCGAAGCCTGGGCGCGCTGATCTCAGCGCGCGCAGGCTTCGGCATGCCGGCAACTCTCCGCAGCAGCGGCAGCGCTGCCGCTGCTCGCGGTGTGGTCCGCGAAGCCTGGGGGCGCTGATCTCAGCGCGCGCAGGCTTCGGCATGCCGGCAACTCTCCGAAAGCAGCGGCAGCGCTGCCGCTGCTCGCGGAGAGGTCCGCGAAGCCTGGGCGCGCTGATCTCAGCGCGCGCAGGCTCGGCATGCCGGCAACTCTCCGCAAGCAGCGGCAGCGCTGCCGCTGCTCGCGGAGAGGTCCGCGAGCCTGGGCGCGCTGATCTCAGCGCGCGCAGGCTCGGCATGCCGGCAACTCTCCGCAAGCAGCGGCAGCGCTGCCGCTGCTCGCGGAGAGGTCCGCGAAGCCTGGGCGCGCTGATCTCAGCGCGCGCAGGCTTCGGCATGCCGGCAACTCTCCGCAAGCAGCGGCAGCGCTGCCGCTGCTCGCGGAGAGGTCCGCGGAGCCTGGGCGCGCTGATCTCAGCGCGCGCAGGCCTCGGCATGCCGGCAACTCTCCGCAAGCAGCGGCAGCGCTGCCGCTGCTCGCGGAGAGGTCCGCGAAGCCTGGGCGCGCTGATCTCAGCGCGCGCAGGCTTCGGCATGCCGGCAACTCTCCGCAAGCAGCGGCAGTGCTGCCGCTGCTTGCGGAGAGGTCCGCGAGCCTTGGCTGGACAGCTTTTGAAGGCAGGTGGGGGGACAAGACTTTCGCCCCGCCAACCTTCAGAAGAGGTCCAGGACCTCTTCTGAAGGCTGGCGGGGGCAAAGTCTTTGTCCCCCTGCCTGCCTTCCCAGGGGCTTTGAATTGCCCCGGACAGCGGAGAAGTCCAACGCTGTCCCGGGGCAATTTTAAATGCCGCCCGCCAGCATTTTAAGATCGCCCCGGACAGCGGAGAAGCCCTCCGCGGTCCCGGGGTGTGGTAAAATGCTGGGGTGGGTGGGACGAAAAGCCCGTGTCCCCCCCAGCCTTCAGAAGAGGTCGGGGACAGACTGTCCCCGGACCTGGTCTGAAGTCGGTTTCCCTAGGAACGCATTAATTGATTTTCAATGCATTCCTATGGGAAACCGTGCATCGCAAGACGAAAAACTCGCAAGAAGAAAAAACTTGCGGAACGAATTAATTTCGTCTTGCGAGGCACCACTGTAGTAGACTTCCCCATTTTGGTTTAACTATTGGTGCACAGCTACTGCTTCGACACCACTGAATAGCATGCAAAGGTGAGCTGAGGTGGAGATAGTAATAATGGACAAATCCCCTCTTGCTCAGCTGAAGACAAGATAATAGTCAAGTGGTCTCTTTACATCTAGTCACTGTAAGGCAGAAGTTTGTCTATCTGTATGGCAAGAGAGCTGGGCACAAACTCACTATGACATAGTGGATCATCCTACTGAAGGGCAGCAATAATATAAATGAAATGAAATGAAGTTTGAACCATCAAACAATGCCTTTTAACCCACTGTGCTTATTTCCATGCTCCCATTAGCTGAAAGAGCTATACAAAAATAGAAGTCTGTGCCCAATGCACCTACATGTCATTCAAGGAAATATATGGGAGAGCAAGAATGCTTTTAAATCATCTGTGCACATGCACACATGCTTTTGGAAGAGAGGTTTGCAAAAGGGAGGTTAGGCAAGAATGGCACCAGGTATTCCCTTACCATGTGTCAAGTCACTGGCGTCATCTTCAGGCAACATCTCATCACAGATGGTAGCCTCCAGGAGGGTGCTACTACCAGAGAGCAAATGGGCGCTAAGTGGTCTTTGTGGAACCTGAGGTCGAGAAGCTGACAAGAGCTGAGTTATGGCAGGTCTCACAGCAGAGCCGGGCCTTCTTGCTACAGGTCCTAAATAAGAATCTAAACAGGGTGATGGGGGGGGAGTTCAGTGAGATATTGCAACACATAATAAGATGGTATAAATGTTCAGTTTAGCAAAGCAGTGATAATGAGCAGAGCAAAGGAAATTCTTTTCCGTATTCTAAGGTAATGTTGGTGCTTGTGTGCTCTCCTGTTGGAGCCTCGAGAGTGCTAGCTTTCTTCATTGTGAGTGTCATCTTCCAGCCACCCTGGTTCTGTAGAGATGTAAATATCTGACAGCAAGGTATAGAAAGAAGCTTAGAATGCAAGTATGAGAGCAGGTATTCAGAACCAACTCTGAAATGGTAATGACTTAAATAACAGTTGAAGTGTTTTTGGATCCAGCTATAGGGTTTCCACATTTAGGTAAAAATTATGGAATGGGAGTCTAGCAAAACATATACCACCAGTTCTGGTTTTGCATCAACTGGTCTCTGATTTTTTTATATATATTTCAGGATGGCTCCAAACAAAGTTGTCATCTATGTCATAATTTCAGCAGTGGTGTGTGTTGGTACACCATTATTGTATTTTCAAAGCTAAAATTTCTTATCATTTCCAGAAGGTCTCGTGAAAAGAGCAGGAACTGTTTAATCAAAGAACACAGCACAATACTAGGTCATTAACTTCTGATTGGAACAAAAGACAAAGTACTTTGGAGCCTTAATGAGTTATTTTGGAAATGCATTAGTATTTTAAATAAATACAGTAATAAACCATAATTTTCAGGATGTCCGACTCCTGGGAAATGAATTTCACTGCAAGCTGTATAATCAATAAGCATCAAAACTTCATCAAGAAGTCAGTATAAGTTCATTGTTCCTGTTCTGGACTAAATGGACCAAGTGGAACACCCTCCCACCAGATGTCAAAGAGAACAACAACTACCAGACTTTTAGAAGATATCTGAAGGCAGCCCTGTTTAGGGAAGCTTTTAGTGTTTGATGGATTACTGTATTTTAGTATTTTGTTGGAAGCCGCCCAGAGTGGCTGGGGAAGCCCAGCCAAGTGGCCGGGAAAGAAAGAAAGAAAGAAAGAAAGAAAGAAAGAAAGAAAGAAAGAAAGAAAATTATTATTATTATTATTATTATTATTATTATTATTATTATTATATCTCCCTCAGGGTAGTATTCAGCTGAACCTTGATGTTAACAGTGACAGACCAAAGTTTTCAAATGCTGCCTGCTGCTGGTGAGGTGAGGTGGACAATTTCAAACATGGCAAAGCAGCCGGTGGGAGGCTTCTGAACCCTTTCACTGCCTGCTGCTTGTTTCACTATCTCTAGCTACCTTTCCCCTAGCAAATCTTGAGAAGAAAAATAGTATGAGAGCCGGGGGGAGGGAGCAAGATGTGGAGGGCTTTGAAGCTCCTTTCCCACCTACCACACAAGAGGACCCACACCTATCTCTCTCTGTCTTACAGCTGTTTAAAGTGTTCTATGTGAAGACACACTTCTACTGCCATCACATCTAACTCTACCCTTACACTCTTGCAAAAGCTACTGCCCATTCTTATCCCTGATAACCAGGCCTGGCTCTGGTGCATACAAGAGAGTGTGCATAGATCTATGTATGTACACATTATCTTCCCCTGAAACCTTGTCCCCAGCAAAAATGGATCCTTGGGAAATAATTTGACCTGCCTGAACAAGATGCCTCTTCAACTAGACTTCCATCTTTGATGGATTCCTTGACAAGTAGCCACTCCTTGTTCATCTTGCATGGGAAGGGAAGATCAGTTTGGTCTGCTGGTATTTCATCCAAATACTTTAAATGAGGGATGAGTTTTTTCACCTCAGCTCTGTAGTTGTAGTCTGGGACCTGGGGGGAAAAAACCCAAAGCAGAAATTTCTCAGTGTAGTCAATTCAAACACATTTTGACAAGGGAGAGGGGAGGGAAATCTGAGAAGTGGGCAGGAACCACATAAAGACACTATGAAACAAAGTCCACTAGCTCATCTAGTTCAGGGATGGGTAGAATGTAGACTGTAATCTATTGGTAGAGTCCTGGATGATTTACAGTAGATTTGCAAGAGTTTCTAACTTCCTCCCCTCCCCCCTCTTTTTTTTTTACCATCCCTAGTTTATCTAGGCCAAGCTAGCAGGCGCAGAGAGCTTGATTCAGTCTAGAACTGTGGTGTGGAGACGAGTGTAAAATCCCTTTTCTCCATCACTTTACATCTAGATGGGCCTTAATTAGTCCCTTAAATTGGGACTTAAATTAGTCTGCTTGAAAGAAGAAACCTTACAGAAAAACTAGGAGTGGGATGCTGTGTGACAGGACTAATTTTGGTTAGTTCTGGTGCTGAGGAAAATCCAGGGCTGAGCACATGTTCAGAAGCACCTTTGTTCCTTAATTTTAAGTGAATGGCTCGCTGTGGTTCTCGGGGTTCTAGTAAAAAAGCAAAGTAGATCCTGCAAACCTGAACTGCACACACTCTAGATCTAGACTACAGAAACTTCCTCTCACTCCACTATGACCTTTTTCTTTTGCAGTTTAAGATATGGGAAACTAGAACCTGGTCAGCAACTACTGGGCTACATCTACTTTCTTCCTACTAACCGATTCCTACGCAAATTTAAGGCAACGCAAAGTGTGATCAGCCAGAGAGGCTTTTCTAGTGTCCCCCCCCCCTTTATGCACCTCACCTACTGCCTCCTGTGACTCAGCCATGGCCAAGCAAAGAGGGAGCAGCTGGGGTCCATAAAAGGAGGACTCCCCCAAGCCTCCTCTGCTGCACATGCTGGAGAGGAGGAGGTCAGAGTTCTTTGCTTATGACTCATCTTATGTAAGAGAAATGACAAGCTGCATTATGAGGCATCCTTGAGATCAGGCACTATGCTAGGACCAGATGGGAAGCCCCTAGGGACTGGACTAAGCCCCCAGGCCACAGTTGCTGGTTACTAACAGATGGCTTTAGACACATGCATTAAAACGGCATCTTCTGGAGCAGCCTTTAGATTGCATGATTCTGGGAGGGTGCATCACCCCTAGATTTTGTATAGTGCTACAAGAGAACTGCAGCAAAGTAGCAGAAGTGGTAAATATATGCACCTGGAATATTTTCCCCGCTTTCAATGAACTACAAACTGCTACTCCATCTGTATAATGTCAAGACTGGCTGATGAACTTTCAGCCTATATTCTTTCCCACAATAGGGTAATTACCTAGTACAGAAGACAAAATAATCTTTTTACATAGTGCATTTGCTTCCCTTTATATGGAAGCTATAGGTTTTCCAGTCTACAAGTCTGTAATGCTATCCGGGTTGAGGGGTGCATCACATTACATGTACACACACACATATATGGACACAGAGTGCTATTGAAACAGCTGTGATAGAGACCACCACATTCATCATCAGATTGTTGCTTTGGGTTTTAATGTCTGGAAGAGATGAGCTCATCTGGAAATCAAATTACACTGAGCAAACAGACAGCCTGTAGAGAGAGCTGTAAATTTAGCCGAATCAGTATATGTAATTTTATTTTTATTTTTCATAGAAAGGGCCAGGCAGAATTATTAGCTATCCTTGTTTGGAATGAAGTCTAGAAGATATATTTGTATTATTTCTACATTTGAAGGTGGTATGCAAATATGAAGCATGGCCTTAGATGCAACAGTGCAAGGAGGGGAATCTCCAGCTTGCAGGTCTAGTTCGGACTGCGAGGCTGTTCCTTGTAAACCACACCCACCTGCCCCTCACCAGGCATCATATGGGGTATAAGGTGTAGGACAGGTAGCCATGTGCCTATAAAGGAACAACCATGCGCATAAAGAGAGCTCCTGGTTGCTTTTTGATGGGGAAGACATGCTCCCAATCCATTATGAGTGGTGGGAGCGTGCCTTGCTTCAACAGCACAAGGAGGTTTTCATAGAAAGCGCTGCTAAAATGGAGGGGGAAAGTTTTGTTTCAGCAGTGGTTTCTATTATTATTATTATTTTATGTTTTTAAAAAACACCACCACCAACTGTCCAGTACAATACTGAACGCCAATAAATAATTATAGCTGAAACCAATTCAACTCAGCAGGCCAATAGATCTTATTTAAGCAAATGTGGCTGAGAATAAATAAGTCTTTGGGGCTCCTCTAAAGGCCTTTGTTGATGGGACATGTGCAATACTCCAGGTGTTAGCATGTTCCCTACTGCTGAAAAAGCCCTCTCTGTTGTGGCAGGCATGTGTCTAGGATTTTGGCTGCTGATCTTAAACTGCCACAAGCACAATCAATACAAGACTGCCCATGCACCAGGGGAACACATTATTGCTGTGTACGCCGCAAGGATCTTACTTACACAGTAGACCCCCATTACACAACAAATTGGCTTTGAATCTCTTGAGAATTCCTAAAGTGGCCTGCAAGAGGGATTCCTGTACTAGAAACGAACAATACTGACATGGAGGATAGGTTCTGAACTGCAGCCACCAACAAGGGTGTTTCAGAAAGCTGTGGCCATTCTTAATATACAAACCAGGCAGCCATTATTATTTCTTTCTTTTCTGAAACATCTTCATATAAACACATCCCACTGATTTCAGCAGAACTCCCTTCAAATATGCTTTGGGTTGCACAGTGTTCAACCAGTGCTTGGGGGTGCTTAAGGCAGTTGTCATTTATTTATTTATTTATTTCATAAAATTTATAGACCGCTTGATTGTAAAAACCCTCTCTGGCCGAGCACGAGGTGATGGTAAACTATGCTGTGCTAAGCAGTATCTTCTCGTAATCAGATTAAAACACAGATGCACGTTTTTAAACGAAATCTAAAAGCAAGCAAAGTTACCTCTGGAGATTGTGGGCTTGGCTTCAAGCAGATAAGATTTCCTTCCACTGTAAGGGCAGACAGAGTAACACAGAGCCCCAGATACTGAATCTGACTGAGGTCCTCCACGTTGTTTCCTTCTAGGTCGAGAATCTCAAGGTGCTCCAACAGGCTAAGTTGACTTAAGTCAGCAATATTGTTATATGCTATGTAGAGTTCCTAAAGGAAACCAAAGGGACCTTATCAACATGAAGTTTTAACCACTGCACATTAAGTAATGACAATGAACCCATGGCTTGCAGTTTGAGATATGGCACAATACTGAACTTTAGACCCCCTCAAGACCCAGAATTGCCAAGCACAATACATGATAAATTATGATGGAAGTACCTTTTAAGTACAAGGAATGGCACTGATTTCTATCAGACCTAAAATTGATTTTTAAAAGGCTCCAGAATCAGTTTAAGAAAGAAAGAAAATGAACAGGAACTTAAGGTTCTCTGCCTCATAAATGCCTCACAAAAAGAAGCTGAGCATTAAGTAAACAGGGCAACTGAAGAAATATTTCAAATCTGTCCTACCTTCAAAGAGCAGCAGGAAGAGATACCATCTAAATCTGGAAGCCCACAGCGAGCCATCCAGAGGACTTGAAGATTAGACAACGCTGTTCCAAGGTCCCTTAAGGAAAGTTGACACTGTAAGTTCCAAGGGTTATGTATTCAGTTCATTTTAGTATTTTTCATCTTTGGCAAAGCAATAGAGATTTGGATTGAGGGTCAAATTCATCCATTATGTTTCACAGTAGCACTCTTATATTCAGGAGCTCATATGAGTAATGTAACATGTAATTTTATTACGTATATTTTTAAATTGCTAAATTTATCTATATTTTTATCAATTTTATGTATAGCTGTTTTCAAAGACAGATTTTTTGTTAATTAAGTGGTATATAAATCTAGTTGGATAAATAAATAACAGGAGATTTACAGAAAGCACATTTCAGCTTCTGTCGCAGGGATTTCTGATGTTGCGGTTTATCCTGCTCAGGTTCAGAAGCTGGTGACAGCATACACTTACATTGTTTCTTCTTTGGCAGCTGGAGAGAGAAGATATTAGAGCAGGAGTAGTCAACCTTTTTATACCTACCGCCCACCAGTGCATCTTTCCTTACCGCCCACCAGTGCTCAATGGAAGGAGGATTCAACTTGTGCCGTAGAACCCTCTACCGCCCACCTAGAATCCTGAAACGCCCACTAGTGGGCGGTAGGGATCAGGTTGACAACCCCTGTATTAGAGTAACTCAGCTGGAAAGAAGCTCTGCTTGGATTGGAACATGTATTGGTGTCACTGGGCCCCAGGCAATGAGGCTGGAATAGGCAGACCCATCACCACCACCCCCCCGATTTTTTCAGAGATATGAATTCATACATATACCCATCACACACATGCAAAACCACATATGTGCACCCAAAGAGAAATACAGCATATAAGCCTGGGATACCCAATGTGGTGCTCTCCAGATGACAACAGCTCCATTCCTTCCTAATCACTGACCATGCTGACTGGGGCTGGTGGTAGCTGGAATGGAACATCTGGATGCACTGATTTGGCTTCCCCTGGTATATCCTTTTTCAGTTCTGCTCTGATTCCCCATGTGTCGAAACAATATTCTGCCCTATTAATTTTCAAACTAAGTGCCAGAGATAAATGCTATAATAAGGTCACATATACATTAATTGATTAAAAGGAAAGTGTCTGCGATCCCAAAGTAACTGCCCACTGAGTTGGGTGTTCAACAATCCAAACGTAACTTGAATTAATTCATACCTGAGAGGTTGGCTTGGATAATTTTGCACTGTAGTATTTGAAACTGAACCCAAAAGCTTTAAACTGAGTGTTTTCTCCAAGCAATGAAGGAGTCTTTGGAGATGAAGTCATAGAAGCATAAAAGTGACTAACAACAGAATTCTATGCATGTTTACTCAGAAATCATTTCCACTGTGTTCACTTGAGCTTTCTCCCTGGTAAGTGTAGCTAGGATTGTTGTATAAAAGGATTAGTAAAGTAAAATTGATCACTAATGATTTTCCAGAACTCAACATTTCATTATGCATTGCAAAATCCTTTTTTACACACATCCTTCCATAGTACACATTCATGACATCCAATTCTTTGAGTTGAGGACACTTCGTGAAAACAAGAGAGAAAGCCAGTGTGGTTTGGCACAAAGTGGCATTTTGAGAGAACCACAATTTACTCAATAAATACTTTATTCAAAACTATTGGGAATAGGTTCATTTGAGCCAAAAACTTATTGGATAGATACCAGAAGAAGGCTCCCTTTGGCTTCACCAGTTTAAACCTAAAGTAATTCCAGATGTCATGTGAAAGATCCTGAAAGAAAATAAGAAGTGGTAGCCTAGCCTCAAAGCACTTCACATCAGCAACCCCCTGAAACTAATAGGAATCATAGAGTTGTAGAGTTGGAAGCGACCCTGAGATCATCTAGTCCAATCCCAGCAATGCAGGAATATACAGCTGTCCCATATGGGAATCAAACCTGCAACCTTGGAGTTATCAGCACCACACTCTAACCAACTGAGCTAACTTGAAGGTCTCAGAAATGTGTCTTTTTCAAACACAGATTAAACTTTGTGGTTGCAATTCTGCTTTTGCCATGTAGTGGAGAAGAGTGTATAGGGGCTCCTCATAGGATTCCAGTATAACCCTCCCTCCCTTGGCATGTTGCCTCAAGCACCTTTAAGCTGATGTCTTCTACCCCTCCAAGAACCCAGCAGCTTGGCCCTCCTAAACGGAGCAGTGAGCAGGATGAGATCAGAGAGTAGGTCTCTGCAGCAGCATGGGGTGCAAGAGGTCTCCATTTGATGTGAATGTTCTGGTGCTTTCTCAGGATCTCTATGGGAGCACTTGTGCAAATTCAGGGCTTGTCCACATTTGGCTTTAGCATGGATTGGAATCTGCCTGTCTTCTCTCATTAAATCAAGAGTCATCCACATGACATTACCTTCAATCAGCTGCAACTATGCTTATTTCCCCATGTGAATCTGAACTACCGTATTTTCCGCCCTATAGGACGCACTTTTTCCCCTCCAAAAATGAAGGGGAAATGTGCAAATGCAGGCTTCAGGAAGCTATCCGCAAGCCTTGGGAGCCCGGCGGGAGTTCCCGCCGGGCTCCCAAGGCTTGTGGACAGCAGCCTGCAGCCCGAAACCCGGGGAGTGCAGCGGAGCGGACCCCGGGCTTCGGGCAGATATTTGCAAGCCTTGGGAGCCCGGCTTCCCCCACCCCAGCCCCGCGCCTGGAGGGGAAAATAGTTTTTTTTCTTTATTCCCCCCCCCAAAAAAAACCTAGGTGCGCCCTATGGGCCGGTGCGCCCTATAGGGCGAAAAATACGGTACCTCAATCTAGAGATACTTCAATAAGTGGTGAAACATCCAAAACAAAACCACTCCACTCCAGGGAGCAGGCAGATTGCATTGGTTTTATATAGCTGGGTCAGTTCTTGGTTCTACTAACCACCTTCCCACACCCTCTACTTCCCCTTTTAACTTTTCATTTCTTGCACCTCTGGCACTTATCTCCTATGGCTCCTCAAATGTCTACTAATTTTCTAAATAAAATAAAATAATAAAAAAAATCTTTCCAGTAGCACCTTAGAGACTATACCAATAACTAACTTAGTTGGTCTCTAAGGTGCTACTGGAAGGAATTTTTTATGTTTTTATTTTATCTATTTTATTTTGTTTCGACTACAGCAGACCAACACGGCTACCTACCTGTAACTAGTACTAATTTTCTGTTTTGTTTTAACACTGATGAGCGCAAAAGTATAAATCTGCACAAGCACTACCACAGCAGAAAACTCCATTTAATTTGTACAGATCCATGCTTCAATTTTTCCTATTTTTCTAGTAGACTTCTTTTCCACTAGCAATATATATTTTGTGTTCTTCTGTTTATCAACTTTGACTACATATACATACATAATTTCTTATATTGGGAATTGAAGGTTTGCAATAATAAATGGAGAAGAAATAGCTGGTATCACTCCATTTTTATGGCTAACTTATTTGATTTCCTTTTGTAATAATAATAATAAAATTCACTTGGTACAGCTTCCAAACTACACTAAGGGATGTAAACAATGGCCTCCATGACCCTCTGCTGGGCAGTTTCTGCACATTCCCAGTTTCTGCTCAAATGGAGGGTGTGGAATAAAGAAATTAGAAGGCAAGGAGAAACAACTGGCAAGTCTGTGGTGCCAGGAGGTGGAAAAGTCACTTTTTGCCAACTCCTTTCTGCCAGCACTTCTCTTGAGTCCATGCCAGTATAGTTTACAATGCAAGATAATTACAAGAGCTATGTTTACATTTATTACCCTTTAAAAACATGAATAAAGAGAAGGGAAGATAAACTTGTACAGCACTAAAATAAAAGACTGATTCTGCAAAATCTAAAAAACACAGGGTGGTACATGCTAGCAGGTACCGTACTTCCAATGTGAAAAGATAGCCCATATCTAAACATGTTCCATGGGAACTCCTTCAGTACAACTTAGTATTTCTAGTTTGCAGCCTCTGTACAAGTAGGCACTTTTGATCATATTGTTTAATAATTATTAATATTCCTATGCCTAATAAGTTGTTTAGACCTCCCTCCTGACTCACATATTAATGACCATTACCTTGACTCCTGTTGTAGTGTGTTCTTGAGATGCATGAAAGATTTTTTTTTGGTAAGCTTGCTGCATATATGGGCCTTTTAGCATTAAAGAATACATTTTATAATGTTAATCTATACCTGTGTCTCAAAAGTATCTTTGCCTTAAATTGAAACTTATCCTTTTGGCAATATTTCTAAAAAAAGAATAATATATCATTTCCCTAGAAAATAAACAAAATAAAATAATAATTTGTAGACTGTGACCAACTTATGAAAATACATTGTATAAACTGCAAGTTTCAAGTTTCAAGCTCTGAATTCATTGTATATTTGCCAATGAGATAATGAGCAATGCAGATTAATTTACTGTCCTTAAGCCACTTTTCTCTTAGTCTGATATTGGAGGGTAATTGTCTTAGAAAGCAGATAAGTGACAGACAAGAGTGACAAACTAACTCTTTATAGATCTCATCTTTCTTGCTGAAGATTATGTTCTACTCCTCGCTGTAACTGATGACTCTTTGGACCACTGTTGCCATGGAGACTGATAAGGATGGGCAACTCTCCTGCCAGCTGCCTAATTACACTATTATCTCCCAACATTCAATTCTTTGCGTTTTCTCAACGGTTGATGATAATTGTTCCTCTCTCATTTCTGACTAAATCACTTAGAACCTACATAACCGCTGGGAGCAACGTGTTGCAGGTGTATTTCAAATTGGTTAGATATGTACGTATCTGTTTTCAGACAGACAACATCATTTGTGATATTGGGTTCCTGAATAGAAATCTGGAGGCTTGCAAACTGAGATTAGATCTCTGGTTTGCTGCAAACAGCCATATTTCTAAATATTGCAACCAAAAATGAGGGCAAGAAGGAGGAAAATATAATATCGAGTATCCATAACATTAAATCAGGTGTGGAGAACCTTTGGACCTCCAGATGCTGTTGAACTACAGCTTCCATCTTCCCTGGCCATTGGTAATGCTTGCAGGGACTGATGGGAGTTGTAGTTCAGCAATGTCTGGAAGGCCAAATGTTCCCCACACCTGCATTGTATGGAAAGGAAAATGATGAAGTTCTGGGATTTTTCATAAAGAGGAGAACAATCCTTACTACCAGGTTTGATGAAAACCAACCATCTGCCTGCTAAAGGTCCCAGCAGCACAATTCTTTACATTACTCAAAAGTAAAATCCACTGGATTCAATGGGAATTACTCCCATGTTTGTGGATATAGGACTGCAGCCTGATTCTGGGACCAAGATGTTGCAGCAAGGGTGGGCTCCTCACATAGTTTTCAACCTCTGGGCTCTACATAAAGAGACAGGTCAAATAATTTTGAAATCTGATAGATAATAAAGCCATCCAAGGTGGTGGCCATCACTATGTCTTTGAGAGCAGAATTCACAGTTGAATTATGTGCCTTGTGACAAATTACTTTTGGGGGGGTCTGCCCTCAATCTTCCAACATTCAGCTTTACTGGATGGTCCTGGGTTCTAGTATTATGAGAAAAACTTATCTCCATCCACTTTCTCCATACAACGCATAATCATATACACCTCTACCATGTTCCCTGGTAGAGTCCTGGTGGGACAACAAAACTCCCTTCACTCCCCAAATTTGCTCAGGAAGGTCAGGCGAACCCTCAGAACAGTGTGTGGGGAGAGGAGAGATCATTCTGTCTGGCAAGGAGAGATGGTTGCATTGTCAGAACGATCCATCTACTACAATGTTGGATTCCACCTCTGTACTGTATGTTTATTGGCATTCCTACCTTAGCCCTCCAGGCAAATGGCAGCCACTGTACATTAACTGATAAAGCAGTGCAAAGGTGACTCAAAACAAATAGATGGTTTTGTGATATAGTACTCTGAAAATGACAGGTCACTTAATAGTTGAGGATTACTGCATATGCCGAAAGCACAGCTACGGATGCTGCATCTAATAGAACAGCCTACGTTTTAAGAAAGTATTTATCTAGGATTTTACATATATCCTTTTACTCATCCCTGAAATTAGAAAGCAGAAGCAATTAGATTAAAAACGGTGGCTGTTAGCCAGACTAGAACGAATACCCCATTAGCTTTGAAATATAGTCCTTTTTGCCAGAATCATTAGGGAGATAAGTAACATATGTCATCATGCAAGAGTAAAAGATAGTTTTTTAACTTGCTCTCTTCAGAAAGTGTTCCATGTTTCTCCCTCAATTATTACTTCATAAATCTGATATTACTTGGCTGGAGAGAGATGAATGGAAGCAATAGAGTAAAAGCCTCATAAAATAAGTGTAAAGTAGGAAATTAACAAGGACCTAAAGCAATACCTTTTCATCACATTCTGTGTACAAAGTCTCCCTACTGACCGTGCAAAAATAAGTAGGCCAACCTCTAGATATTTGAGAAATAAACACACAAATATTGAGAGACTTTGCTGCAATTGCAATGGGGAAAGTGTGGGCTCTCACCCTTGAGATAGGAGAAATAAGGTCACTTTGGTCTTGACATTAAAAAGGAGAGGGCAAAGAGTGTAACAGGTTCAAAAAGGTTTTGTAATGAGTTCCAAATATGGTTTCACACAAACACTGCCTCCTGCAGGCTGGAGAAGGAAATTTGGTGTTTCTCACAATTATTCTATGACAGGAAGGTTTTCAGGCCTTCTCCCTTGGTATAATTGTGCCTACTATCTTGTTGCCAAACTCAGCCATAAGGTCTGCTTGCTGTGTTATATGGTCATAGCAGTGCTTTTGCAATTCGCCACCACATACTGTATAACAATATTGTGTGGAACGACTTACTGTCACTTGGAAAACCACGTGTGGTTCTGTTATTTACAGATCATCAGTAGTGCTTATGTCTTTCTAAAAGGTATCGAGATATATTTGCTCTTTCCATGTGATTTTTTGAGATGCAGAAATTTCTTAAGATTGCAAAAGCATTGCACTTCATCCAGTAAAAGAATAATAAAAGTAGAAACCTCTCATTTTTCATTTCCAAAGCAGTGCAAAACACACTTAAACACTATGAAAATAACTTGGCCAGTGGAGTTGTAGTCAAATAACATATGGAGGGCCACAAGTTCCCTATTACTGCATAGAACAACAGTAAGATTTTCCCTGTATATAGAAGATTCAGAACTAGCTCACTCTGGATTATTGAGAGGTGCTGCTATGGGGTGGGGACAGAGAGTGAAAGCGTACTCTGGACTTTACTTTATGTACTATAGCTCCTTACCTCACTGACATAAGCATGCTGCTATTCAGTTTCAGTTGTTTTAGATTAGGCAGATAAGCACCTATAAGAACAGGGAAGAAAAGGAACAATTTGCAGTTTGGTAAAAGCAGTCTGTGTGTGATCCTCTTAGACATATAATGTCATAACTGCAGTTGTTTTAATGGTACAGCTTATATATTTGTTCACCATAATTTCTGATTGATTCTTGTGGTGCAACATATCTTCTCTGACTAATGCCATATGAAGAATCCATACTAAAAGAAGGCTTGCCTGGAAGTGACCACATACTGTCAGATTATATTTTACATCACTAGTAACTTGACATATTAAAAGTTACCTTTGAGAACCTCTCCCTGTGTCCTACATCTGTTTCTGCTGGGAACTATTTCCCTCACCTCTCAGATTTAAAGAAGATTTGAAAGAAGGATTGTTGCTTGTGGTGTGCACACTCTTCCCATTTTCACCGCTGGTCAAACAGGTTCTGCAGAATGTTGTAATTTGTATGTGTATATATTACAGGAAGCAAAGCCTTTTCAACACTCTCTCAAGGACTGCTGCTTGTATCCAGCCAATGTTTCCTGACTTATCCATCTCCCCCTCTCTTCAGATTTATCCACACAACCTTAGTTTTTTGTTTGTTTGTTTTTTAAGCACTGGGTATTCAGCTAAGTTTTACTCAGAGCAGACTCACTGACTTAATGAACATGACTAAGCTTCATTAATTTCAGTGGGCCTACTCTGAGTAAAACTTAATTAAATACTACCCACTGTATTATCTAGAAATAATTCATAGTTGTGACCATTAACACTTTCAAACAAGATTTTTCTTATTCTGTATGTTACAAATTATTAGGGCCACAACATCTGGTCAAACCATTTGATCTATTAAAAATCTTTCAATTAATTAACACCCTCCAGCACTTGCAAAAACAAAGATAAGCAATAAGCGTGAAATGTTATTGGGTGTACATGTGTTCTGTATTCTTTTCTGTTCCACCCATATGCAAGTGGGGTGGGGAGTCTCCATTTTGATCTTACAATGTGGTTAGGTAGAAAATAAGATTCAAATTAATTGTCCAGTTTCTGAATCATTCAATAAGTCTTAAAGTTTTTGTAGCACAAGCATTTTCTTACTGCTGCTAATGTAGTTTATTGTTATGCATAGTTTATATGAGCCCATTTCTAGGTCATAATCAGGATTACAAAGCAAATTATTACAGGATAAATCAGTTCTGTAAGTAATAGGCTTCATGAAACAGATGCATGCCAAATGCTTTCCCCTACGTATGCATATTTAACGAAGACTATTTTCTTTTTGTCAGAAATCTTCAAGTTCATTTTATTTCATTAAACTGTTTCTTCACCCAGAGAAGAAGGCAGCCTCAGACAGACAATCAACTTAGTGTGCCTGCCAGGAGGCAAAAATCAAATAAATAAGGGTGTGCCACGGGTAACTTGATTTGTGGCTCTTCCATAAAGAAACCTGGTAGCATAAGGGATGAGTTTACCAACCAGTATTTTCAAATAAGAGCTCATTCAGCTTGCTTTGAATGTAAATCCTGTCAGTATTTAGAAATGAAAGCTTTATAAATGCCACCTCCCTCAAGAAAAACCCCAGAAAGAAAGCGGCTCCACTTGGAACTTTTCTACCTCTTTAATATTAAAGAGATTTTCTTTAGCTCCAACTGACATAAGAACAGCCTGCTGGATCAGGCCAATGGCTCATCTAGTCCAGCATCACATTCTCAACAGTGACCAACCAGATGGCTGTGGGAAACCCAGAAGCGGAACCTAGGTGCAACCGTACGCTCCTCACTAGTGATTCCCAGCAATGGACATTCAGCAGCAGACTGTCATTGATAGCCTTTCCTTCCAAGAATTGGTCTAATCGTCTTTTAAAGCTAACCACTTGGTGGCCATCACTCCTTCTTGTGGGAAAGAATGCCAGCATTTAATTATGTGGTGTGGGAAGAAGTACTTGCTTTCGTTTCCTCTGAATCTTACACCATTCAGCTTTGTGGGATGTCCACCAGTTCTAGCATTATGAGAGAGAGAAAAGATTTCTCTATCGACTTTCTCCACACCATGAATGATTTTATGACTCCATTTAACTCTAAACTGAAAAGCTCCATGTGTCATACCCTCTTCTCATAGGGCAGTTGCTCCATCCCCTTGATCATGTGGGTTGACTTTTCTGAACTTTTCCCAGCTCTACAATACCTTTTTTGAGATGGTGCAGCCAGAACTTTGCACAGCTTTCCAAATGTGGTTACACCATAGATTTGTATAATGGCATTATGATGTGGCAGTTATATTTTTAGTTCCTTTCCTAATAGTCCTGAGCATGGAATTTACCTTTTCACAGCTGCAGCACAATGGGTTCTAATAAACGGCTAAGAGGGTCTGAGCCAGAATAAAACGTTTTCTCACCAAAGTTTCCAAGGCTGTTCTCTCTTGTGTCTACATGCATCTCTAGAGCTTTCACTTGACGCAGATCATCTAGCCCAGTCAGTGTTTTCTACAACAATAAGCAAAGAATATGAAACTTGCATCCTTTATCATAATATTCTACAAAGAAATTAGTTTTCTGCTAGTAATTCAGTCCTACGCAAAGGGTTCTCAGAAGGCCCCAAACTTGATGTTTAGCTTCTGTGCTAAACATCTATACAGCTTTGGTTTTCTACAGAAGGGTGGGAAATAATGTAGCAATACGACAGAGAATTAGAAAGAGAAAGAAAAACAGCTGAGCTGCTTGGGGTAAAGTCTAAGTTTCCCAGAACTGATGGGAAGTTGGTAGTGCTCAACTTGAAACCTCTTTCGAGAGACGAACAGCACAATCTTAACAGTGTTAAAATCTACTAAGAAGAAAGTTATATTGAATTCAATGAGGTTTACTCCCAGATAAGTGCGGTTAGCATTGCAGTCTAAAATTGGAAAATATATAGTCACTAGAGACAAGAAGTAGACAAAAGTTATTTCCTTTTTTCCTTTATAAGACACCTTAGACCTGCAGTCAATGTTTAAGACTTTGCAGGAAATATGTAGGACACCACCTAGTTAGAATACCATTCTGAAGGGCACCTAAAACCCTTGCAGTCAACATATATATTAATGTAAGAATTCTGCTCTATAATTGAAAGGGCAGAACTCTATTAAAAATGAATACTAGTATAAATGTTTTTAAATGTATAAATGTTCAATTAAAAAAGAATTAACAAAGTGGGAAAAGGAAAGGGAAAGCACATAGATGGGATAGCATCTGTTCTTAGATTGCATATGTCATGCAATACAATAGTTTCAACAGGGAACAAAATTCTCCCCCTCACATCACCTTTCTATAAAACTTCAACAACTGTCTGAAATGTTTTTGAACTTATTCATTCTATTTGTGGCCTCCCTGTCAAATGCATTTACCTCAACTTTGAAAAGTAATCACCTGCCAAGAAAAAAGGAAGTAATTCTGTCTTAAAAATATAAGATAGAACCCACTAACTTTAGTTTTCTCTGTGAAAAACAGTACAGTTAAGTGCATATCCCCAGATGCCATCAAATCTATTATTCAGAGAAAAGCATTTCTTCTATCATCTGTTTGTATATGCATATATGTGCACATTCCAGTCCTAAAAATAAATGGCCACAATTTATGAAAATCAGCAATCCGGGTACTAAAAGTTAGTCACTGAACAAAATATAATTTACAATTATATAAATTGAAACACAACATTCTCAATTGTTCGTACTAATAAATCAAATTTAATTATGGAAAGTAAATGAGGGTAGGCGCACTGTCATGGCTCCATGGAAAAGGACAGGAAGCTATGCAGAGCAAAAAAATCCTAAGCACTAGAAGACTTAATAGACTCAGAATAACCAACACTTTTTCAAGCTTATTTCATAGAATCGTAGAATCATTCTACAACCATGAGGACTAGAAACTTGCTTTTTACTACAAACTTATACACTGTCCAGCACTAGCTGTTGTAGTACGATACTGACTGTATGCTCAATGCATGATTCATACTAGACTCATCTTCTGTTTTCAGAGAGGACAGAAAAAGATATAAATGCATAAGGATATGCACAAGGAAATACACTCACTGCAGTAATAAATATGCTGAGCAAACTGGTTTGAAACTGTCTATACACTACCACACCCAAGAGTAAGTAGGATATGGACCTAAAGTTTTGAAAGAGGAAAGGAAAAGTCAGGCACGCACAGCTTCAATTTTAAAATATTGTCTTCTTTCTGAAAGGCTAACAGAGTCTTCTCCCAGCTATAAAAAATGCTAAGACTGTGTAAGTGTGTTGGTGAGAAAATGATTTCCTGCTACTGTTCCATTAAAGAGTTCTAAACACTAAAAAAGACATAATGGAAATTTGTTTCTAATCAATTAGCTGAACAGCAGCGCTATTTTTAAACTTGAAAAAGCAAAAGGAAGTTAACAGTATGGAAGCAGCTGCTTCAACCTGAGCAACAAGAGGTCAAATAATAGTTACATTAGACTTGTTATTAAAGCGTGCTGCAAACATAGTTAGCGTTTCCTTGGCAATATTGTATATCTATATTTTAAAAAACAGGAAGCGACTGCTCCAACAATGCCCACTCAAAACTTTCAGGTCAAATGAAAGAAGTCCCTATTAGGCAAAAAAGAATGCAACTGTCAAAGGTAAGTACTGCATTACAAAAATCTTGACACATGAAAACTTGAAGAGTTTGAGTTGGTGCTGAAACCAGATTAGTTATTTTCAGTGCTTTTTTTCTTAAAAAAATATGTTCAGGGGTACTCTCATTTTCCTACTCATATTGAAATACTTCCCCTCAATGAGGCCAAACTTAGATTCACAAAATGTTTAGGTGTATGCGTACCCCTGCATACCCCTAGAAAAAAAAGCACTGGTTATTTTATTTTATTTATTTATAGTATTTCTCATCCACCCTAACCTTCACCCATGGCAGGCCACAACAATATATTATACAACTATAAACACAGATAAAACTGTTGCCGCTATAAAACAAGCAAGACCATTCTAAATGGAACAGAACAATATACATTCAACAAAACGAAATGTCTTAACTGTCAAAGACCAGGGTAAAGAGATGTGTCTTCAGCGTAGGGCAAAAGCTGTACAATGAAGGGGCTGTTCACACTCCTGTGGGAGGGAGTTCCACAGTTTAGGGACTGCCACAGAGAAAGCTCCCTCCTGAGATGCCATTCCCTACACTTCTGAGGAAGGTGGAACTGCCACGAGAACCCCTAAGAAGGTCAGCAGGGATGGAAACAGGCCCCAAATATTTGAAGGGCTAAATTGTTTAGGACTGAAGCCTCACCAGACATGGGTCTTGCTGGGTTCTTTCATTTCAGACTGCAGATAGGGGATCAAACTAATTTTACTAGCTGTGTATGTAAAATGAGATGCTTTTGTGTGTTTTTTAATGTGGGAGAGCATTCAACATTTCATCTCCCATCCCTGCAACAGTGAGATCAGATTGGACATTTGCTAATCTGTTACAGCTTTCAGAGTATGTTGATCAGGGCAAGGACATCCTGATGGTTTTACACCCTACACTTTCCAAATAAAATGCTTTCACTCTAAAAGCAATTGCTGTTTTGATAAAGATGTCAACCCTCCTACGCCTTTGCTTCTATTACATCTCTTAGTGAAATTTCACTTGATAGTCTGCTTCTCGCTGACAGAGGCATGGCGTCTGAAGAGAAAAGTATATGCACTGAAATCCCCAAATTTCTTTTAAAATCAAAGTTTCCCTTCCTTCAACTGCCACATAGAAAGAAAAGGAAATGGCCCACAAGCAGCCTTGCTGAAGCTCCTTTCCCACAGAAAGCCCTGTCTACCATTGCATGTCGCTGCCTGTTTTCCATCATCTTCATCCCATCAAAATGCAGCCTGTTGTCTAGCTATCCCCCTGCCAGCAGATGTGAGCCATTTCCAGTGCACCCCAGGCCTTTCCCAGCCCTTAATTAGTAACCGAGTAAATAATGCATGCTACAACATAAAAACTGCATAGTCACAAGGGAATCCAGACTCATACCATTTCCTACAGCACAATTATTTTACCAACACAAAACATTATTCAAATATTAACAAAATAGGAAAGTTTATCTCCTTTGAACAACACACAGGAAGTAGTGTTTTACATTGGCTCTTCTGTGGACAATGAAAGGTGGATGAAGGGATGCTTCAGGTCAGCGGTAGGTCTCAGGAGCAGTCCATGCAGTTATTGCTTTTAAAGCTATCGGGTAGCAACAAGCAAACCTCAAAGAGTGTGAGTGAGATGCTGGGCAAACTGCACTGACATTCAAGGTTGACAATACCATGCTAGAGGAAGCCCACTAACATAACAAATTGAGTGCCAAATGTATGACCCATATACTGAGGCAGCTCTCTGCCTCTCTTATTCAGGGATGTTAATCATATTTGCGATGTTAGGATATAGATGTTTTAATCCTTTTGCTATTAAACAGAAATAAGGTTACTGTAAAAGAGGACCTTTTAATCCTTCTCTGTAGGATCTAATTACCGTATTTTTCGCCCCATAGGACGCACTTTTTCCCCTCCAAAAATGAAGGGGAAATGTGTGTGCGTCCTATGGGGCGAATGCAGGCTTTCGCTGAAGCCTGGAGAGCGAGAGGCATCGGTGCGCACCGACCCCTCTCGCTCGCCAGGCTTCAGGAAGCTATCCGCAAGCCTTGCAAGCCCAGCGGGAGTTCCCGCGGGCTCACAAGGCTTGCGGGCAGCAGCCTGCAGCCCCGGCGAGTGACTGCAAGCCTTGTGCGCCCGGCAGGAGGTCCCGCCGAGCGCGTGAGGCTTGGGGCGGCAGCCTGTAGCCCGAAGCATGGGGCACCCTCTGGAGGGCTCCCCGTACTTCGGGCGAGTGTCTGCAAGCCTTGCGTGCCCGGCAGGAGGTCCCGCCGAGCGCGCGAGGCTTGGGGCGGCAGCCTGTCGCCCGAAGCACAGGGAGCCCTCCGGAGGGCTCCACGTGCTTCGGGCGAGTGTCCGCAAGCGTTGCGCACCCGGCAGGAGGTCCCACCGAGTGTGCGAGGCTCGGGGCGGCAGCCTGTCGCCCGAAAGCCTTGCGCGCCCGGCAGGAGGTCCCGCCAAGCGCGCGAGGCTTGGGGCGGCGGCAGCCTGTCGCCCGAAGCACGGGGAGCCCTCCGGAGGGTGCCCCGTGCTTCGGGCAGGTGTGCGCAAGGCTTGGGGCGGCAGCCGCGGGGTGGGGTGGGGAATGATTTTTTTTTATTCATTTCCCCCCCCCAAAAAACGAGGTGCGTTCTATGGGCCGGTGCGCCCTATAGGACGAAAAATACGGTAATACTCATGTTGGTCATATATGTTTATGGAAGTGCCTGAGAGGTAGCCAGGAATACCAAAAGCATCTTTCAGTAGTCCAATTTGACTGGAAGTCCATCAGATATGCCACAGTAATGCAATGTTACCGCCCGGTTTCGAATCTTCCATTCCTGGGTAAGGTGATTGAGAGAGCGGTTGCTGAACAGCTTGGTAGGTTTCTGGATGAAACATCGGCTCTTGATCCATTCCAATCCGGCTTCCGCGCTGGTCATGGGACCGAGATGGCTCTGGTCGCCCTAACAGATGATCTCCGCAGGCAGCTGGATCGAGGCGGGTCGGGGCTGCTGATTCTCCTAGATCTGTCAGCAGCCTTCGACATGGTCGATCACGAACTTCTGGACCACCGCCTTGCCGACGTGGGGATCCAGGGCACAGTACTTCAATGGCTGCGCTCGTTTTTCTCTGGTCGGGGACAGAGGGTGGCGCTTGGGGGGAATTGTCATCGCGCCACTTCTTGGTGTGTGGAGTGCCTCAGGGTGCGATTCTCTCCCCGATGCTTTTTAACATCTTTATGCGCCCCCTCGCCCAGCTTGTCCGGAGTTTTGGGCTGGGTTGCCATCAGTATGCCGATGACACCCAACTCTATCTGTTGATGGATGGCCATCCTGACTCGGCCCCAGACACACTGACCAGATGTCTGGAAGCTGTGGCTGGATGGTTACGTGGGAGCCGGTTGAAGCTAAATCCTTCGAAGACAGAGGTCCTCTGGCTGGGACGGGGCGATATGGGATTGAGGGGGCAACTCCCATCTCTTGCGGGGTGCAATTAGTGCCAGCATCGTCCGTTAAGAGTTTGGGTGTAATCTTCGATACCTCCCCTCTATGGAGGCGCAGATTACAGCTATAACAAAGGCGGCATTTTTTCATCTCCGCCAAGCTAAGCAGTTGGCTCCTTATCTCTCTCGCCCTGACCTAGCCACTGTGATCCACGCGACGGTCACCTCCAGACTGGATTATTGTAACTCGCTCTACGTGGGGCTGCCCTTGAGACTGACCCAGAAACTCCAGCAGGTGCAGAATGCCGCAGCGAGACTCCTTATGGGGTCTTCGCTGCGAGATCATATTCAGCCGGTACTATACCAGCTGCACTGGCTCCCGGTGGAGTACAGGATCAGGTTTAAGGTGCTGGTTTTAACCTTTAAAGCCCTATACGGCCTAGGACCCTCGTACCTACGGGACCGCCTCTCCTGGTATGTCCCACAGAGAAATTTACGGTCTGCAAATAAAAACATCCTGAAGATCCCAGGCCACAGAGAGGTTAGGCTGGCCTCAACTAGAGCCAGGGCTTTCTCGGCCGCGGCTCCAATCTGGTGGAACGCTCTGTCACAAGAGACTAGGGCCCTGCGGGACCTGACATCTTTCCGCAGGGCCTGCAAGACAGAGCTGTTCCACCAGGCCTTTGGTCAGGGCACAGCCTGACCCCCTCCTCTGGCAATCTGCACAGAATTTTGCTTAATGGTTGCCATCAATTTGATTTTAATTAATTTTATAATGAATGTTTTTAGAATGTTGGATTATTTTGATTGTTGTTAGCCACCCTGAGCCCAGCTTCGGCTGGGGAGGGCGGGATATAAATAAAATTTATTATTATTATTATTTATTTATAATGTATATCAGCAAGCCTAATTTGATTGTTTCCATTCCAGAGTTCTCATTCCAGATGCATTAAATTGGTATCTACTTACTAGTTTGTTGGGGGAAAGATATTCATTCACAAGTAGTTCTTCATCATCATCTTTAATTGATGGACTAGGATTCAGGAGACCTTGCCGACCCAAATCTGTGACCCGAACTGTAGCAGAACCTGGTCTTGAGACTCGGCCTAATTTCCAGTTTAGGTCCATCCCAGAATGTCCTAAACATTAACCACAGGAAGAGAAACTTGTTTGGTTTCAGCACTTACTTCTTACATTCTTAAGTCAAAGTCAGTCTGATGCATCTAGATAGTGTGGTGTTAAAAGTGCAATGACATTGAAAACAGGTATAAAATGTTCCACCTATACACCCTGAATTTCACATTTCATTACATATATGTAACTGTGATACATTACTGTTTCTGGGCAAAAAAAATAAAAAACCATTAAACCCCCACTGTTCCTTTTAGATTATATTCACCCACAAATGCTTAGTCATTCCAAGAACCAATAACAAACAAAGCTGTCAATTAATAACCATAAAAGACTATAAAACAACTATGAAACAGTGAAATTCTACATTCAACCCAGAAATAAAAGTAGCACTAAAAACTTTACTTGTTTAGAGAAAAATGAAAGAAATTCAACTACTGTAGTTCATTTATTTAAAAAGTAAAGGGTTTATACAGCCTCATCAGGGGAACCCTGAAATTACATAACAATGTGAAAGCATAAGAAGAGCTCTGCTGGATCAGATCCATCTAGTCCAGCATAATATTTTTACAGTGTTCAAACAGATGCCTATAGGAAGGTGACAAGCAGCAGCTGAGTACAATAGCAACTCTCTCCACTTGTGATTCCCAGCAACTGGTACACAGAGAAATAGTAGAACACAGTCCTCATGGTTAGTATTAATTGAGAGCCCCATCCTTCATGAATTTGTCTAATTCTCTTTAAAGTCATTCAAGTTCACTCTGTCTTGTAAGAACACATTCCAAAGTTTAACTATGCACTGTATAAACTGCGTGCTCTGAATCTTCCAACATCAGTTTTGTTGGAAGACCCTGCATTCTAGTATAATGATACCCACTTCTTGCAAACCATGTATAAATCAGACACACCTTTAATGTGTCCTTCCTTGCTTGCAGTGCTCAAAATTTCCATGGTTCTAGGCACATTTTGTGACAGGGAATTTCATTAGTGTGAGCAGTTTCTGAGCTCGGTGCAGTACTGCATCTAAGATTTCAGATTAAAACTGCAGAGTGGAAGGAAAGGAGGACCTTATTCTGCCTCCCCACTTCCATCTACTCTCTGAAGCCTGGAGAATAGACCCTCTTAAGAATATTAGGGGGGTGGGCAGGGGAAGGACTAAACCCTGTGGAAAATGAACATAACATTTTAGCTGCAGTTCATTCATTTTCAGCTTTGCATTCGTTATAAAAAAAAACACGCCTAGACAATCTGTTGTTGCGCCCATAACCTAGGTTTAAGGTGCCATTTAGCTCCTAGCTTTCATATTTCAGTTTCTAACACTGCCGCATACTAGGCTGACATTTTCATCAGAAACTCAAGTGCTCTTTCCTGGTCAATCACCAGTTACCACAAATTCAAACCCATAGGGTCATAAATTGAACTACCCTGAGACCTCCTGGTATAGGCCGATATATAAATTTAATAAATAATAAATATATAAATTATGAATGGGAGCAAGATCTTGCCATTCTACCTCCTGATGGGTGAAAAAGCATTGAATTTATTTAAATTGGGAGAAGTTGTAAAATAATCCTATATAAGAAGATACCAAATGCAATGGTGGGAATGCATAAATCACTAGACGGTGCACCTAAAGAGTTAATCAACACACGAGAAATAAAATTATTTATTTCACTGCTACCAAATACTACAGTTGCCGTGCAGAATGCCCTCTTATCTCTGAAACATGTATTAGAGCAACACTTACTTATGGTTTGACAAGAAAATCAATTCGTGGTTTAATATCTGAAGTTACGCTCCTGATTTTATACTTCCCAATATCGATCTGTTACTTGTAATTGCTTTACAACTGAATTAGCAAGCAGAACAACATTTTCTCCAGCTCCATATGTGTAAAACGCAATAAAATTAACAGTGGAGCAATTAAAAGATAGCCCAAATTAGGATCTTTTTGTGTAGCAAAACCGCTGCACAAAAGGACCACACCCATGGTAGCTTTATAGAGAGACCACTTCCCCCTTTTCAGTACAACTAGATTGCAGGCAAGAAGAGAAACATTTCAAGTGCCTAATGACCTGAGCTTCTCATGGCCAAAAAGATATTTCTGTCATAGACTGTAATACAGCAGTAGAACCTTGAAACGAGTAACAGGGTTCAATGAGAGCAATTAGTAGAGTTACTGAACTGTAAAGTGGCAGAGAAGAGATTTACATACTGTTATTGAAAACTGCTAAACTAGTATAGTGCCACAGATTCATTGTTAAATCTGTATCAATTTATGGAAGTGGCTTGGGCAGGGGCAGGACGGAGATAGTGGTGTCCTCCATCCGGTGGCAGCAGTATTGTGCTCATTGAAATGTGGCTGGGGTGAAGTGGTGACAGAAAAGATGGAGGACTTCCAGGTTGGCAGCTGCAGTTTTGAATGAGTGTGTGCACCTGCTGGCCTGCAACCACCTTGGAGCACTCCTAATTTTGCCATCTCACCACCTTCCTGTCCCAGTGAGTGCTGTGCGACTGGAAGCATGCCGCCACCCACTGTGAATATGCAGTTCAATATTTTATTATATATTGGGTTTTTCAATTTCAACTATACAACAGTACTTCTAAACTGCTCTTAGGTCTGACATAGGATAGACAAAATAGTAGCATCTTTTGTTGGAACGTCAAGTTGAGAAGTTGCCAACCTTTTTGGGTCACTGGGAACATTTGGGATTCTGATAAAGTATGCCAAATGCCAGTCACATAATAGTTGCTATGAGGGTAAGGCATAACACAAAATGGCTGCCACATCTAAAAGAGCAGAAAAGAGACATGACCACAATATTGTGAGGACATGCCCCACCCCCTGCCCCCCAACAACTGGAAAAAAGACCCCTACATCGGCCATCACCACGCTCATACATAAGTTCTTTGCACCTCTCCTTTGTTCAAATGGAGAAAGAGGGTGAGCACTGACTTCTGGCATCCAATTAAATGTGTTCATGTTTAAGGGGCGAGGTCAATGTAGGAGAGGCTGAGCCAGTGCAAACACAAGCTGAGCATCAAAAGCAAACAATTGTTAACGCAACGTAGATTTTTAGGGGATATTTACGGAGACATTTTGCAGGTGCCATAGGAAATACTGGTGGGCACACAAGTGTCTGTAAGCTCAGAAGTGTTGATATAGAATCACAGAATCATAGAACTGTTGGAAGAGACCACAAAGGTCGTTTAGTCACTTTGTACGTACTCTATGGTATAACTTGCTTTTTATGTTTCTTCTTTGATATTGCATTACAAAAATTTGATTTAGTTGTTATAGAAATCTCAATATAAGGTATTCAGAAATAAATAAATAAATGAGAACAGCAGTTAAAATGGCATCATAAAATTATACCAGCAACAACAAGCTAAAAACATCAGCAGAGGCTCTAACCACAACAAAGCCAAATGGAATAAGATAAAAGCCTACTTAAAAGCTGGCAAAGAGCAGGTCTCCCTAATGAGTCTATTCCATAGTTTAGGCACAGTGGAAAAGGCCACTCTCTTGTTCTCCACTAGCTCTACTTCCATAGGCCAAGGGAAGACAAGGAGAGTATGAGAACCTGAGCGCTTGGCTTGAGCTGGTTCATATAGGCAGAAGTGGTTGCTGAGATATGCTGTTCTCAGGTCACTTAGAGGCTTTGCAGGACAAAGCCAATACCATGAATTGAGCCCAGAAACAAACTGAAAGTGGAACAGACTTGGCCTAATATGATCCATCCTGCTGACCCCAGGCACAAATCTGGCCACAATGTTCTCAACCAATTGAAGTTTCCAATTTTATCTTCAAGTGCGTTTTAGTGACTAACCTGGAAGTAACTGGAGTGTTGCACTTGTCATCCACTACAAGATTCTACAAATGAAGCATGTGAAGAACTAAAGGAGTGTAACGGATGTAGCACTGTCCAGCAAGCAGGTCAGTTTGCAAGCACTCTTTCCATTTTCAGTACAAAGATGTTTTCTCTATCTCTGGTGTTAATCTCTGGAAAAAAGCAATTTATAATTGTATCAGTTTAACTATCAATCCAATTACCACCACCACCACCTCTGCACCTCAGAGTATCATGGCAACTGCCAAATTTGGACATTCAAGAAATTATTGCTCTAAATGCTCTTACACCTGAAACTTTTTTTTTAAAAAAAGCATTGATTTCCAAAGTAATAGAACAATATATTTCAACAACTTTCCGCCTTCCTCTTCCCTTCCTGAAGAATTTAAATACATTTAAATTTAAATACATTAAATACATTTAAATGCATCATTTGTCCACTTGATAATATAACACCCATTCTGACACATTTCTATTAACAATCAAACTTATCCTTTCTACATTTCAGCTCCAAAATATAACTTTGATGAAAATCTTTGTACAGTGTCTAAATTAATCAATAGACTTTTGCTGCAGTCCATACTCAAAGGCAATAGCAGTTGTTTAAGCACTACTAAATAAAAAGTAATAAAATTTATGCAAGCTATAGACTATGTATATATATATAGATAGATAGATAGATAGATAGTTTGGCTCCTCAGGAAGCTGTGAATGCCATTTTAAGTGTAATTTAGCAAAAGTGCCCTGTAGATAACCTCTTCTGGGGGAAAAATCTTTTGACAGCTGAGATTTACTATGATGTCACCAGGAAACTACTATTACACCAATCAGTCCCTAATGTTAAAAACTATTTTTGCCCACATTTATGTATCAGGCTGCATTCTGTACAACTCTAATCCTGAAATGTCAGAACTGTTATTTGAATACAATTCTAAAAGGTGAGGGAAAACAAAGGTAGGGAGGGCATTTACACTATGAATATCATAATGAACTGTTTCACAAGATGACCCATTACTGAATATATATTTGCTGATGGCAGATGTCCTTCCTGGCTTACTCCCATGTTCTAGGTCAAGGTGGGCAACCTGCAGGCCACATTTTATGCAGCCCCAATGCTTCCTTAAACTGCCTCATTCTTCCATCACATCAGAGGTCTTTCCTCTCCATTCCTTTCCTCCTTATTTTTCCTGACTTTTAAGTGCCCCACCTTCTATTATGTCATTTTAGAACACAGGATAGTTTTTTATAGATAATTGATGAGTTTTTTTATTTTTAAAAAAACGTTTTCATGGTTGTTTGGCTTCCAGAAAAGAAGTTTTCCCCACCTCACTATCTAATATCAAATTATTATGCTTCTGAATACACTCACACACACCAGAATCACGAATAAATTTTTTCACTTGCTTTCCAGAACATTAGCTATATTGGTCTGTTGTACTAAATAAATAAAAAATCCTCTGCATATTTATTTAAGAATAATCCCATCAAACACAGTGGGGCTTACTTCTGAGTAGACCTGTAAAGGATTAGGAATTTTTATTTTGAGGTAGCCAGTGAAAATTGAAACAGGGTGGTCTTTATTCTGAATTAATGTCCATCATAAGCACCAGTAGTTCTGGCTCTACCCACTCCCAGCAGATGAGCAGTCCAAGGAAATGTGGCCCTTGACAGAAAAAAGGTTGCCCATCTATTTTAGGAGCAGTGAGGAGGAGTGCCAGGGTGAGAGAGAACAGAAGGTGGGAGAAGGTGGAGGGAGAGAAAGACTAAATGAAACTCTCTCCTGAGGGTTCCCCTCCCTAGTTTAGGCTGTAATCCTAATAGACACTTTTAATAAACATTCACAAAAGTAGGCTGTTAGGGTTTGTTTTTGGCAGGGTAGCTCAGTCAACCAGATCAGAAAATCCCAACCCAACTTTAAAATTTGCAGAGGGAGCAGCAAAGTATTTTACATATTGCTTTAGTACACGAAAAGTACTTCACATACATTATCATCGTGCTTGGCACCTAAATTGTATGGCTTTTGTTGCATGCTGAAGAGGCACCTCTTTACCCTGGCCTTTGACATCTAATATGTTTGTTTTAGGACCCACCCCATCCCTCTGGAGGCTGCCACATCCCATCCTATGTTGCTTGAGAGTGTCTCCTAGCCCATCAGTGAGGCTTTTCAAGGGACACAGTTGGTTGCAGAGGGGCAGTGCCACAGTGGGGACAGGAAATTTCCTTTTGCAAACTTCAGGTAACGTACATTAGAATCTAAGGCCAAGTCAGTCTGCAAAACATGTATGTTTAAATGCCATTATGCATTTTGCAACTTTTTCTGTTGCATTTTAGAAACAAGAAATAAAATGGTATGAGGACTAGTTTGTATAAATAATACGAAGGCAGTTGCCTCATCAGTAATGCATTTGTCCAGAATTTCCTGAATTGCATTTACCTCGTTATTTCTTCTTGCTGTTCATAATGGCAATGTCACCAATATGATGGCAAGTATTTATGTCAAATATGCTTTGGACTTCACACACAAAGCTGTTTTTTCTAGCATAAGTGCTATGGTTTCTGTCTATCTTTATCCGTTGTCTAACATTTTTGATGCTTTCGAATTATTATTCTATTTCCATTTATTTGTCACCCATTCAGTCATCTCTAAGCAAATCCACTGGTTTTTATAATTATTACTGTTTATCTTCCTGATAAGTTTTTCCTGCAATAAATAAGAAAGGCAAATGCTGAAAGACAGATAATTCTGTGTACAAAGGGACAGACAGCTCTGAAGGCACATCAGAAACACACACCAAACATTGTTAAGTTATTCAAAACATATTTAGCTGTTGGCATCTAATACAATTTCCCAAAAGTAAATCTATGGGTTTTTGATCACCCAGGCTAACTGATGCCAAATCTGAAGTCAAAAAGGACTGTCTTTACAGAGTATGTTTGCTAGTGACCCCAAGGAAGGATGTTTGTGCTTGCCTTACTTCTACAGCATGGCTTGCTTGCTCGAGCCATAGAATCATGGAATTGTAGAGTTGGAAGGGACTCCAAGGGTCATCAAGTCCAACCTCCTGCAATACAGGAATCTCAACTAGATCATACATGATAAATGGTATCCAACCTCTGCTTTAAAAGGAAGGTGAAAGTCCATCACCTCTTGTGGGCGTCTATTCCACTGTCAAACGGATCTTGCTGTCAGAAAGTTCTTCCTGATGTAGCTATATGAACTGCAAGCATATATCAACTCCATCACTAACAAGAAGTAAACAATAACTTGCTTATTTGGAAGCAAGCCTTACCATTTGCAACATCCTTACTAAAAAGTATGCACACTTAAGATTCCACCTGAATCCACTTGGAATTAAATCAGTGCACGAAGCCATTTTCTCCTGTTCTGGAGGCTGGGACCCAAAGCAATGGATTCAAGTTACAAGAAATGACATTCTGACCTGGATAGCTCAGTCGGTAGAGCATGAGACTCTTAATCTCAGGCTTAGGGGTTCGAGCCCCATGTTGGGCAAAAAAGAGTCCTGTATTGCAGGGGGCTGGACTAGATGACCCTCATAGACCCTTCCAACTCTATGATTCGATATAAACATCCTAGGCAAGCGATCAAAGGATTCTAGCCATGCAGTGTTATCCCTTGCATGTTTACTCAGAAGGAAACCCCGGTTGCTCCCCAACAAGCATGCTAGCAGAGGACCCCCCTCCCCCACAAAATAAGCACGACTACTCGGCCCCAGTAAGGATGCTCGCCGCAAATATGCAGAGTACATGCCCCTTATCAAGTCTTAGAGGCAAAGCTTCCAGGTAATATTGAAACCAAGAGTTGTTAAAACAGTGCGGGGGGCGGCGGCACCTTCTTCCTGTCCCTTCCCGCCTCTCACCCACCTGGGTGGAGTCTCTCGTCTACCGGCTTCTTGCCTCCTCGGGCTGCAAAAAGGTGGCGCCCCTGCCCTTTCCCTTACCCCCAGAGTAAGAGGAGGACAGAAAGAGAAGGGGCTGCTCCCGCCAAAAAAAGCCCCAGCGAAGGAGAGAGCCCTGGGTTCCCTCCGTTCCCGGGCCCGCGCTGCCTCCTCAGGTACTTCCAGGGATTCGCGTGAGTAACAGGGCCTCGGGTTGCCCCGGCAACGGCTTGATTTGAATACGCGCATTACATAGTCATGAGCACGGCGGGCCCCGGAGCCAGTCACTGCCTCCGGGCCGGATTGGTGGCGAGAAGCGGCTGCGGCGGCGCTTTGCGCGTGAGAGGAGGAGGAGCTGCGGAGAAGGTTTGGGGGCTTCCGCCCGCCCCGAAGGTGTTGCGTGGAGGAGGTTGGCTATGGGTAGGTCACGTCTGAAGTGTGTTCCCTCGGAAGAAAGTTGCTCTGGTGCAACCGGGATAGTCCTGGTCCGGATAAGTGTGCAGTCGGGTTGCAAGCTTTAAATCCGAGGGGTTGTGTATTTGTTTTTTTTCTCCAGGAAGATCTTTCCTGCGGGCTACGAAAAGCTGATCAAGAATCTGCTGTATGGAAACTGCATGATTGAGACGAATAGGTGGGCAGTTTGGGTGCTGGGAAGAGGGAGCTGTACGTTGCTTGAAGGAAATGAATGGTCTGTAAAATGCGGTAAGGGAAAATCCCCACAGGTTTGTAGGAGTGCCTTTTTCCTCAACAGCAGTTGCTATCCTGGTACACGTGCTCCAAATGTGTGGTCGTGCGTGTAAGGTTGTACTTACACTTCAGATCAAATGCACAAGCCTAAATTTACAGCCTGGAAGGTTGCACTATTATTTTCTCTCCACATATGCCTACTGGGAAGCCATTCTTTATGCAACATCCATTCCCTAGCATGCATTGAAGCAAGCTAGGGTATGTGTGGTTGTTCACACATACATAAATGGGTGCCTGCATGTACAAAAATGTAATACATAAATTGACCATGAAACCCCTATTCACAGCCTTAAAGGAGAAGAAATCTCTCACTAAAATCACACTTTATGTTGGAACAACTCTTTCAGAGTGCTTACAAACACAAGCATGAAGATATGCTTTCTTTTTCCTGCTCTTTTTCTCTGTGCATGTTCATGCAGCCTATTAAAGAAACAGCTGTAACTTGCTAGCACAGCATCCCAGAAGAGTCATTTAGATTCTGAATTATTGCCACTGTGTAATACCACAGGGAGGTGTTTTCCAAGGGAATGCAGAAGCCCGTAAGATCTGTAGACTGTAAAGCTGTACGATGATAAAGCAAATTCCCTCTGGAACTGCAATAGAGGACAAATTATGTCACGCTCAGATGACTGAATAAGATAGGCATGGCCTGAGAAAGCTAAAGAGCCGATTCTGAATTTCTGAAAACAATAAGATAGTGAAAGAAAATAGTGACTTGAAAATAAGAGTGTGTTTGTGTGTATATATAGCATGATTAACCAACCCAGACCCTGCAACCATCATCTGAGGCCCTTTGTGTGCCTCCTCTGTGAGAAGTCCAGAGGTTAGCAACACAAGAATGGGCCTTTTCTGTGGTGGCTCCCCACTGTCCCCATGTATGCTTGCCTGGCACCTTTATTACATATCTCTAGATAGCCTGAAACACACAGCATTGCTGAGGGTGAATGGTTAAATGCTCTGTCATGTATTCTGTGGAATGAGTGCAATATTAGGTTAATAGATGCAGAGTGGGACTCGCATAACACCATTGTAAAATCCTCCCTAACATTACATGGATACCAAGTCTGAAATTCATATATACGTCTTACTTTATGGGAATCCAGCAGCCTCAGTCTCCTTCTTTGTTGTTGTTGTTTAGTCGTTTAGTCGTGTCCGACTCTTCGTGACCCCATGGACCAGAGCACGCCAGGCACTTCTGTCTTCCACTGCCTCCCGCAGTTTGGTCAGACTCATGTTTGTAGCTTCGAAGACACTATCTCGTCCTCTGTCGTCCCCTTCTCCTTGTGCCCTCCATCTTTCCCAACATCAGGGTCTTTTCCAGGGAGTCTTCTCATGAGGTGGCCAAAGTATTGGAGCCTCAGCTTCATGATCTGTCCTTCCAATGAGCACTCAGGACTGATTTCCTTAAGAATGGATAGGTTTGATCTTCTTGCAGTCCATGGGACTCTCAAGAGTCTCCTCCAGCACCATAATTCAAAAGCATCAATTCTTCGGCGATCAGCCTTCTTTATGGTCCAGCTCTCACTTCCATACATCACTACTGGGAAAACCATAGCTTTTACTATACGAACCTTTGTTGGCAAGGTGATGTCTCTACTTTTTAAGATGCTGTCTAGGTTTGTCATTGCTTTCCTCCCAAGAAGCAGGCATCTCTTAATTTCGTGGCTGCTGTCACCATCTGCAGTGATCATGGAGCCCAAGAAAGTAAAATCTCTCACTGCCTCCATTTCTTCCCCTTCTATTTGCCTGGAGGTGATGGGACCAGTGGCCATGATCTTCAGGTTTTTTTTATGTTGAGCTTCAGACCATATTTTGCGCTCTCCTCTTTCACCCTCAATAAAAGGTTCTTTAATTCCTCCTCACTTTCTGCCATCAAGGTTGTGTCATCTGCATATCTGAGGTTGTTGATATTTCTTCCAGCAATCTTAATTCCAGCTAGGGATTCATCCAGCCCAGACTTTCGCATGATGAATTCTGCATATAAGTTGAATAAACAGGGAGACAAAATACAGCCTTGTCGTACTCCTTTCCCAATTTTGAACCAATCAGTTGTTCCATATCCAGTTCTAACTGTAGCTTCTTGTCCCACATAGAGATTTCTCAGGAGACAGATGAGGTGATCAGGCACTCCCATTTCTTTAAGAACTTGCCATAGTCAAAGGCTTTTGCATAGTCAATGAAGCAGAAGTAGATGTCTTTCTGGAACTCTCTAGCTTTCTCCATAATCCAGCGCATGTTTGCAATTTGGTCTCTGGTTCCTCTGCCTCTTCTAAATCCAGCTTGCACTTCTGGGAGTTCTCGGTCCACATACTGCTTGAGCCTTCGTTGTAGAATTTTAAGCATAACCTTGCTAGCATGTGAAATGAGTGCAATTGTGCGGTAGTTGGAGCATTCTTTAGCACTGCCCTTCTTTGGGATTGGGATGTAGACTGATCTTCTCCAGTCCTCTGGCCACTGCTGAGTTTTCCAAACTTGCTGGCATATTGAGTGTAGCACCTTAACAGCATCATCTTTTAAAATTTTAAATAGTTCAGCTGGAATACCATCACTTCCACTGGCCTTGTTATTTGCAGTGCTTTCTAAGGCCCATTTGACTTCACTCTCCAGGATGTCTGGCTCAAGGTCAGCAACCACACCACCTGGGGTGTACAAGACATCCATATCTTTCTGGTATAATTCCTCTGTGTATTCTTGCCACCTCTTCTTGATGTCTTCTGCTTCTGTTAAGTCCTTACCACTTTTGTCCTTTATTATGGTAATCTTTGAACGAAATGTTCCTTTCATATCTCCAATTTTCTTGAACAGATCTCTGGTTCTTCCCATTCTGTTGTTTTCCTCTATTTCTTTGCATTGCTCGTTTAAGAAGGCCTTCTTGTCTCTCCTTGCTATTTTTTGGAAATCTGCATTCAATTTCCTGTATCTTTCTCTGTCTCCCTCGCATTTTGCTTGCCTTCTTTCCCCTGCTATTTGTAAGGCCTCATTGGACAGCCACTTTGCTTTCTTGCATTTCCTTTTCATTGGGATGGTTTTCGTTGCTGCCTCCTGTATAATGTTGCGAGCCTCCATCCATAGTTCTTCAGGCACTCTGTCTGGCAAATCTAAATCCTTAAACCTGTTCCTCACTTCCACTGTGTATTCATAAGGGATTTGATTTAGATTGTATCTTACCGGCCCAGTGGTTTTTCCTACTTTCTTCAGTTTAAGCTTGAATTTTGCTATAAGAAGCTGATGATCTGAGCCACAGTCAGCTCCAGGTCTTGTTTTTGCTGACTGTATAGAGCTTCTCCATCTTTGGCTGCAGAGAATATAATCAATCTGATTTCGATGCTGCCCATCTGGTGATGTCCACGTGTAGAGTCGTCTCTTGTGTTGTTGGAAAAGCGTGTTTGTGATGACCAGCTTGTTCTCTTGACAGAACTCTATTAGCCTTTGCCCTGCTTCGTTTTGCTCTCCAAGGCCAAACTTGCCAGTTGTTCCTTTTATCTCTTGATTCCCTACTTTAGCATTCCAATCCCCTATAATGAGAAGAACATCCTTCTTTGGTGTCACTTCAATAAGGTGTTGTAAGTCTTCATAGAATTGGTCAATTTTAGTTTCTTCAGCACCAGTAGTTGGTGCATAAACTTGGATTACTGTTATGTTAAAAGGACTGCCTTGGATTCGTATCGAGATCATTCTATCATTTTTGAGATTGCATCCCAGTACAGCTTTTGCCACTCTTTTGTTGACTATGATGGCCACTCCATTTCTTTTGCGGGTTTCTTGCCCACAGTAGTAGATATGATGGTCATCTGAACTGAATTCGCCCATTCCCGTCCATTTTAGTTCACTGATGCCCAGGATGTCAATATTTATTCTTGCCATCTCACTTTTGACCACATCCAGCTTACCCAGGTTCATGGTTCTTACATTCCAGGTTCCTATGCAATATTTTTCTTTACAGCATTGGACTTTCCTTTCGCTTCTCCTTCTATAATATATCATTTAGCAGGATACAGAGCAAGCGTGATGCATTTAATTCTCTTTGTGATCATATAAGCTACTCCACAAATCCCTCTGCCAGTAAGCTGTGATGATTAAAGAGCTTACTGCGGGGAAACTATAGCTAATACTTTCTTTTCTTAAATAAAAAAAAGTGTTACTAATGAGTGCTGGGAAATTACTCAGTGTTAGTTCCTCAGCATCAGATGAACATCTTAGTCATACGTTTTATAAGGGGCAGCAATCCAATCATTACCTGAATTGACAGAGTTCCTTTTTGTGTCAAGGAGTTTTGCTGATCAGGAGAAATTCAAAAAACATGGTTTAGAGTGTAATGGCTGCTGTGATGCATTACCTATTGCTGATCTCTTCCTTACTCACAGGAAAGAGCCTCTGTCATCATGGTCTGGATGGGAGATAGGGCAGGGCTGGCTGGGGAACCTCAAGCCTGATGGCTGAATGTGGCCCTTTGGGCCTCTCTCTG